CCATTAAAATGTCCACAGCTAAGCCATAGTCCTGATAGTTTTCACACTATGACCATTTGTTTGCAACTCACGCCGTCCATTGACATTCATTAAAACTGCACTCTAACCAGCTCAAACTTGAAGGGCAATTTCTAAACTGTGACTGTGCCTTCATTTTTAATACTTCAGAGACATGCTATGCATCAAAATGTAGGTCTGGGTCTTGTGATTCTCACAATATAAAGCTCTTAGTTTTTAAAATACGACCGTTTGAAGATGGCAACCGCCAAAATACTCTGACCTGTGCCAAAACAAAACGTAAACAAAAACTGGAATTTGCGCTATATTCAACTGTAATTCACCGCTGTCACATTAAGTGCACCCACACTTATTAAAGGACCACTATAGTGCCAGGAAAACATACTCGTTTTCCTGGCACTATAGTGCCCTGAGGGTGCCCCCACCCTCAGGGTCCCCCTCCCGCCCGGCTCTGGAAAGGGGAAAGGGGTTTAAACTTACCTTTTTCCAGCGCTGGGCGGAGAGCTCTCCTCCTCTCTCCTCCTCCGTTCCGCCCCGTCGGCTGAATGCGCACGCGCGGCAAGAGCTGCGCGCGCATTCAGCCGGTCACATAGGAAAGCATTCACAATGCTTTCCTATGGACGCTGGCGTGCTCTCACTGTGAAAATCACAGTGAGAAGCACGCAAGCGCCTCTAGTGGCTGTCAATGAGACAGCCGCTAGAGGCTTTGGGGGAAGGCTTAACCCATTCATAAACATAGCAGTTTCTCTGAAACTGCTATGTTTATTAAAAAATGGGTTAACCCTAGCTGGACTTGGCACCCAGACCACTTCATTGAGCTGAAGTGGTCTGGGTGCCTAGAGTGGTCCTTTAAATATCATTTTGTTCAGGAGAAACAGGGCTTTAATTTATCATTAACTATTCATATATGGAACATAATTTATTATGAATAAAATTTTAAAAAATGTGAGAAAATAATTTAAAAAATTTTAAATTGTATTTCCATCTGACATTTTTGCTGTTAATGTCATAATACTGTTAGGAATTACTGCAAAAAAATGCTCATATTTGTAATCAGAAATATCTCACGAGTACAACAGTACCCCACATTAACAGGTTTTATGGTGTTTTGGAAAGTTACAGGGTCAAATATAGAACGTTCCATTTTCAAATTGAAATTTGCCAGATTAGTAATGTTACCTTTGAGACGGTTTGGTAGCCCAGGAATGAGAATTACCCCATAATGGCATACCATTTGAAAAGTAGACAACCCAAGGTATTGAAAGTGGGGTATGTTTAGTCTTTTTTAGTAGCCACTTAGTCACAAACACTGGCCAAAGTTAGCGTTCATATTTGTTTTTGTGTGAAAAAAGCAAAAAACTAATATTTGACCAGTGTTTGTTACTACTAAAAAAGACTGGACATACACCACTTGCAATACCTTGGGTTGTCTACTTTTGCACATGGTATGCCATCATGGGGGTAATTCTCATTCCTGGGCTACCATACGCTCTCAAAAGCAACATAACCAATCTGGCAAATTTCAATGTCAAAAAAAATGAAATGCAAGCCTTATATGTGACTCTCTAACTTTCCAAAACACCATAAAACCTGTTTATGGGGAGTACTGTTATTCTCGGGAGACTTCACTAAACACAAATATTAGTGTTTTAAAACAGTAAAACATATAACAACAAAAATATAGTAGATAAAAGTGCCGTTCGTTTGACAATAAATGCAAAAAAATTCACTTTTACTTAAAATATCATCGTTGTAATACAATTTACCAGTTTAACACTAATATTTGAGTTCAGCGAAGTCTCCTGAGTAAAACAGTACCCCCTATGTACAGGTTTTATGGTGTCTTGGAGAGTTACAGGGTCAAATATAGTGCTTGCGAATTAAATTCTCTGTACTTTCTCCCTGTGTTGTCAGGCATGTCAATCAAATTTTAATTAATCAAATCACATAATTATGTTAAAAGATTACTTAAATATACATGTAGACTTTTAATATATATGCATTTATAGGTATTTAAATTCTACGTGTATACTAATGTAATCTTTTATGTAATTATATGTATTTATCTATATATATATATTTGTGGTTATTTGTATTTTAAATATAGATATCTATATATAGAATGTCATTCTAAGTGTATTTTGTTACCAATATATATATATATATTAATAACAAAATACAGTTAGAATGAAATTACATATGAATATATAATTTATATTAAATTTTGTTTCAATATTTTATTTATTTTATTATTTTATTTATTTATTATTGTAATTATACATATATATAATATATGTGTATATATCTATTATATATATATAATATATATACATATTATATTTATGTAACGTCATTCTAAGTGTATTTTAATACTAATATATATATATATATATATATATTTATATTAATATTAAAATACACTTTGTATGACGTTACATATATATAATATGTATATGTATATTATATATATAATAGATATACATATATATATATATATATAAATACATTTATTTTATTTTTAAAGATGTTGAATTAATTTTTTTTTTTACTTTCCCACCAGCAGGGGACTGTCTGCCATGTTAGACAGTCCCCCTGCTGGCAGATCCACAGTCAACTATAGGGGGCCTCATTTGCCCGGGGCCCTCCAGAAGAGGATCGCGGCGGAGGTAAGTACGCCGGACCTCCAGGGGCTCAAAGCCGTTTCGGTGTTCTATGCCGCCGCAACGGCTTTAAAGCCCACTTAATGCGGGACGGCATAGAACGCCGTAACGGCGTTAAGGGGTTAATGTAACTGTGAAGCACAACAACGTTGCAATTAAATGTGCTATATTAATAAATAATAACAGTTACTCCGCCCACTCCAGTTGTAGACTACTGGTGGAGGCAAGAACACTTCACACAATTTCCCCAGAAATTGTAGCTTTTCTAGTTACATTTAGCATGCCATGAACATAAGTTAACACAAGTTATAGGTGATATACAAAGTTTTACTCACTGGAGTAAGAAAAGTGACATTGCTCCTTTAACCCCTTAACGCCGTTACGGCGTTCTATGCCGTCGCGGCTTTAAAGGGCGTTAAAGCCGTTGCGGCGGCATAGAAATCCGTAACGGCTTAAGCCCAGGGGAGGTCCGGTGGACTTACCTCCGCCGCGATCCTCTTCGGGAGGGCTGCGTCACAGCCCAGGCAGCCCTCCCTCGGCGAATGAGGCCCCCGGGGGCCATGTGATCGCTCTCAAAGAGCGATCACATGGCCCCCTATAGCTGGCTGTGGATCTGCCAGCAGGGGGGCTGTCTGAAATATCAGACAGTCCCCCTGCTGGTGGAATGTGTAAAAAAAAATAATTAAACAGATTATAAAATAAATTAAATGTATTTATATATATATATATATATATATAATATATATATATATTATATATATATATATATATAATATATATACATATTATATATATGTAACGTCATACAAAGTGTATTTTAATACTAATATAAGTTCATATATTAATATTAAAATACACTTAGAATGAAGTTACATATATATAATATGTATATATATTATATATATAATAGATATATACACATATATTATACATATATATACGTATAATTACAATAATAAATAAAATAAAATAAATAAATAAAATATTGAAACAAAATTTAATATAAATTATATATTCTTATGTAATTTCATTCTAACTGTATTTTGTTATTAACATATATATATTGGTAACAAAATACACTTAGAATGACATTCTATATATATCTATCTATATATAAAATACAAATAACCGCAAATATATATATATAGATAAATACTTATAATTACATAAAAGATTACATTAGTATACACGTAGAATTTAAATACCTATAAATGCATATATATTAAAATTCTACGTGTATATTTAAGTAATCTTTTAACATAATTATGTGATTTGATTAATTAAAATTTGATTGACATGCCTGACAACACAGGGAGAAAGTGCAGAGAATTTAATTCACAAGCACTATATTTGATCCTGTAACTCTCCAAGACACCATAAAACCTGTACATAGGGTGTACTGTTTTACTCAGGAGACTTCGCTGAACTCAAATATTAGTGTTTCAAACTGGTAAATTGTATTACAACGATGATATTTTAAGTAAAAGTGACGTTTTTTGCATTTTTTACAAACGAACGGCACTTTTATGGACTATATTATTGTTGTAATATGTTTTACTGTTTTAAAACACTAATATTTGTGTTTAGTGAAGTCTCCCGTGAATAACAGTATCCCCCATGTTACTGTTAATGAACATTACTAATTTGGCAAATTTCAATTTGAAAATGGAACGTTCTATATTTGACCCTGTAACTTTACAAAACACCATAAAACCTGTTAATGGGGGGTACTGTTGTACTCGTGAGACATCGCTGATTACAAATAGGTGCATTTGTTAGCAGTAAAACTTAACAGTATTATGACATTTACAGCTAAAATGTGAGGCGGAATTATAAATTTTTTTACAAATTTTTAAATTTCTCACAGTTCTTTTAATTTTATTCATAATAAATTATGTTTCATATCTAAATATTTGATATGAAATTAAAGCCCTGTTTCTCCTGAACAAAATTATATATAATAAGTCTGGGTGCATTTAATATGAAAGAGGTGAATTACGGTTGAACAGACATATAGCGCATATTCCAGTTTTTGTTTACGTTTTGTTTTGATCAGAACGTGCACTATTGACTCCGTCCTGAAGGGGTTAAACAAAGTGTTTATGCAGTTTTTTTTCCCTGCAAATTGTGCAGTTTACTGATTAACTCCCCATACCCAGCAGATGTTCAGGGCAGCCTCACAGAACGATAATTTATTGTAATTTTCACTGACAGTCTCACACAATGAATGGACTCCTGGCACAGCGCGTTCCCGCACCTAAACATTCCCTGCACTGTGCGCGCCCCCGCGAACAGACTGTCTCACTCTGCGCATTCCCTCAGCCAGGCCTCCCAGTACAGTGCGCGCTCCCGGCGGTCTCCTCGCGCAGACTCCCGGTTGGAATCTCGGCCTCTCCTCCTTACACTCAGGCCGTGGGACCCGACAGAGAGATCCCGTCCCCCTCCGATTGGCCGTAACGCAGGCCCCGCTCGTGCTCCGTGCGGTCGGTGACAGGGCGGCAGGCAGTGCGGACCCGGAATCCCCCGTGCCCCCCCGAGGATGAGCGGCTCCCGCAATAACCGGGTGATGGTGGAAGGGGTGGGGGCCCGGGTGTCCAGGGGCCCGGACTGGAAGTGGGGGAAGCAGGATGGCGGAGAGGGACATGTGGGCACCGTACGCAGCTTCGAGAGCCCCGAGGAGGTTGTGGTGGTCTGGGACAACGGTACGGCCGCCAACTACCGCTGCTCCGGGGCCTACGACCTCCGTGTGCTGGACAGCGCGCCTACCGGTAAGGGGAGACAGAACATCTGGGGAGAGATTCTACATATAGAATGTATTTATATTCATCTGGGGAGAGATTCCACGTATAGAATGTATTTATATACATGTGGGGAGAGATTCCACGTATAGAATGTATTTATATGCATGTGGGGAGAGATTCCACGTATAGAATGAATTTATATCATGTGGGGAGAGATTCCACGTATAGAATGTATTTATATGCATGTGGGGAGAGATTCCACGTATAGAATGTATTTATATGCATGTGGGGAGAGATTCCACGTATAGAATGTATTTATATGCATGTGGGGAGAGATTCCACGTATAGAATGTATTTATATGCATGTGGGGAGAGATTCCACGTATAGAATGAATTTATATACATGTGGGGAGAGATTCCACGTATAGAATGTATTTATATGCATGTGGGGAGAGATTCCACGTATAGAATGTATTTATATACATGTGGGGAGAGATTCCACGTATAGAATGTATTTATATGCATGTGGGGAGAGATTCCACGTATAGAATGTATTTATATACATGTGGGGAGAGATTCCACGTATAGAATGTATTTATATGCATGTGGGGAGAGATTCCACGTATAGAATGAATTTATATACATGTGGGGAGAGATTCCACGTATAGAATGTATTTATATGCATGTGGGGAGAGATTCCACGTATAGAATGTATTTATATACATGTGGGGAGAGATTCCACGTATAGAATGTATTTATATACATGTGGGGAGAGATTCCACGTATAGAATGTATTTATATGCATGTGGGAGAGATTCCACGTATAGAATGTATTTATATGCATGTGGGAGAGATTCCACGTATAGAATGTATTTATATGCATGTGGGGAGAGATTCCACGTATAGAATGTATTTATATGCATGTGGGGAGAGATTCCACGTATAGAATGTATTTATATGCATGTGGGGAGAGATTCCACGTATAGAATGTATTTATATGCATGTGGGGAGAGATTCCACGTATAGAATGTATTTATATGCATGTGGGGAGAGATTCCACGTATAGAATGTATTTATTTATATATAAATATGTATATATATATATATGTATATATATATATATATATATATATATACACACACACACACACACACACACAATGGGAACACCCCTGCCTATCACTTTGTGTATGATTATATTTATCAGTCTGTGATACAGCTCTATATGCATAGTACTTATATCCAGCCCTGTCTGATACAGCATGCATAATATTAATATCCAGCTCTGCATGCACAATATTAATATCCAGCTCTACATGCACAATATTGACATACAGCTCTACATGCACAGTACTAATATCCAGCTCTACATGCACAATATTGATATACAGCTCTACATACACAATCCTTATATCCAGTTCTACATGCACGATATTAATATCCAGCTCTACATGCACGATATTAATATCCAGCTCTACATGCACGATATTAATATCCAGCTCTACATGCACGATCATCCAGCTCTACATGATCTTTATATCCAGCTCTACATGCACGATCTTTATATCCAGCTCTACATGCACGATCTTTATATCCAGCTCTACATGCACGACATATCCAGCTCTACATGCACAATATATCCAGCTCTACATCTATGTCCAGCTCTACATGCACAATCTTTATATCCAGCTCTCTACATGCACGATATTAATATCCAGCTCTACATGCACGATATTAATATCCAGCTCTACATGCACGATATTAATATCCAGCTCTACATGCACGATCTTTATATCCAGCTCTACATGCACGATCTTTATATCCAGCTCTACATGCACGATCTTTATATCCAGCTCTACATGCACGATCTTTATATCCAGCTCTACATGCACGATCTTTATATCCAGCTCTACATGCACGATCTTTATATCCAGCTCTACATGCACAATCTTTATATCCAGCTCTACATGCACGATATTAATGTCCAGCTCTACATGCACGATATTAATGTTCAGCTCTACATGCACGATATTAATGTCCAGCTCTACATGCACGATATTACTGTCCAGCTCTACATGCACGATATTACTATCCAGCTCTACATGCACGATATTACTATCCAGCCCTACATGCACGATATTACTGTCCAGCCTCTACATGCACGATATTAATGTCCAGCTCTACATGCACGATATTAATGTCCAGCTCTACATGCACGATATTAATGTCCAGCTCTACATGCACGATATTAATGTCCAGCTCTACATGCACGATATCAATGTCCAGCTCTACATGCACGATATCAATGTCCAGTTCTACATGCCCGATATTAATATCCAGCTCTACATGCACAGTACTGATATCCAGCTCTAGATGTATTTTATGCATACACATTGGTCTGTACTGTGATTGTATATGGTCTGTTTATAATCACTCCTCTTAGATACAACTCTAGATGTATCATGGAAGTCAGGGTGTTCTGTGTTTTACATTTATAATTCTGTAATTCAGTTCTAAATGCACTATTGTTGATAGCCATGTAAGCCTAAATCCGCAGTCAGGGTTTTCCACTAAACCATGAATTGTGGAAAATTGCCAAGCAACCTTCAATTTTTTTTGTTGAAAATAGCAAAGCTACAAAAAATAGCAGAGTTGCAAATTTTTCCCCAGTTTGTCTGTTTTGGCAATTAGAGAGTAACAGTGTTAGCATCTATTCCTCCCCTCCTGTGCTAAAACACTAGATGCACAATAGTTCTACTATTATTTCTGTTACTCCTTTTAGATGTGCATAATGGATGTTCTGTATAAAAGGCGTTTTAAAAAATGCAGCAGATTTGGAAAAGTGTTTCCATGGTGACTGCCCCATGTTTAGACCACTTTTCAGAACCACACACTTCACTACAGGTCATAGAGAAAAGAATGTACTGTATATATGTATAAATGTGTATATAACATTTTTTTTCCTTCCATTGTGTAATGAAACCATTTATGCAATATGTGATATTTTAAAAGTTCTAAAGATGGAACTATCAGTTGTTACATTTCACACGTTTCCATGATACTATCAGCACTTTAAGACTGTTACCCACCAATTTCCCAGTACCTCACAGAGCGATATTCTTCAGCTCAAATTTTAACTTTTTATTTTTTTATTTCTCCACCTGTGTTACAGTTGGATGATTGGGGTTTATGTGTATTATTCACTCTATTTGTTTAATGTTTTTCAGGGTTATTATTTAAAGTGAGAATTACCAAGAATTTAAAGTGATTTCAAAATAAATTTCAAAATGTATTCCAAAATGCAATAATTCTCAAAGTCAGTTCTGTGTTCAGTTTATCGCTTTTGGATTTAAATTTGGAAATCACATTGAATTATTTGCTGTTCCCAGTTGATTCAAAAAACTCTGTATGTATGTTTTGTTGCCATTCCTTCTTTTATTTAATACCCCTTTAGATACAATGGGGGATATGAAGAATGAAAATGTTCTAAAAGTAGAACATTTTGTAGGACCATGCATTCCATTGTGAATGCTCTACTCTGGTTTTTGTAAATTCAGTAATATTCCATTGGTTTCCTTGGTGATTGCTCTTCTTTTAGAGTTTTCCTCCACTAATTAGTCTGTATATACAACCAAACTATTTATATTCCTTTATGTCTCTTCACACAGGGTCCTATGTATATTCAACTGTAAATGTAAATAATACATTAACCTGAGAAAGATTCACTAAACTGAGAAATGTGAGACACCAAGCCGTGTTGGCCATAACAAGTTTTGAGTTTTTTCAGTTTAACACATAGAGCAAAAATTCCCTAAATGCTCGTCGTTAAGTTTGTGAACCTCCACATTACAAAAGGTGAAAGGCTGTACAAATCATTCCACCAAAAACACCATCCTTAGCTGTTCAGATTAGCCAGCTTACTTGTAGATTGTAAGATTCCAAACAAGGTTTTTGAAATCTACTGTGTTTTAAAACAGTTTTGTTTGTTTTTGTTTATTATGCCTATTAATAAATGTATCCATTCACTAAAAAAAATTAATAACTTTCCCAGGTATCAAACATGATGGAACAATGTGTGACACCTGCCGCCAGCAACCGATTATTGGAATACGCTGGAAATGTGCAGAATGTACAAATTATGACCTGTGCACTGTATGCTATCATGGAGACAAACACCATTTAAGACATCGCTTTTACAGAATCACAACGCCTGGAAGTGAACGGTGAGAGAAATATCTGAATCGGCTTTGATCATTTCTAAACAGGCAAATATGCCATTAAGTTGTTTCCATTCTAGAAACCTTAAGCTTATACACAAGAATACAAGCATTTGTGTACAACCTTTTATGAAGCCATTGGAGAATGGCAACTGTTGGCCAGACAAATGAGCGGCTTAATTTTTGTTAGGAAATGGATAGCTATTTTCATATACTAGAGGATTAGCGTACTGCATTACTGTGCAGCCTGATTTTTGTGCTTGTTCTTTAGTGGAAACGTACCAAATGTCAATCTGTCTGGAATTTTGCACTCCAAAAATTTTAGTTTTTTGTGATTCTGTTGCTATTATGATAACAGGCTTTTGTTAAAATAAAGTCTTGTTGAAGCTATTGTTGTGATGCTACAAGATTGGTTGTTAAAGGAACACTATATTGTCATAGTCTTTACACCCCACTCTCCCTCATATGTTAAAAAAAAAAAAAAAAGTTTTAACTTGCCTTTTATTTTATTTTCTTATTTTTCCTCCATCGAAACTCACTTGGTGCTGCCGGTAACTCCTCTTTCTGTTATTTCTTACTGCAGACTCATAGAGAAACCTTCCGGACAATATGCACAAGATTCCATATGAGCTGCATTAGATGACATTCGACATCCTCATGCAATTCGTGAGAATGTCAAACGTCACATAGAGTAAAACTCTGTTATGAGTGTGGATGGGGGAGGAATGCTATTTGCACCAAAGCTGAATAAGTGGTTTTAATTTATAGATCATGCCCGTGCAGTCTCACTGCTAAATTCACTGCCATTTAGGAGTTATATCACTTTGTTTATGCAGACTTAGCTACACATTTCCTGGCTGTAATTCACACACTCCCTGCACACTTCCTGGAAAATAGTTTAAATTCTTTAGATTCCCTTATTGCATAAAGTGTTTAAAGTGCTACTACAAAAGAGAAACGGTGTTAAATAAAGACATGATTTTGGTCAGTGTAACCTTTCCTATCTGCCACCCCAAAGCTATTTTAGCTTCAGGAGATCCTGTAATATATTTTATAGGACAGATGAACAACTTTGAAGATAAACAGGCGATTTAAAAATAGATGAACTATTTAAAACCAAAACTAATTTCCTAGTTAGAATTTTCGGCCAATTTGCAGTTCAAATTCAAATCATTATCTTTATTCAGAAAGTATGCATATGAAAATAAACTAATGAGCCTGTCTACTTTAAAAATCAAATTTCCTAGTGAAGTATACAGTTTGAACTTTTAAAAGGGTTATTTTATATTTGACCTTATTTTAAAGAATCACTGTCTCTTTAAGGGTTCTCTTGGAGTCTCGTCGCAAATCAAAAAAGATTACTGCCAGAGGAATCTTTGCAGGTGCTCGAGTGGTCCGTGGAGTAGATTGGCAATGGGAAGACCAAGATGGTGGTAATGGCAGAAGAGGGAAGGTAGGAATCTGGTTGTATTTTTTTTTTAATACTTGTTTACATTGTAGTTGTTTTCTGCCCACACTGTAGTATACTGTGTTTTAATCTCAGACTGTGCAAAAAGAAAACCGATGTAGATGACACTGTTTTCAGTGTGTTCTTTAACTGCTAGGTAAACTGTTATCCCTAGAATTATAAAACTGTTAGGATTAAACAATGCTTTAAACCCCTTGTTTCTGGTTTCCTGCCTGAATGAGGATTGTGATGAAAATATTCATGCCAGTAACAGAGAGGAAATGCCAATGGTATTGGTGGATTTGCCAGTCTCTGACTGCAGCTATTTTGTCTCGTTACAACTTAACTTTTCTTGAATCCTGCCTCTTTTAGTTTTTCACGATTTCAGATAAAAGAAAGCAGCTAGTGCTCGGACTAGCTAAACTGTACATAGAACATAGAAACATAGAAACATAGAATGTGACGGCAGATAAGAACCATTCGGTCCATCTAGTCTGCCCAATTTTCTAAAAACTTTCATTAGTCCCTAGCCTTATGCCTATCCCAGGCATGCTTAAACTCCTTTACTGTGTTAACCTCTACCACTTCAGCTGGAAGGCTATTCCATGCATCCACTACCCTCTCAGTAAAGTAATACTTCCTGATATTATTTTTAAACCTTTGTCCCTCTAATTTAAGACTATGTCCTCTTGTTGTGGTAGTTTTTCTTCTTTTAAATATAGTCTCCTCCTTTACTGTGTTGATTCCCTTTATATATTTAAATGTTTCTATCATATCCCCCCTGTCTCGTCTTTCCTCCAAGCTATACATGTTAAGATCCTTTAACCTTTCCTGGTAAGTTTTATCCCGCAATCCATGAACCAGTTTAGTAGCCCTTCTCTGAACCCTCTCTAAGGTATCAATATCCTTCTGAAGATACGGTCTCCAGTACTGTGTACAATACTCCAAGTGAGGTCTCACCAGTGTTCTGTACAATGGCATGAGCACTTCCCTCTTTCTACTGCTAATACCTCTCCCTATACAACCAAGCATTCTGCTAGCATTTCCTGCTGCTCTATTACATTGTCTGCCTACCTTTAAGTCATCAGAAATAATCACCCCTAAATCCCTTTCCTCATATGTTGAGGTTAGGACTCTATCAAATATTCTGTACTCTGCCCTTGGGTTTTTACGTCCAAGATGCATTATCTTGCACTTATCCACATTAAATGTCAGTTGCCACAATTCTGACCATTTTTCTAGTTTACCTAAATCATTTGTCATTTGGCTTATCCCTCCTGGAACATCAACCCTGTTACATATCTTAGTATCATCAGCAAAAAGACATACCTTACCATCAAGACCTTCTGCAATATCACTAATAAAAATATTAAAGAGAATGGGTCCAAGTACAGATCCCTGAGGTACCCCACTGGTGACAAGTCCAAGCTTCGAATATATTCCATTAACTACAACCCTCTGTTGCCTGTCACTCAGCCACTGCCTTACCCATTCAACAATATTTGAATCCAAACTTAAAGATTGCAGTTTATTGATAAGCCTTCTATGTGCAACAGTGTCAAAAGCCTTACTGAAATCTAGGTAAGCAATGTCTACTGCACCACCCTGATCTATAGTTTTAGTTACCCAATCAAAAAAATCAATAAGATTAGTTTGGCATGATCTCCCTGAAGTAAACCCATGTTGTCTCTGATCTTGAAATCCATGTGTTTTTAGATGTTCATCAATCCTATCCTTTAACATGGTTTCCATCACTTTCCCCACTACTGAAGTAAGGCTTACTTAGTGTTGTTTTAGAGATTGTCTGTGTTGGAGTGACTCACATTTAATAAACCACACATGGCACAAAAGACACGTACAGACATTTATTTTCCATTATCAGTTAACAATTCCTGTAATCTTTGTAGCACAGGACAGGAAATACCTTTTAGTCCTTACCACACTCATACATTTCCTATCAAACACACAGTCCATCTCACACACGACACACATGCATTACCAATTAAACCTGATGCTGTCCAATGCTGAACCCATCACACACGTGAAACTGCTATTACATCACCTTTACACAGCTCATTTTTAAAGAGCACTAAAGTGATCCTGTCCGTTTAACCCTGTAAAATAAAACGTTGCAGTTTTATTTTTGTTTACATTACTTGATTAAAGGGACACTACACTGCCCAAATACAAAATAAATAAAATTCACTGTATGAACACATGCATGCATTTAATTATGTATTTTTTCAATGGGGATGTAACCCTTTAAACAAGCCTCTAGGCAGGCATAGGCAACCATCGGCACTACAGCTCCCATGATTCTTTGCCAGCATTATGGGGGATGTAGTCCACAACATCTGGAGTGCCGAATGTTGCCTATCCCTATTGTTATGATACTAATAATAGAACTGCATTGGTCCTTAAAAGGGACACTTTAGGCCCCATAACCACTCGTTGACTTCTTTTTCACAAACTTGCTTTGAAAAGGTAAGTTTCTTTCCAAGCCAGTTTTGTGACACGGGGGGGGGGGGTTCAGATGGCTGGAAGCATCATCTGACCGTTCTGCCTGGCGGCACTCAACGCTTCCTGAAACAGAAATTTCAGAAGCTGGGTGCCGCCTGGGAGAAGTTGAGATCTGCGCTGGAGGCAACTTTGTGGTTAAACAGTTCGAGAATGAATTAACCCCTTGAGATAAGAGTGTGCCCGGGGGCCTTCTGGCACCATAAACAACTCAATTTAGATTTTTTTTTTTTTTTAAATAAAATAAAACCTAAATCTATCAAAAATAACTATTTTGTTGATTTACCCCTATGAAAACATGCTATTAATTTAATTATGCATTTTTAAAATTCATATCTAAAAACAGTTTGCAAAAAGTTTGTTTCTTTTTCTCTTTCTTTTCATCTCAAACTGTTAAACTAAAATATTTTATAGCTTTGCCTATGTAAACAAAACATGATAAATATTTTTCTCATTTGACTCAAAATCAAATGTGCTTTTTTTTCCTACATGTTGATAGAAGGCAATGAATTGCGCAGCCTCTCTTTGCCAAGCTACTGTACATGCTCCTAATATCACTAACAAGAACCAGAGACTTTTTGGAAGAACCACCTAACCACATGAAACTGTCAGGAAATGCGTTTGCCTCTGTTTCTGAGTATTTATGAAAGCATGTGCTACCTCTGCAGTTGGTAATAAAACAACAATAATATATTAAATGTGTGTCTTGTAAACAAAACCTTGGAATGAATCCATTAAAGGAACAGTATACCGTTAGGAATACAAATATGTATTCCTAACGCTATAGAGCCCTAGTCTCCTTTTAGGTAACTAAGACCCCGTTCCGCAGCGCATAAATGGTTAATTAACCATTTATTTGCTTACCTTAATCCACCGCCGGGCTCCCTCTGCACTGGTGACCTCTCCTCCATCGACGTCAGCTTCCGAGTGGAGCCGAATGCGCCTGCGCGGCCAGAGGTGAGCACGCATTCAAACCTGCCCATAGGAAAGCATTACTCAATGCTTTCCTATGGGGTTCTTTTTGGACGTTGGACTCCATGAGGACGTCCAGCGTAAAATAAGTGCAAATTACTCAGTGTAAATTGCGTTAGTGGCTGTTAGGGAGACAGCCATTAGAGGCTGGATTAACCCTCAATGTAAACATAGCAGTTTCTCTTAAACTACTTTGTTTTCATCTGCAGGGTTAAAACTAGGGGGACTTGGCACACAGACCACTTCATTGAGCTGAAGTGGTCTGGGTGCCTATAGTGATCATTTAAGTCTACAGAATTAAGAAAATGTAGAATATATTTAGGTAAAAGACTTTGACTGAAATATTGAGGGGATCTTTATCAATTACATTGTTGCTTTTAACTCTTTAGGAAATTTTTTAATATGTAATTATTATTTCATCTTAGTCAATGCAAAAAAAGGTAAATTATTAAAATTAGAATGTTTGTTTCCTTTTTAATTACAATTAGGTAACGGAGATCCAAGATTGGAGTGCATCAAGCCCACACAGCGCTGCGTATGTTTTATGGGACAATGGAGCAAAGAATCTTTATCGAGTTGGATTTGAAGGCATGGTAAGCAGCTCTGGATGACAATGGGGGCTACCAACTGTGAAGGCGGGAAGGTCCAAATGAGTGCTTTCTTTTGATATTTCTTTCTGTCCGTGCCTTTGTGCTGTCTGCCTGCCGGCATTGACGGTTAGAGGAGATCCCTTTTGTGGATAGATCAGAGGCAAATGTGCGTGTGCATTACTGTGAAATCTGTGTATTTGCATCTCATTTAACTTAATGGATGTTAAATTAGAATGAAAACACATCATGGAACCTAATGTTAAGGTTTTTTTCAAGCATTTTGAGCTGTTGTGGAAATGGTTTTGTTATAGGTGAATTTTAGGTAAATAGGGATGCAATTCTCTACTTGCTATTTTTTTTATTATTTATTTAATTTTTGGTTTTGTAATTCTTCATCTTAATTGCAGTTAATATAAAATAGCACATTAAAAGGATGCTATATATAAACTCTGAGGCACATTCTTTTGTTTTCTCTTTATGCAACAAGAAGTGTGCTTTTTGTTGCAGACACGAGGCTGCCTTTCATCTGTTGCCATCTGTGCTCTTTATTGTCAGTGATCTGTGATTTGAATTCCAACTCTCTTTTCTGATTGGCTGAATCCACATATTGAATTTCAAATGGTCCAGTTACATTGTTCTTGTTTTTGCTGCAGTTTAAATCACCTGCTATCTTTTAAATGTATGGTTTGTTGCAGACAAAAAAAAAAACATTCTAGGAAATTGCAGTACTATGATTTAAACTTAATGGAAACACAGAAACATTAATACAATAAAAAGTAACAAAAACATAGTATTGTAAAATGAGCCATAATCTTATGTGCCCTTCTTTAGAATGCAAAACTGAAGGAATTTTGTAGTCCTTTAATATTTTTTTCCAGTCTGTCAACATTACATTGGGTGCTTTTGTCCTTTGATCTGTGCAACCAAGTGATATGATTGCTTATTTATGTTGAAGTCTGCTTTCTGAGGTTACCTGTCTCTGTATTTAAAGTTACTAGATGCTGAATAAAGTAGGCAATGTAATACAGCTAATCATTGTCAGTGAGAAATAAAGAAACCCCTTTACTCATTTTGAAGCCGCTTCCGTAGAATTCTTCATGTGGGAGGAAGACTCTCTATCTTTTTTTTTTGGTATGATAATCACACTCCACAAACACATTTATGTCTGACTTAAAGCAAGTGTCTAAAGATGGGACACCTCAACAAGGTGGATGTTGTTGTCCTGCTGAATGTTCACTTTTTCTTCAGTCTGTAATTTTCTTAAAGGTACACCATAATGCTTCAAGAATTTTATACATCTGTATTGTTTTATCAAATTCTTATTCTGACCTATTGCCATTTAAACATTAAAACAATTTAAAAAATTTTATACAAGTTGCAAACTTTTCCACCATATATCTCTGTAAACCTATCTATCTTGCTCCAGTATTATTGAATCTAATTTATCAATAAAAGGTATATTACCTTTGTGTAAAATCTGAACCAGCATGCCAACGTAATTGGCAAGCAGTGCTTTTAATTCATTAACACAGCCACACAATACATTGAAACAATCAAGTAAGAATAACAATGATCTTAATTACTGAACCAAAACAATTTGCTATCCCAACCCCAGACCCCTGGGAACCAGTGCATACTAATTTAGAGTTCCCAAAAATAATTACTGCACCAAATGCTTAGAGAATGCCTGAATACAAAAGATAACCAATGCAAGCAAGATGTTTTTTTTATTCAGCATCAAACTGGGATGTAATTTTAAAGTTATTTAAACATAAAAATATTTTTCTAATACTCTTCAGAAAACAATTCATATCTAGAGGTTTTGAATACTTCCTGTTCGTCTTTTTATAAAGTAGCATCAGGAAACATGCTAGGATTTTTTGCTGGCATTGCAGAGTATTCTGTTTCCTAGTACAAAATCCACTGGTAGAGTAAGAAATCACTGCTGTAGTTTCACTCCGTTCCATGTAATTTATGAATTATAATGACTCTTGATCAGAGCTTAACTCTCCTTTTTTTTTTTTTTTATGTCTTGTTAGAAGTATAAAGCTTAAAAGGGTAAAAATTAGATGTGGCAACATGAGCCTCATTTAAAATAAATAAATCAAACCACAAAACATGAAGTTTTCACCCAGCTCTCAATGTTCCATTTTAAATCCATTTACCACATGTAATGTGTGTTTTGCAGTCTGACCTTAAATGTGTGCAAGACGCTAAAGGAGGGTCATTTTACCGAGATCATTGCCCTGTGTTAGGTAAGTTGTATATTGTTGTTTTGGTTTTTATTTTTCTTCTTCTGTTTTCCAACAAACATTGATTTAATAGTGTGTGTACAGAGCTAGCGGCAAGTCTATAAATGTATTTTTTTGTGTTAACTTGGATCTTCACAAAAGACTGTTTGGATGTGCTAAATGAATTACTTCATTGTTCTGCCCAGACGTTTTCAGTGCTGCTGCTTTCATAGCCCTGTTGTGTCTCTCAGTTGAAAGGGCACAGGAATATAGATGTAGACTGGAGATTATTTATATCACTAAATGTATTAACATTATACCTGCTGTCCTAACAGCTTCTTCAAGTGCATATTTCACAACTTTAAAAATCTCTTACTATAATTGCTAAATATTAAGTGCATGTGAAACTATCATTTTATACAATAAGCACCATCAATACAAATTATTTATTTTTTAAATCTATCAAATACAACCAACCTCTATATTACATTGGCATGTAGTGGTTATGCTGACAACTACAATATCTAATGATACAATAGTGTTTGCAAAAAACAAAAAGATGTGCTTATTGGATAGGGGGTTAGGCTGCATGTGCTGTTCTTCGATTCTTGGTCTATACATTTTCAAGTGATTAAATAAAAATCAGGGTTTAATTGCCCAGCCCCCTGTACTTCTCTTGCTAAGGCAGAGTTATTTTACTGTCTTAGTCAAGGGTCCTCAAACTCTGTCCCCCCATATGTTGCTGAACTACAACTCTCATGATTCTGGCTATCTATGTAATTCAAAGAATCATGGGAGTTGTAGTTCAGCAACATCTGTGGGGCCGGAGTTTGAGGACCCCTGGCCTTAGTCATGTCTGTTTCAGGGATATTCTAAAGCTGTTCATTGACTGAGCTGGTCAGTTGATGCTTATACAGTTTGACCTAAGTAGTTATGGTTATTGTGCATGGGCTTACAGTTATTTGGGCATAAGTCTCACCAAACATGGCACAGCAGTATCTCCTAGTCAACGCAAAACTGCCCAGTGTGGGTAAACTTACAAAAGTCTGAGAAACTTTATGGTGAGACTTATGTTAAAGGGACACTCAACTGCCCAAATACAAATAAAATTCACTGTTTAATAGATTGGGGAATATATAAAAAACTGATTTCAAACTCTGCATTTCTCTTGTTTACTGCCTTTGCAAACCTTCCAACTCCACCCATTCTTTCTGTGGCTGTCCAATCACTGACTTCCCAATGCAGCTCAATGAGAAATCTTTGCAAGGCAGGTGCTCTGGGCTATTGCTGCCTCTTGAGTTTAGCTACACTGAGCTAATTAGACGAGGAAGTAAAATGACTTGTTGTCTTATTAAAACCCAGGGGTTAGTAATCAGGTTAATTTATAAAAGTGTCAATTTCAATTGAAATCTTTTTATAATAAAAATAATAACTCTGCACACATAAAGCTTATCAGCAAGCCAAAGTGCTTTAGGGGTCTGAATTTCCCTTTAATGCTGCACTCTGCATTTAAGGCATTTTAGCAAAGTATACTTAATATAATTTGCAATTTACAAGACACCTTAAGAAAAAGAAAAAGCTTATTATGGCGGTTATTTTGAAAGATACAATGCATGGAGCCCCTCAAGTTCTTGTCAATCCATTTTTATAAATGGTTTGACAAACATTTTAGGATTTATCGGCACACCATTAGCCGACCCTCTTTTTTTGAGACAATGTAGCCTTTTAGCACCATAACCAGAAAGGCTGCACTGGATTTGCACGCAGACTCCCTGTAATACATAATTACAAAAAAATTCCATGTTGCCAAAGCAATAAATGCGAATTTAAAAAAATTGTTACAGGATGCCATATACCAGTGGCAGGAAAAATAAATTGGCCATGACATCTTGGCTCCAATTTTTGAGTTTCATGCACTTTTCGTAAGTATGTTTTAACTAAAGGCAGTTGTTGCCATGATTATTTTTGCGAGTGTTCATTTGTTCTGGATTTTTTTTTTTTCCTTCAAAAGCAGTGATGTTTTTCTTCATCTACAACCCTTGGCAAGCGACCTTCTAATGATCACATTTATTTCCCTGTTTTTGTGATTTCAGACATTTGTTTTATTAATAGTTCACAAGGGTGAATTGCACGGTTCAAATTTAAGTTTTGTGTTCCAAGAGACACTGTGGGCACTGTATCTGCTTCATTTCATTGAACTGGGTATCGTGTCTTCACTCCCCTGGTGCTGTTTTTTCATTCAGCATTAAACCGTTTTTAGTGGATTTATGTTTTAAGGAGTCCCCAGCATGTCATGATTGAGCTAGTGTAAGAATTAGCCTAAGCAACATTGAGCAGCTGTGATTGGCTGAGCGTGTCAGCTGACTGCTTATAGCTTATCAGAGTGCCCATTGTCGGTATGAATGGGTATGGCAACAAGGAAGTGTGTAATTTCTGCTTTAGCCACAACTCCAATAGGGGCCGAACTGTGGGTGGCCGGGAACCTTTATTTAGTGTAAAACTTCTTGAAAATGGTTTATCACTGAATGAAGGGACAGTGCCAGGGAATCCAGGCACTATAACCAATTCACACAGATACAGTGTCTTTTTAAGTTTTAGATATTCCCTACATGGAGTAAGAGGTTCCCTAAAGTAGATTCCTTAGCTGTTGCTAGAGCATCATGATTGTTGTAGTTCTGCAACAGCTGAGAACCTACCTTTTAGGTTCCACTGGTAAGTGTGTATATTTTAATTTCATTTTTGTATCGATGTGAAGCTTTCTTTGTCATCTATATCATTTGCATGACAGGTTGAATTTTTGAAGTACATTTATTTTAAGTAATGTTTAGTTTAGAATGCTAAATATTTATTTTTTTCGTACCATGGTTTTTTTTTTTTCTTCATAGGGGAACAAAATGGTAATCGTAACCCAGGTGGTCTTTCAATTGGCGACCTAGTTAATATTGACCTGGAGTTGGAGATTGTGCAATCATTGCAGCATGGTCATGGAGGATGGACTGATGGCATGTTTGAAACACTGACGACCACTGGCACAGTTTGTGGCATTGATGAAGACCATGATATTGTGGTGCAGTACCCCAGTGGAAATAGGTGTGTTAAGTTACAATTGCCTTTACATTGTACATGTTCCATTATATGCTGGTAAGCATGTCAGAATTTTAACTTAAAATGTCATTATCCTCAACCAAACTGTAAAAACCAAACCAGTGATATTCTGAGGACCTTAAAACGTTCATAGTAATAGAAGCTCAGAATGGTTTTATAGCCTCACTCGGCTCTGTGATAGTTTAAAGAGATCTTTCAGGCAGCAAGTGAAAATTGAGAATGCTAATTTTCTGTAAAGATGGAAGAATTCCCAATATCCATTTTACAGTGGGAAGTGAAAAAGAATGAACAGATACATTTTACATCTGCAGGTGATTTCTCAGTGTTGCCTTGATCCCCTGTCAGAGAGCGTTATCCGAAAAATGTATTCTTGGGTGGTTTAAAAATCCGTTCCAGTATATTAAAAAATGTTTTTACTTTTACATTTTAAATTTTTACTTTTAAAAATTTTAAAAGTAGTTTGAAAAGTTTTTTTCTATCTTTTTGTGTATATTCTGACAGATATATGCCCCACTAAAAATACTATGTGAATAGTCTGAGATTATTCTGCCTCACTTTCCAAGCCAAGATAGAAGTTGTTTAAGTGAACACCAGAAACAAATGTATTTTTCTGGTGTAAAAAGAAAAGTGTATGTATTAATAAATGGAATTCATTACACAAATGGCAAGAAAAGAAAAAAAGTGACAAAGTGGCAAAAATAACAAATGGTTTAATTCACTGCAGAAAAAAAAAAATGCAGATGATTCAGCAACACTTTGATAAATGTCCCTTTATGATTTCAGTTAGTTATTATTTTCATTTGCGACCTAGATTTTTTTTATCGGAACTGTCAAATAACCGAAAGTGGGCGCTGCAGTTTTTTTTTTTTTGCTTGTAATGATTCTTACACATCCAGTGCAACTGATTAAAAAAAGAACTAAAAATAGATTCAAATAGTAGTCCTCATTGTTAAATGACTAGTGTGTTTTGGATCTAAATAACATTTTGATAATTAACTCTACCCCTATTCCAACCACCACTCTTAAGACTATACCAACCCTTACCAAATGCTTACACAAACTCTACCCTAGTCTAAGTGACTCTTTCTTTGTTTCTCTTTCTTCTCTAATCTAACCCTTAACCCTACACTGTCTTTAACAGCATTAACCCATACCTAACCCTTTAGCTAACCCTACCCTACTCTGACACCAAAGTTTAACCCTAACACTAAGGTAACCCACTGCTAATATTTATTCTGATGTTAGAAATGGGTTTTGCTGTATTTAAAGGGACACTGTAGGCACCCAGACCACTTCAGCTCATTGAAGTGGTCTGGGTGCCATGTCCCTTAACGCTACTGTGGTAATTATTGCAGTTTCTGAGAAACTGCAATAATTACGTCCGAGGGTTAACTCCACCTCTAGTGACTGTCTACAAGACAGCCACTAGAGGGACTTTCTGAATTGAAACGGACCTTTGGTCAGTTATCTGACGCTGGATGTCCTCACGCTCTGCATGAGGACTTCCAGCGTCAGATTTTTCCCCATAAGAAAGCATTGAATAATGCTTTCCTATGTAGAAATCCTAATGCAAGCACAGCTATTGCCACTCATACGCACTAGGTCGCGGGGGAGGAGCGTGGGCGGTGCCTGACCCAGCACCGAGGGACATCAGCGCTGGATTCAGGTAAGTAACTGAATGGGTTTTAAGGGGGTGGGGGCGCATGAGGGTGTAGGGCACTAGTACTCTATAGTGCCAGGAAAATGGCTTTGTTTTCTTGGCACTCTAGAATCCTTTTAACACAGTAGATGGTGGTATGTTGCCACCATCTACTGGCCGTTTTCAGAATTACACTTACTGTAATTCTAAATAGAGCTCTGGTCCCATATATAGGGATCAATGCTGGGCTGCTGGCAAAGCCCAGCACCAGTTCCATTCAGCTAGGGACAAGCTGATATCTGGGGTTAGTGGCATGAACAAGGATTTAACCCTGTGCACACTAGGATGTTTACATAGGGATACATTGGGAGGCTAGTGTGCATTGGCAGCAAAACACTGCACTGTGATAATCAAATGCTCTGTAGTAATTTGATCTATAGCAGAGTTTAACTCAGCTGTGAATGCAGTGTTTTACATTGCAGGGTTAAAACTACAGGACCACTGCACCCAGATATCTTCATTGTGATGAAATGGTCTGGACATGTTTGGACTTTTAACAGGACTATTGCCCTGCTTGACTGAAGCATTCTCATGCAGGGCTAATTGGTTTGGGATAGTTGGAATGTTGAATGGACTTGGTGGTAGGTTTTTGATTAGTGTACTATGCACATCCCTGATCAATGGATTTTTGGGAGTACATGTTAGGCGGTTAGCATTACCGTTAAACCTTGTTTTAAATTAAATGTAATTTCTCACAATTCTGTTACAATTGCTTTAAAGGATCACTATAGGGTCAGGAACACAAACATGTATTCCTCACCCTCTAGTGTTAAAACCACCACGCAACCCCCCTGGGCCCCTCATGCCTCCATAAATATAGTAAAAATCTTACTGTATTCAAGCCTGAAGCTGTAACTCTGCATGCTGTTAGAATCAGAAAAACAAGCAGTCTGCTGACATCATTAGAAGTGGTGGCCTGATCTAATCACAGTGCTTCCCCTTAGGATTGGCTGAGACTGGAGGCAGATCATGGGCAGAGCCAGCATGATTCAAACACAGCCCTGGCCAATCAGCATCTCCTCATAGAGATGAATTGAATCAATGAATCTCTATGTGGAAAGTTCAGTGTCTGCATTCAGAGGATGGAGACTCTGAATGTTTGGATGCATTTTAGGCAGCCATGACCCAAGAAGAATATCTAACAGCCATCTAAGGAGTGGCTGGTGAAGTTATCACTAGGCTGTAATGTAAACACTGCCTTTTCTCTGAAAAGAGGTAATTATTCTACTCACCAGAACAAATGCAATAAGCTGTAGTCTTTCTGGTGACTGTAGTGTCCCTTTGACAGCTGCTATCCTTCTGATATCTGTTAAACCTGTATTTACATAATCACTTTAACTTGCAGTTACATTTAGAAAACTACATGTGTTTGATTATTTTTGAGCTGGCTGGAGTTTCTGTACTATATAACTAGTATGAATACTTTGAAGCTTTATAAGAACGTTAGCTTACCAGTGGCTATAGTACTTGGAGGCACTATGGGTTGTCCCTCTAATTTTTGTTAAACTGTATATGCGAGATTTTGGAAAGACCCACCACATCTGCTAGAGACATCATAATAAGTACACTTTGTTATCATATGTCCATAATATTGTATATCTTTGTACTTAGATGTTACTCCAGTGAGATACCTCAGTGAGCTAATGCTTCACCATTAGAATCTTGGGGTTCGCAGGTTCAACTCCCGACGGGTTTGACTCAGCCCTTCATCCTTCCGTGGTAGATAAAATAAAAATTTACTCAATTAAATTGGGTAATAGTAAAATCCGCTGCATGTCTGGCAAAAGTTACATCCGCAGGACGTACTTGGAAACCAGAGAAATCTAAATGTACCTTTCCTTCTTAAACACTTTGCTGCTATTATGTAAATTTATTGCCAGGTAAGAATTTTTTTTTCAAATTAATCAACAAATATAAATCTGTACAAATAATATCAATATAATATTCTCCTGAATAGTTGGGAGGGGGGGAAAACTGTCAATTTTGTAGCAGAAAATGTATAGTTTCAAAAGGAAATCATTTTTCATTTCTTTTTCTATTATGGTTTTCTTTGCAATACAATCTTCAGAAAACCTTGTGTATAATTTGTAATGTTGCAAACATTTATAAACTTGTAGGTGGACATTTAATCCAGCTGTTCTCACCAAGGCAAACGTTGTTCGAAGTGGGGATGCTGCGCAAGGCGCTGAAGGAGGAACATCTCAGTTTCAAGTGGGAGACCTTGTACAGATATGTTATGACTTAGAACGAATAAAACTGCTTCAACGAGGCCATGGCGAGTGGGCTGAAGCTATGCTTCCGGTTAGTATAGTTAATAATTATTATTAATAAATGTTTCGTTATAATTATATGTTGTGGATAGATGGAATTATAGGCACCCTCTAGGCTGTAGTAGACTTGTGCATTCTATTGGTAAATAATGCATTACAAATACAGTCTAAAAAAAATTTAAACATTTTGTTGTTGTGGATTTACAACTATCTTCAAGCAGAGAGTGCTCCCTGCACTAGACGTCACTTTTACATGTTAGACAATTATACCTATACCATTATTTATTACTGTAGTAATGAACATATCTCGGGTTGTGGCGGTTATGGTTCTTGAAAAAATATCTCTTAAAAGGAACACTCTAACACAAGGAAATAGAACTAACCACGAGAAAAACTGTATGAAACTTATGAGTAAGCTCATAGCTGACACTCACTTCATAGTTTTCAAGAGTTGAGCCAAACATGTGTGTGACAATGACTCCAGGTTGAATCTAATTCCTTTTAATGCACACACGAATTACATTAAATCAGACTTCACATGTAAATCCTGGATGGAAGACTTCCAGGTGGGGATTAAAAGAATTTTGATAGACTGGCCTAAACACATTTTGTACCAGTCTTGGAGCCATGAGCTGTGAAGGGTGCACATGTTGCTATGCTTCGTGGAGTGTTCTATTAACTATACTTTTGTACAGGTTTAATGGATAGATATAGATGTACCTAACCCTTAAGAAGCAACTAAGTGGGTGAATTGTGCAAATGATGTGGGTCAGTGTGCGAATAAGCAATTCTGCTTACTGTTCCTGCTAGGCGTATCCTGTGAACATCTGTATAGCAGCAGATGATCTGTAAGTACTCTGCTCCCAGTGAAAAAAGTGGGACACGTAGCTGATCATCTGTTTATTAATGGGATAGATAACATGGGCGTGGAATTCCTATTTCCAGATGTCTGGGACATCCAGTTCAGGGCACTGGACAGGCAGATTGTTTTCTACCTTTAGCCCTGCCATTGGAAAGTGGCTGGGTTGATATGGTGGAGGACACGGATATATAGGAAGCACGAGGTCTGCACCTTCAGCGGTTGCAGATTACAGTAAAAGCTCCCTTGCAGTCCGATGCTCATTAAGAAGAGCGCAGCGGCCAGGATTCCTAGACTGTACTGTGACTCAGTGAGCACTAAATCAGGGAGGAGCGAATACTGTGGTCTGCAGCCCTTGAAGGTGCAGACCGCATGCTCCCCCATAGAACCACCAAGGAATTTTAACCTCCACTGGACCACCAGGGATCCTAGCCCCTTCCCTTTAGAAAGCTAAGCGGGGTTTGAGCAAACAAAGCACACGTACACATTAGACCCAACCAGCAAACCATGCGCATGCATTGCACAGCTATAAACATCAAACACATTACACACAGCCAGCGCAGACCACACACACACATGTACATTATGGGGAGCAGAGTCAGGGTTATTCAATAAACTCCAGAGTTTTCACAAATTAAATCTGAATGGAAAAACAGAGGCAAAAGTTTCTTAGTTAGTCTTTCCAGATCTTTTTTTTTTTTTGTCTGTTTTTCCAAGTTGGTTCTCAAAATATAACGTTTTGTGAATAACCCTGTCAATGTCCAGGGTTGTAGTAGCAACCTGAAATATTTATTTGTGTCTGGACAAGTGATTTATCATGGTGGAGAGGTGAATTGGGCCACTGATTTATTCCTTTAGACAAGTAGATTTAAAAAAAAATCTTTTTTACACCTTCGCACGTACTCATTAATTTAAGAAGATGCTTATTTGCAAACATCTTGAAGTGAATCTCTTAGTAAACTTGTATATTGTTTATTTAGTTTTGTGTGTGTATAGGACTTGTTGACTAAAGGTGCCTGGAGTGTGCCTTCAACTGAATTTACCCGTGCTGTGAATTTGTTTCCTTATTGTCCTTAGTCATGTAATATACATTCCCAAAGTTATATTTGCCAAACTTTACAACTAAAAATTTTCTACATCGCTGTTTAAATATGACAAAGTTTGCATCTCTGTAGGATTAACGTGCATATTTTTCCATGTATGTTACAACATTACATATTTCCTTATGTTTAATGTCATTTCTACATAATGACATAGTAATAAAATGTAATTGCTGATATTTTTGTGTGATCTAGAATAGTTAGTTTTTGCTTTCAAGAGGGACTTGTCACCTATTTTGATGCCTATATCTGGGATGTAATGTAATCAGTTGCACGTGTGATTGATAATCAATGCTGCCATTTTTCTCTGATGCATTGCACGAGCATGTGCTGTGTATATCACTTTACTGTGATTTCACGTATGAACAGTGACATTTTAAAGGAACGCTATAATATTACAGCACAGTTGGGGGCTCCTGGCAGATGAAGCACGAGGGGCTGAAGAAAGAAGATGGAGTACAGCATGTGGTACTTATAACTCCCCTAAGCTTTAACCCCTGGGCCACTGCACATCAAGTAGAGATGTCAGCGAGATGTCTACTTGGGAGTCTCTGCAAAATATGCAAAGATACCAGAAGGTGACAGAGCCACTTTAAGGAGGAGGTGCCTCTAGTGAAGGACTCTCTGACATCCACTAGAGGTTCATTTGTGGCAAAATGTAAACATTCTTATTTCTTAGAATTGTTTTACATGGTCCAAGAAAAGGGGGAGCATCTATGCACCAACACCACTACATTAAAAGCTGTATTAGCTACTGGTCTGTAGCTAAACATAACATTACAAATTCAAAAAAATACTTTATACTCAAGACTTTAATTGACTTTGTCTGTATTTGTTTGTATTTATGTCTTGCATCGTTTTAGAGAGTGTTTGTTTTACTCCCCTATGGTATGTTAACTGTTCACATACTCCTGTATTGTTGCATACTATGCATCTATGCATTTCTACTAAAACATTGAACAAACTTTAAAAGTATTTTTTTTTCCTTTAACGTTTAGACCTTGGGTAAAGTTGGCCGTGTACAACAGATCTATTCCGACAGCGATTTGAAGGTAGAAGTTTGTGGAACATCTTGGACGTACAATCCAGCTGCTGTTTCCAAAGTAGCTTCTGTGGGATCGGCGATAAGCAATGCAACCGGTGGTGGGTTTCTTGGTTTTATTATGCTTTCTAAGTGTCTTGTTCATATTCACTGTGTTTAATTCATAAATGTGCACACTAGTTTACATTTTCCTTTGCCTGTGGCCATAGGAATGGGTGGAGTGATGCTTAGAACAGTTATGTTGACAGTCAGTCAGGGTCATCATTTTAGATTCAGCTTCATACAAGTGACGTACATTGTCACTGGGTTGAGTAAGCTTAAAATGCTTGTTCCGAAGTCTACATTATGGAAAAGCAATGAAGAACATATAAGAAACCCACAGTGTTTGCAAGTGATAACTAGTTATTTTGAATGTTGCCAAGCTTTGTGTTTTATTCCACAGAGAGGTTGTCTCAGCTTTTGAAGAAACTGTTTGAAACGCAAGAATCGGGCGATCTTAATGAAGAACTAGTGAAAGCTGCTGCTAACGGAGATGTGGCCAAAGTGGAAGATTTACTCAAGAGACAAGATGTGGATGTGAGATTCTTCACTGTTAAATTTCCATCTAAAGATGTTTGTGCGTTGTGTGTTAGTTATATAACTAGTGTTAAATATGTGATTATACAGTTTATTTGCTAACCTAATAAAGGAGCACTCTATCTCACTGTTTAAGAGCTGCTGTTTGCCACTCAGTGTATAGAAGGTTTCAATGTGGAAAGCATTGTGTGTGTCACTCGGTATATAGCGGGAATCACTGTGCAGAGCAGTATGTGTGTCACTCAGTATATTGTAAGAATCACTGTGCAGTGTGTGTTTCACTCAGTATATAGCGAGAATCACTGTGAAGAGCAGTGTGTGTTTCACTCTGTATATAGCGGGAATCACTGTGCAGTGCAGTGTGTGTTTCACTCTGTATATAGCGGGAATAACTTTGCAGAGCAGTGTGTTTTTCACTCCGTATATAGTAAGAATCACTGTGAAGAGCAGTGTGTGTTTCACTCCGTATATAGCTGGAATCACTGTGAAGAGCAGTGTGTGTTTCACTCCGTATATTGCGGGAATCGCAGTGCAGTGTGTGTTTCACTCAGTATATAGTAAGAATCACTGTGCAGAGCAGTATTTGTGTCACTCAGTATATTGTAAGAATCGCAGTGTAGTGTGTGTTTCACTCAGTATATAGCGAGAATTACTGTGAAGAGCAGTGTGTATTTCACTCCGTATATAGCGGGAATCACTGTGCAGTGCGTGGTTCACTCAGTATATAGTAAGAATCGCAGTGCAGTGTGTGTTTCACTCAGTATATAGCTGGAATCACTGTGCAGCGCAGTGTGTCACTCACTATATAGTAAGAATCACTTTGCAGTGCAGTGTGTGTTTCACTCAGTATATAGCTGGAATCACTGTGCAGTGCAGTGTGTGTTTCACTCTGTATATAGCGGGAATAACTGTGCAGTGCAGTGTGTGTTTCACTCTGTATATAGCTGGAATCACTGTGCAGAGCAGTGTGTGTTTCACTCTGTATATAGCGGGAATCACTGTGCAGTGCAGTGTGTGTTTCACTCTGTATATAGCGGGAATCACTGTGCAGTGTGTGTTTCATTCAGTATATAGCGGGAATAACTGTGCAGAGCAGTGTGTGTTTCACTCCATATATAGTAAGAATCACTGTGAAGAGCAGTGTGTGTTTCACTCAGTATATAGCTGGAATCACTGTGAAGAGCAATGTGTGTTTCACTCCGTATATTGCGGGAATCGCAGTGCAGTGTGTGTTTCACTCAGTATATAGTAAGAATCACTGTGCAGAGCAGTATTTGTGTCACTCAGTATATTGTAAGAATCGCAGTGTAGTGTGTGTTTCACTCAGTATATAGCGAGAATTACTGTGAAGAGCAGTGTGTATTTCACTCCGTATATAGCGGGAATCACTGTGCAGTGCGTGGTTCACTCAGTATATAGTAAGAATCGCAGTGCAGTGTGTGTTTCACTCAGTATATAGCTGGAATCACTGTGCAGTGCAGTGTGTGTTTCACTCTGTATATAGCAGGAATCACTGTGCAGTGCAGTGTGTTTTTCACTCTGTATATAGCGGGAATAACTGTGCAGTGCAGTGTGTGTTTCACTCTGTATATAGCTGGAATCACTGTGCAGAGCAGTGTGTGTTTCACTCAGTATATAGCTGGAATCACTGTGCAGTGCAGTGTGTGTTTCACTCTGCATATAGCGGGAATCACTGTGCAGTGCAGTGTGTTTTTCACTCTGCATATAGCTGGAATCACTGTGCAGAGCAGTGTGTGTTTCACTCTGTATATAGCGGGAATCACTGTGCAGTGCAGTGTGTGTTTCACTCTGTATATAGCGGGAATCACTGTGCAGTGTGTGTTTCATTCAGTATATAGCGGGAATAACTGTGCAGAGCAGTGTGTGTTTCACTCCATATATAGTAAGAATCACTGTGAAGAGCAGTGTGTGTTTCACTCAGTATATAGCTGGAATCACTGTGAAGAGCAGTGTTTGTTTCACTCCGTATATTGCGGGAATCGCAGTGCAGTGTGTGTTTCACTCAGTATATAGTAAGAATCACTGTGCAGAGCAGTATTTGTGTCACTCAGTATATTGTAAGAATCGCAGTGTAGTGTGTGTTTCACTCAGTATATAGCGAGAATTACTGTGAAGAGCAGTGTGTATTTCACTCCGTATATAGCGGGAATCACTGTGCAGTGCGTGGTTCACTCAGTATATAGTAAGAATCGCAGTGCAGTGTGTGTTTCACTCAGTATATAGCTGGAATCACTGTGCAGTGCAGTGTGTGTTTCACTCTGTATATAGCGGGAATCACTGTGCAGTGCAGTGTGTTTTTCACTCTGTATATAGCGGGAATAACTGTGCAGTGCAGTGTGTGTTTCACTCTGTATATAGCTGGAATCACTGTGCAGAGCAGTGTGTGTTTCACTCAGTATATAGCTGGAATCACTGTGCAGTGCAGTGTGTGTTTCACTCTGCATATAGCGGGAATCACTGTGCAGTGCAGTGTGTTTTTCACTCTGCATATAGCTGGAATCACTGTGCAGAGCAGTGTGTGTTTCACTCAGTATATAGCTGGAATCACTGTGCAGTGTGTGTTTCACTCTGTATATAGCGGGAATAACTGTGCAGTGCAGTGTGTGTTTCACTCTGTATATAGCTGGAATCACTGTGCAGAGCAGTGTGTGTTTCACTCAGTATATAGCTGGAATCACTGTGCAGTGCAGTGTGTGTTTCACTCTGTATATAGCGGGAATCACTGTGCAGTGCAGTGTGTTGTTTCACTCTGTATATAGCTGGAATCACTGTGCAGAGCAGTGTGTGTTTCACTCAGTATATAGCTGGAATCACTGTGCAGTGCAGTGTGTGTTTCACTCTGTATATAGCGGGAATCACTGTGCAGTGCAGTGTGTGTTTCACTCAGTATATAGCTGGAATCACTGTGCAGAGCAGTGTGTGTTTCACTCAGTATATAGCTGGAATCACTGTGCAGTGCAGTGTGTGTTTCACTCTGTATATAGCGGGAATCACTGTGCAGTGCAGTGTGTGTTTCACTCAGTATATAGCTGGAATCACTGTGCAGAGCAGTGTGTGTTTCACTCAGTATATAGCTGGAATCACTGTGCAGAGCAGTGTGTGTTTCACTCAGTATATAGCTGGAATCACTGTGCAGAGCAGTGTGTGTTTCACTCCGTATATAGCTGGAATCACTGTGCAGAGCAGTGTGTGTTTCACTCAGTATATAGCTGGAATCACTGTGCAGAGCAGTGTGTGTTTCACTCCATATATAGCTGGAATCACTGTGAAGAGCAGTGTGTGTTTCACTCAGTATATAGCTGGAATCACTGTGCAGCGCAGTGTGTGTCACTCAGTATATAGTAAGAATCACTGTGCAGAGCAATGTGTGTTTCACTCCGTATATAGCAGAGCAGTGTATCTGTCAATCGCTATATATCGTGAATCACCATGCAGAGCAGTGTATCTGTTACTCACTATATATCGGGAATCACCATGCAGAGCAGTGTATCTGTCACTCACTATATATCAGGAATCACCATGCAGAGCAGTGTTTCGGTCAATCGCTATGTAGCAGGAATCATTGTGCAGAGTAGTGTGCGTGTGTTACTCCATATATAGCAGGCGTTACTGTGTAGAACAGTTTGGGTGTCACTCAGTATCCCAAATGCATTCAGTTCTTGTTTGTTTGTATGTTTGTGTATATTGAACAAAATACAAAAAATGTTTGAAAATGTGGCAACGGTTTGTCTCTTATTTGGGTTCCCCAAGCTCCCACAATTTATAATATCCTTCACAGATATTGCTAAAGTGTTAATACCACTCCTGTTGTACCAGTTTCTGGTTTGGACAAAATAGATTGGCTGAATGTCACCTAACTCTTGACCAAGTAATTCTGTCCAAAGATGGGTGAAATTGATATCGCTAATGTGGTAGTAGGAACCTACCCTTCAACAATATTTGTGGAGAGGGGCTAGACTGTTGGTCTCTTTGGGAACCAGATAGATTTCAAACAGTTTGACTTTTTACAGAGGGCCGACGCTAGGGGACTCCCGACCCTCTGTTGAGTACTGTTTACGGTGCTTAGAGGGCCCTCTTTTTGTATTTATAGTTCTGTTTTCATGTAAACACCTTTGTTTGTCTATTCTTTTCTAGGTAAATGGTCAGTGTGCTGGACATACAGCAATGCAAGCAGCAAGTCAGAATGGACACGTAGACATCTTGAAATTGCTTTTGAAACAAAATGTTGATGTTGAAGCGGAGGTAACTATTCTCCCCGCTTCCTTTGTCTTTGAGCCAATATGTCAATATATTTATATATTTAACTGCATAAAGCAAGTTTGTTAATGAGAGAACAATAAAGGGAGTAAACACTCTAAGCCACATTTATTGTACATGACTAAAACAGTGGATGCCTTTAGCCATAGAAACTTAGAATGTGACGGCAGATAAGAACCATTCCGCCCATCTAGTCTGCCCAATTTTCTAAATACTTTCATTAGTCCCTGGCCTTATCTTATAGTTAGGATAGCCTTATGCCTATCCCACGCATGCTTAAACTCCTTTACTGTGTTAACCTCTACCACTTCAGCTTAAGGCTATTCCATGCATCCACTACCCTCCCAGTAAAGTAATACTTACTGATATTTTTAAACCTTTGTCCCTCTAATTTAAGACTATGTCCTCTTGTTGTGGTAGTTTTTACTTCTTTTAATTATAGTCTCCTCCTTTACTGTGTTGATTCCCTTTTTGCACAGACTAGCATCCAGTGCAAAAATACACTCACCCAATAAAATAAATCCTTTTCATCTTCCACTTTATATTAATAAACAGACACACAGCTGTGAGAATGGGATTGATCATTTGTCTGATCCTATCCTATATAAATACAGATGTAGTGTATATACTCAGAGTGACATACAAACAAAAAGCAGATGTTTGTCATCATCTAGTTATCACAAACCTGACAAACTGTGCTTAAAGGGTTACTCCAACCACAATGACCTCTTTGTCTTTTAGAAGTAATCATGGTGCAGCAATTCAGCTTAAAAAGGAAATATGCACTTTTGTGCCAGCGTCTTGTTACACATTTGACTTGGGGTCCCTGGATGCCTTATGTTAAATCTGTTCAGGGTCTATACAAATACCTATATGAAAGATATTTGCCCATTTTTATTTATCTATTTTTGTCACACCTTCATCAAGGACAATGTCTAAAGCAATTTATTTCCCAAATATTGTTTTCTAAAGACTGAACTAATAAGTGAAAGATAAATTGTGTAAGTTTACCAATTTTTATGTTTGTCTGCAAATCACTCTATGCATACAATTTCTGTTATATTTATATGCGAGTTCTGCAAAATGTACCTTTTTCAGGAATGGAGACTTTGATAGTCTCAGTTACATGAGTTGTGACTAGGGCTGCATGAACAATGTGATTTTCAAAAAAAAATTATTTTTGTTGTACTAGCAATAGCAACATTCTTGTAAAGCAATGACAGCTATAACAAGCCCAACAAGAACAATATAGAACAGCATGGCATATAGAGTGACAGCACAATTTTTTAAAATAAGAGTACGGATCAGGCTATAACATCAGATCTGTAAAGTATGAGGAACATGATTGCTATTCTGACAGCATAACTAGCATTTGCATAATTATATTTAAACTATTACATTTATTCAGGTAGAGGTATGCAGTGCATTAGCATATCACAGAGATTAATACCAAGTGAGTACAGTGCCCCATAGGAGGTATGGCCAATATGCCAATAGTGTGGAGATAATAATAAAAAATAAAAACAAAAACTGAATTGAAAGGTCATGTTGGTGCTTGTGAGGTAGTATAGTAGGTAGGGTCTAACACATAGCTGAGGCTACTGTAAGCTATAAAGTTGTACTGAGTTTACTGACATGGGGCCTAGTGCGGAGTAGCTATGAGCTCTCTGATGATAAGTAAAGTATGAAATGGCAGTTTAGGAGCTGGGGAGGAAGAGGTGATAATACTAGAGCCAGGATATCTGGGTTATTCCTGGTTTCGGCTGATGGTGGCCGCAGGGTTGCAGGTAGTGTTGTGAGGGGAAATTGAAACAGTGCCTTATTATATTTCGGTTAAACGTGGGGTTAAACCCAAAACACATAACTATAAAAAGAAACATGAAAAACAAATGCAGATGGTTCAGGTGGTCTTCATCCCCAATGCACCATTCGAGGCGGGAACAAACAGGACAATGTGGGCTGGGTCCCAGGCTGTGGTGGTAGATGGGGTAATGAGTCCCATAGCTGCCAGGACAGTGTCCATCTCAACGATGTCTGCCACTTTGTAGTCGATGCCCTAGTGCTGTATGTGGAGTACATTTGATGACCCCCAACGTTATTTCACCACTTTGGCTTTTAGTGCCAACGTTAGCAGTCGAAGTGACTTTCTCTATTGCAGGGTAGTGCGAGAGGTCAGAAAAAAAATGACAGGTCCATGTCTTCAAATCATATGGGGTTCTTTCCCTTGAGGGCACTCATGAAGGCAGTATTGTCTTGCCCACTTTGAAACTTGACCAGTAGTTCATCTGTAGCTGATCCTGTGAGCAGAGGTGGCTTGGGTAGGCAAAACATTCCATCAAGCTTTATCCCTTTCGCTTGCTTAGGAGGTAGGAGGACTGCAAATAGCCTGCAAAGGAAATGGGTCAGTTCAGCTGGGGACACTATGTCAGAGAGGCCATGGATTTTTGCGTGCTTCCACCGCCTCCTGTCCTCCATGGTTGCTAGTTGGTGGGGGAGGGTAGTGTGAGCTGAGGTAAGGTCACAGACCTGCTTCTGGATCTCTATCACCTGTTCTGTGTGCGTTTGGGAGGTCTGCTCCACAGCCGTGAGACATCCTCCCTCACCTGGGAGATCTCTGCAGAAAGCGTCTGGCGTAGGTCTGACAGGAGATTGGTGAGTATCTCCATGGTGATCAGGAGGCTTGCGGTCGGCTGAGCAGGCTTGGGAGTGCCTTTGTACCCCAGAGTCTCAGGACTGTGAAGGGGGATGTCGTCCGAGCTGTCAGTGTATTAATCTATGTCGGCTGCCATGTTTGGCCCAGTCACGCCATGCGGCCTCCGCAGCAGGTCGCCTATGTCCGCTGAATACCGGGGCCACTCCGGATGGAGCTTTTTGGTTTTTCTCCCCATCGGTTGCAGGGTTGCGTATGGACGTCTGTAGTGCGGTAAGTGACCTTATGGGGCTAAATTTGGTGCTGGTTAGGGCTCCAAACCTCGGAGAGCAGCAAGCATGCGACTGATCAGGCCGAGAGCTCATGAACAATGTGATTTAACTCCAAAATGGCAGAGAGTTGAGCAGCGAGATTGCAAGGTCATGATCTATGCACAAAAACCATTTGATTAAGCTAAAGTTGTTTTGGTGTTTAGCATGTCCCATTAAGTGCTGACATTTTATTATTTTTTAAATAATTTTTAATTAAATACTTAGATTCTTGTGGAAAAGTCATAAAATAAAGACTGTCGTATGTGGTTTTGTGTGTGGTAAATTGTGTTGTTCTCCCTACAGGATAAAGATGGAGACCGGGCTGTACATCACGCAGCCTTCGGCGATGAGGGTTCTGTTATTGAAGTTTTACACAGAGGTGGGGCAGACTTAAATGCTCGCAACAAACGTAGGCAGACCCCACTCCACATCGCTGTGAACAAAGGCCATCTGCAAGTTGTAAAAACATTATTGGATTTTGGCTGTCATCCTAGTCTGCAGGTAAACACCACTTGTTTATCTAATGTAATAAAGTAAAAATTAACTAAACACTTTCTTCCAAAAGATATACAGCAGCAATTTTTTTTAAATGTACTTTAAGTACAACTAACTGGTAACCCTATGATGTACTGGTTTTGTGTATTTTCTACCGGTTATTTCATGGGATGTGGTGTACTGCTAGTTATATGATTTAGAATTCTCTATTGTCTAGATGGGTTAGACTACCTAAGGAGTAAAGATATTCCTTCTGCCACCTTAAATATAAATACGTAAAAGCATATGACTATTTTCTAATTGTTATATCAGATACTAACTGCATGTCCGTTCTCTTTAAACACATACCCTATTCAGCTATGTGCCTATCTCTAGATTTCATTCTTACAGTAGATGAATGTTGATAAACTAAAACTCCTCTGATGCTCAATACAAAAAGAAATAAATAATGCCTTAGGGCAAAATAAACCAGAATATGAATTAATAATGCAAAAAGAACATGGATGCTTATGTTGGCCAGAGCGTTCCACCTACTATATCTTCAAGAAATACCGGCAGATTCAGTGGCCGTGATTCTACATGGGCTGTTGCTTGCTGACTGGGTGGCTCCAAGGTCTGGAGTGATTCAGGCTAGGTTAGCAAAACGCATTTGGCTCCTGAAATACTGCAGGACTTCCTCATGAGCTTTTGAGGAACTTCTACACTATTTCAGGAGTAAACACGTCAACTAGTCAGTATCTGACAACCATTTGCCTCACTCAGGGCAACACATCTCTTTCGCATAGAGTTGATCAGGTTGTTGATTGCGGCCTGTGAAATGGTGGTCCACTCCTCTTCAATTGCTGTGCGAAGTTGCTGGATATTGGCAGAACCTGGAACATGCTGTCTTTTACGCCAATCCAGAGCATCCCAAACATGCTCAATGGGTGACATGTCCGGTGAGTATGCAGGCCATGCAAGAACTGGGATATTTTCAGCATCCAGGAATTGTGTACAGATCCTTGCAACATGGGGCCGTGCATTATCAGACTGCAACATGAGGTGATGGTCGTGGATGAATGGCACAACAATGGGCCTCAGGATCTTGTCACGGTATCTCTGTGCATTCAAAATGCCATGAATAAAATGCAACTGTGTTCGTTGTCCTTAACATACGCCTGCCCATACTATAGCCCCACCGCCACCATGGGCCACTCGATCCACAACGTTGACATCAACAAACCGCTCACCCACAAAACGCCATACACGCTGGAGAACACCTCTCCAAAGTGCCAGATGCCATCGAATGTGAGCATTTGCCCACTCAAGTCAGTTACGATGACGAACTGCAGTCAGGTCGAGACACCGATGATGACGACAAGCATGCAGATGAGCTTCCCTGAGATGGTTTTTGACAGTGTGCACAAATTATTTGGTTATGCAACTGTTTGTTGCAGCAGTTGTCAGGGTGGCTGGTCTCAGACGATCTTGGAGGTGAAGGTGCTGGATGTGGAGGTCCTGGGCTGCTGTGGTTACACGTGGTCTACGGTTATGAGGCCGGTTGGATGTACTGCCAAATTCTCTGAAACGTCTCTGGTAGAGAAATTAACATTCAATTCACGAGCAACAGCTCTGGTGGACATTGCTGCAGTCAGCATGCCAAAAACTTGCGACATCTGTGGCATTGTGCTGTGTGATAAAACTGCACATTTTAGAGTGGCCTTTTATTGTGACCAGCCTAAGGCACACCTGTGCAATAATCATGCTGTCTAATCAGCATCTTGATATGCCACACCTGTGAGATGGATGGATTATCTCGGCACAGGAGAAGTGCTCACTAACACAGATTTATAATATTGTGAACAATATTTGAGAGAAATAGGCCTATTGTTTACATAGAAAAAGTCTTAGATCTTTGAGTTAAGCTCATGAAAAAATGGGGGCAAAAACAAAAATGTTGCGTTTATAATTTTGTTGTGTGTATTAATTCATGGACTGGTTTCTGGCACTCTCTTTTTTTTGTTTTCTGTTTGCTTTTTTTCCGCCAATTTACCTTTTATTTTGTGGTCCAATGATGCTGAGCCAGGATTTGGCTCCACACAGGTGTTACGGGTAAACCTCTGATTTATTAAGTTTTCTGTATAACTTCAATATCTGGTTCAGTATAGAACTCAAAAGCAACAGTATTGAACATCCATCAAGAAATCTTGCTACACCCATGATAAAATGTAAGTGAAATGTTTGAGCAAGCAGAATATGATATACTGAGTCTCAGCATTGCACTTATGAAACTCAAGACATTTCTATTCACTTGTTAAGTAAAAGTTGAATGCCCACTTTACGTACTTTGAGTACTCTGAACAGGTGTTCTCTATGTTAACTGTGCGAACGCTCACTGGTTTAGTCATTTACAAAACCCATGTGAACCCCTTTCTTTTAATGAAGGACATCTGTTTACCCAGTAATTTACCCCCATAGCAATCTTTGTCTCTTACTTGACTCTTAATTATTCTGTGAATTGTTTGTATAACACACACCTATACGTGATCTAGCGTGTGGGGCCTACAGTTTGCTGTTACTAATTTGTACTAAGAGTGGCATTTCAGATAGATTGAACCTCATAGTCAGATTGTCGGCAGGCTGGATGTCTGAACCTTTTATTACATAAACATGATGAATAGCAGTATTGTTTGGTAAAATCTTTGAACAACCCTATACGTGGTTAAGCTAGTATGTGAGGTTTTTTTTCTTCCATTTTTTTTTCCTACTATGTAATGATCTGTGTTTTCAGAGAGATTATCTTTTGTAAGATATTGTTTGATTACACAGCCACATGGACACAGGCTGATGGAACACAGCAGTTTACTGTCGACATTTATGAAATCTGGCTTGTATAATAATGGTGTAAAACTGCACATCACAGAGACAAGACAGTGCAGATGTGCAGGATTCTTCTGCTCTTTATCATTTGCCAGAATCTTTTACACAAGAACTGTGATTATTGAAACTGAAACAGACCAAATATATTGCTTCCAGGTTGGCTGTTTGTGATGTAGTTTGCCAACAGCCACCTGATGTTAAAAGCCACAGCAAATAGTTTTATTATTTAATTTTAAGGCTGTGGTCAATTATGAGGATTCCGTTTAACCCTAACCGGATCTTTAAAAAAAATTTTGGGGGGTTTTCCAATATGAGTGTGTATCTATCTAGAGATATAGCGATATGTGCTATGTAAATAAAGGTTGAACATTACCTTAAACGAACCCTAGTAAGTTTTATTTTTCTGTCATGTTTCATTTGTTTATGCCCTCACTGTGCAGATTTGTCAGGGTGTTGTTGTTTTTTTTTTTTTTTTTGTGATTAAGCAGGGCTCAACATTTTCTTTTGCCCATAACCAGTGAAAATGTATTTCTGGCTACTAGAAATTCACCTCTGGCAATTGTCTGATGGAACCTTCAGACTTGCAGTAGCAAGTAACTTTTAAGGCCTGACTATTTTAGGCTTTAACGTAAGAGTGACAAATTAGGAATGTCCCCAGTTTAGCTGTCCTAATTGGAATTTTGACAGACTGATATGCTGAGCTGAGCCTCATTTTGTGCAGTATAGTATCCCATAAATTGTATTACCGTTGGGAACAGCTTTCAAAAGTACCATAGGGTTTATAGCAAATTGGAGAGTCAAAAAAAACCCACATCCTTAATTCCTGCACCAGTTTTCTTCCCAAATCTTTCCAAGCTCTAACTTCATCCCCCATTTCTTTAATAGTACATGTGTGTCCTTGTGACCTGGTTCCTTGAAATATCTTTAAATCAGTGGTAGTCAACATTTTTCTACCTACCGCCAAATAATGCATCTTTCTTGATGGAAACATTTCCTTACCGTCCACCAATTTTCGCGCAAGTATTTTTTAGAAAGGAGGGTGTTAAAAAAAAAAAAAAGTACTTTTTTTACAGATACTCTGCTCCTTCTTTCTCCTATTCTACAAGTAATCTGCTCCTTCTTTCTCCCATTCTACAAATACTCTGCTCCTTCTTTCTCCCATTCTACAAATACTCTGCTCCTTCTTTCTCCTATTCTACAAATACTCTGCTCCTTCTTTCTCCTATTCTACAAATACTCTGCTCCTTCTTTCTCCTATTCTACAAATACTCTGCTCCTTCTTTCTCCCATTCTACAAGTACTCTATTTCTTTACAAGTACTCTGCTCCTTCTTTCTCGGATTTTCCAAGTACGCCACACTCCGTTATCGTGTATCCCCTTACCTACTCCAACTCCTCCCCTTCCTCTACCTGCGTGTTACTCGTTTGTACGCGTGCGTGATATGGGCGCACATGCGCGTTCAGGCACACACGCTCACGCTTTCATGCAGTTGCATCTGCAACCTCGCATTTCCTGCTTACCACTGAGTGTGCGAGAGATGAATAGAGCGCTCATCTCTCTCGATGGAGGGAGGATTCTGCTACCGCCCACCTGGAATCCTAAAACGCCCACTGGTAGGCGGTAGGGACCAGGTTGACGACTCATGCTTTAAATAATTATCCATCATCAAAAGATAATGTAACTTCCACAATGACCGGCTGTGAATGCTGGTGGTGGAGGTATATATTTGCTGCTGCTTTTGTCAGACCACTTGCAAATTGACAAAAACTGGAGGCACTACAGCTAAAGTCTCTTGGCACCACAGCAATAAGCTAAATTAACACAAATGGCCTGGGGGCATTTTTGGCTTTGTCAAAAAATATTCTCCAAATATTTTCTTCCTTAAAGATATAATCCAAGCTGGAGTTGACTCATCTGTTTTTAATCCTTCCCAATAGTATGTAAAATAGTAACGAAAAATAAGATAAGTTCCTGAATTTGCTGTATATTTCCTGGCTGTACAGTTTCTGCAGTGATGTCTCACCAAACCAGATGTATATTCCTGACACTACAGTGTTACAAACATCATTTAGGTGGCCGGTCCATCTTTGTACCTTTATTCCATTGCTGTGTGGGTCCACCAGCGCCCACTCTATCCCGATCTGCCTTCTTGGCCGAGATCATCAGAATTGACTAACTATGGGAAAGCATTACATTGTCAGAGAATGTCAATTCTGATGATCTCAGCTAAGGAAGCAGGGTGGGAGGGTGGAGCCAAACACTGCAATGGCCAATCAACATCTCCTCATAGAGATGCATCTCTATGAGCAAAGTTTAGCATCTCCATGCAGAGCGTGGAGACACTGAAAAACATGCAGCATGACCCAGGAACCACCTCTAGTCGCCATCTAAGTGACTGCCACTGGAGCTGTCCATAGGCAGCAATATAAACACTGCTTTTTCTCTGATAAAAGCAACAAAACAACTATAGCACACTGTAGTGGTTATGGTGCATTCAATCTTATGAATAAAAGCATTGAGCACAGTACTGGATTAGTGACTTTTTGTGCCTGGAGCGGAGACTTTTGCTGAGCTTAAATATGAAGTTTGAATTTGTGTTTCTGGTTTTATGCTCCTGGCCTCACTTTGTGGCCACATATAAGATCCTCACATGCATTGATAAACTGGGCATTTTACATACGTAAAATCCATATTCATGAGCATGTTGAATCCCTTCGATACAAGGGATCACAGCATGTGCTATAAATCTTGGTTCACAGGTAATGATTTCAATGCTTAATGGACTACAAAATGTATGTATCTCACTGGCCACACACGAGGAGTATGCCACCCAGCATTTCAGGGCAGCAGCAGATAACAAAAACTATATTGCCCCGCTACAATCTGTAATGGATGCTGCCGCCAGACTGATTTTCTTCTCTAGTCGCTCCTCTCACACCTCACCCCTCTGTCAATCCTTACATTGGCTTCCTGTATCCTATAGAAGTCAATTCAAAGTGCTAACCGATACCTATAAAGCACTGAACAACTCTAGCCCCTTTTATATCTCTTCACAGATCCATAGGTATGCCCCTTCTCGGTCTCTCTGCTCAGCCCGTGACCTTATGACCAACTCACGCTTGCAGGACTTCTCGCGGGTGGCTCCCTTCCTATGGAATAGCCTGCCTACCGCCATCAGACTCTCCCCTGGTCTTCAATCGTTTAAGAAGTGCCTTAAAACTCATCTCTTTAGAAAAGCTTACGGCCTCCCAGAGTAACGTATACCCTACATACCTGTCTCTTGCTCTTTCCCGAAGGGCAGCACTTTATTCTCTCTGCCAGCTCTGCTTCATTCCCACCTTATTTGATTAATATTTCCTGTCCTAATGTGTTTTACACCCCAACTCCTATAGACTGTAAGCTCGTTTGAGCAGGGTCCTCTTCAATCTATTGTTCTTGAAAATTTTCTTGTAATTGTTCTATTTATAGTAATTGTCCTATTTATAGTTAAATCTCATAATATTGTAAAGCGCTACGGAATTTGTTGGCACTCTATAAGTGGCAATATTAATAATAATAATAATAATAATAATAACAACAAAACACAAAGTAAAACATTAAAAAATAACCATGAACTTTTTAAACATTTTAATGAGATGCTTGTGAGATAGGTATTTTTAAAAAAAAAATGTACTGTATTTATAATTATTTAAATTTCTTAAATAAAGAGGATAAGCAGAAACATTGTTTCATTTCTCCTCTTCTCTTGTATGCATTCTCTATGTTTATAACAATGACAAGGAACCTAAGATGGAGGCACCCAGTTCAGGAAAAAGAGATGTGTATTTCTATACTGATCAGCCAGAACATTAAAGCCAACTGCCTGGTATTGCGCAATCTTAATACACTTAGTATCCTTTACCTGGAAATATTTTAGATGATAGTAAACCAGTGCATCAAAAGCAAAAACTTTGTTTTGTAGTGTGGTGTTTAAACTGCTTTGGGAAAAAAAAACTAAACAAAACTTAAACAAACAACTTTTAAAGGGAGACTCCAGGCACCCAGACCACTTCTGCCCATTGGAGTGGTCTGGGTGCAAACTCCCACTACACTTAACCCTGCAAGTGTAATTATTGCAGTTTTCATAAACTGCAATATTTACCTTGCAGGGTTAAGTCCTCCTCTAGTGGCTGATAGACAGCCATTAGAGGAGCCTTCCGTGTTCATAGAAGACCAAAAGTGTTTTAAAACGACGATGGACGTCCTCACGCTATGTGAGGACTTCTAGCGTCGTCGAAATCCCCATTGTATAATGCTGTCCTATGGGGAGGTCTAATGCGCGTGCGCGGCCATTGCCGCACATGCACAATAGTTCTCGTCGGCGGGGGCGGAGCTTAGGCGGAGCCTGAACCAGCGCCGAGGGACATTGGTGCTGGACTCCGGTAAGTCACTGAAGGGGTTTTAACCCCTTCAGCAACTTGGGATGGGGGGTGGGAGGTAGAAGGGCACTAGAGGGTCCTGAGGTGCCAGAAAAAGGAATATGTTTTCCTGGCACTGGAGAATCCCTTTAAGCACCATGACCACATCAGCACTCTTCAGTGGTTATGAAGCCTGGAGTTACTGTTAGAAATCTGATTATTTTCAAATAGTTTAATGCTTACATGGGTTCACCTGAACGCCTGTTGTCTGGCCTCTCTTCAAAGATATCACTAAAGAAGGAGTTTCCCTTCTGTTACATCAGGTAACATCAGGTTTTTCTGTCAACCAATGAATTCCACTCAATATAGATATACTTTCCTTTCCTCTGGCACATTTCCTTCACCCATCAAGCTTGCAACTATGTCGATTCTGAAAAAGCCCAACGTTAACCCCAACTCCCCATCCAACTACCGCCCTATATTGCTACGGCCGTTTGCCTCCAAAATCCTTGAGAGAATTGTGTATGCGAGATTGACAGACTTCCTCAAATCCAACTCTGCTTGACCCGCTTCAGTCAGGATCCATGCTCATCACTCTGTTGAAACAGCTGTGACCAAAGTATCCAACAATTTAATCGCTGCTAAATCTCGTGGCCATTACTCTATCTTAATTCTCCTTGATCTTTCTGCTGCCATTGACACTGTTGATCATCAACAACTTCTTCTTATTCTCCGTAATCTCAGTCTACAAGATACAGTTCTCTCCTGGTGCTCCTTCTACCTCTCCCAGCGCTTTTTCAGTGTTTATTTCTCTGGTTCTGCCTCTTCTTCCCAACCCCTCTCTGTTGGTGTTCCCCAAGTTTCTGTCCTTGGTGCCCTACTGTTCTCCATCTATAATGCCTCCCTTGGTAAACTCCTCAGCTCCTTTGGCTTCCATTATCATTTGTATGCAGATCACACACAAATCTACCTGTTCTCTCCTGATCTTCCTCCGCCCATCTTGCCTCGTGTCTCTGACTGCCTATCCACGATTTCCAACTGGATGGCTGCTCACTTCCTTAAACTCAACCTGTCCAAAACAGAACTTCTGGTCTTTCCTCTAGGCATAAACCCAAAATGAAAATTCTGGGCCGAAACCGAAAATTCAGGATGCCCTAGGCCAAAAACCAAAACCGAAATTGACTTTTTTCTTCAAATGATTTAAAAAAAAGTTTTTTCCCTAAAATTGTATTAATATTAAACTTTTTAATGAATTTAATTAATCTGATATGAAAAACTCCCCTTCTCTTTTATTGTCCCCCCCCCCCTGCTTAATGTTCCTCATCCCTCCCTCTTTTTTAGGGTTCTTTACCCCCTCCTCCCCAGTCCCATAGTGTTTTTCTCTCCCCTGTCTAATAGTGTTCTTTCCCTCCTCCCCTGTCTAATAGTGTTCTTTCCCTCCTCCCCTGTCTAATAGTGTTCTTTCCCTCCTCCCCTGTCTAATAGTGTTCTTTCCCTCCTCCCCTGTCTAATAGTGTTCTTTCCCTCCTCCCCTGTCTAATAGTGTTCTTTCCCTCCTCCCCGTCTAATAGTGTTCTTTCCCCCCTCCCCTGTCCAATAGTGTTCTTTTCCCCCTCCCCTGTCCCACAGTGTTCTTTCCCCCCTCCCCTGTCCCATACTGTTCTCCCCCCCTTAATGTTCCTCTCCCCTCCCTCTTTTTTAGTGTAATTTCCTTTCTCCTCCTCTGTCCCATAGTGTTCTTCCCACCTCCCCGTCCCATAGTGTTCTTTTCCCCCTCCCTGTCACATAGTGTTCTTTTCCCCTTCCCAGTCCCATAGTGTTTTCCCTTCCCATTACCATAGTGTTCCTTCCCTCCCGTCCCATAGTGTTCTTTCCCCTCCCGTCCCCTTTTCCCCTCCGTCCATAGTGTTCTTTTCCCCTCCCGTCCACATAGTGTTCTTTTCCCCCTCCGTCCCTTAGTGTTTCCCCTCCCATGCTATGGTGTTCTTTCCCCACTCCCGTCCATAGTGTTCTTTCCCCCTACTCCCAGTCCATTCTCCCCCTACTCCCGTCCCATAGTGTTCTTTCCCCACTCCCGTCCATAGTGTTCTTTCCCCCCTCCCTATAGTGTTCTTTCCCTCCCCGTACTATAGTGTTCTTTCCCCCCCCCCCGTACTATAGTGTTCTTTTCCCCCTCCCCGTACTATAGTGTTCTTTCCTCCCTCCCCGTACTATAGTGTTCTTTCCCATCCCTCTCCTGTCCCATAGTGTTATTTGCCCCCCTCCCCTGTCCCAAGTGCAGTATTCTTGACTTTTCATGTTATCATTACTATCTTTCACTGTGATATATAATAATTTGAATTGTTAATGCAAGCATGTCTGTTAAACTATGCACTACAAAAAAAAAGAAATTTGGCAGCCAAAATTTTGGTGCATCCCTACTTTCCTCCCTCAAGTGTTGTTACTCCTATGTCTGTCTCCCTCCCAAGTCAACGGCGCCACCATCACCTCTACCTCGCTGGCTAGCTGCCTTGGTGTTTTCTTTGACTCCGAACTCTCCTTCACCCCTCATGTCCAGTCGATCATCAAATCCTGCTGCTTACATCTCAAAAACATAGCTAGCATCCGCCCTATTTTAACACCAGACGCGGCAAAGGTGCTGGTCCGTGTTCCCAGATTGCTGCAATCTATAATAAATGCGGCGGCAAGGCTCATTTTCCTGTCTGCCCGCACCTCCCACGCCTCCCCCTCTGTCAGTCTCTACATTGGCTTCCAGTTAGATATGTCTCAATTTAAGATTTTGGTGCTTGCTTACGAGTCCCTTCATAATGCTGCTCCAACCTACGTATCCTCCCTAATACACAAGTATGTCCTGTCAAGGCCCCTGCGCTCTGCCGAAGACCTACATCTATCCTCTGTCTGTACTCCCACATCTGATGCTCTTCTCCAGGGCTGCACCTTTTATGTGGAACTCCCTTCCCTTCTCCGTTATACTTTCTCCCAGTCTCCACTCCTTCAAAAAATCCATGAAAACACACTTCTTCAGGAAAACATATAATTTAAACTGTTAGAAGGTTTTCCTCTCCCTTGCCCCGCCCCATGACTCCTCTCCTGCAACTGTCAAAAATAATCGAAGTTCTCAGTAAATACTTTTCTAGCAACCTATTTCATTAAACCTACTTATACCCTTTGTGTCACTATACCCCACTCCCTCTAGCATGTAATCTCATTGAGCAGGGTCCTCAACCCCCCTGTTCCTGTGCGTCTATTTGTCTGGTTACAATTACGTGTCTGTTTGTCCTCCCATTGTACAGCGCTACGGAATTTGCTGGCACTATATAAATAAGAAAATAATAATAATATTTGGTTTAGTGACCAGTTTGAAATGGTTTACTCTAAACAGTGTGACAGTGCATGGGAATTTCTGGCATCACAACAGCTACAGCGCGCGAGTAACTACTAACAGTGCTTAAAATACCCTTGTAATAACAAAAAAAAGCAACTGACATAAAAGATACAGAACATTGAAGGTTGTTAAGGAGAAAATTCCATCTATGAGTTCTGGAGACATCCATGTACCTCTTGTCCTTTGGCCGTGTGGTTTATAATGTCTCCAAAACCCCTCAATGGCATCGTTTCCCCATAATACAAAAGCAACTCTGAAAGTTTGTGATTTTTAGTATTTTTTCCACTATGTGTGACATATGCATAAATAGTTATGGCATGCTATTATAATGTCTTTGGTTTAAAAAAAAAAAAAAAAAGTGCAGTTGTTGTCATAATTTAGACACAGTAATTGGTATACTGCTAAAATATGTGTAATATAAAGACACCCCTTGTAAACAATTCCTACTTTGCACTATGTATACATTCTTTATTAATAAGCTATGATAAGGCATGTAACATGATTCCAGTGGCTGATTGGCATTATCTAATACTCTGGGTGAAATATGACAAGCATTGTCCTTTTCCTTTTGTAGGATTCCGAAGGCGATACTCCTCTTCATGATGCAATAAGCAAAAAACGAGATGATATATTGGCTGTACTGCTAGAGGCTGGAGCGGACGTTACTTTCACAAATAACAATGGATTTAATGCTCTCCATCATGCTGCATTGCGGGGAAACCCCAGGTAATGCTCACATTTAATATCCTCTCTCGTAGTTAAAATAAGTAAGTGAATGCTGGGTTCTGTGAATCTCTTTCAGTATGCTGGTGCATGCATTGCATCTTTTCTGTGAAACAGTTGGATTTTTGGAATTGATGTGTAATGCTAAGATCTTTCTAGCAAGGAAATATTCTTAAGCACAATGTATTTCCCCTGGTGCTGGGTTGCTGTACTGAGACAGGAAGATAGTGCTAGCCAGGACAAGTTTATACCCTCTACCCATCATCTTCTGATTAACGTACAAAGTCTGGCACTAAAGAGGAATATATAATGATAACCTTTGCTAACTATGGCTCACACAGAATAATAGGATGAGATCTATTAAATCAGCTATGTCATATAGTGGTATATGTAGGGTTTATTCACTAATCTCTATTGAATTGTGGATGGCAAAAATAGCTGATTTAGATGAATTCTCCAAAACTGCTCTAGTCACAGCAAAATTAGAGAGAGAACACAAAGTTATACAGTTTGGGGCTTAATTGTGTTGAGGGGTGCAAGTAGGACATTGTTCCTAAAATGCTTGCCTGTGTCAGACAGACCTTACTGTCCATATCTTCATTTAAAATAATTTTAAAGAGAAATGAGAAGCAGTCCAGGGCTGTATAATTAAAATGTGTTACTAGTGTGCTTTTATCTTAAAATTAAAATGATAATACAGCCCCTTCCTCGATAAATTCTTTTCAGGAAGGAAGGGGCGGTGTCCATGGGTCTCACTAGTGAACCTGAATTTAGCACATGTGCTAAGTGTCTTTCTGCCTTTTTCCGAATTATAGCATTATTGTGTTGAGAGTGGACTGAAGCACAAGTTTATCATCGTAATGATGTCTACATTTATTTAGTTTTCCCCACTTGCTATAACATTAGCCCACTCTACCCTATTTTTGCTTTGATAAATAATTTTGCAGCTAGTTGTTTACTCAGCACATATGATACAGTTATATCTGTACTGGTTGAGAATATGATGTTTGGACCTGCTGTGTGTCAGGAAAGTAAATACGCTGTTATAAAGTTTGTGACTGTTGTTGAGAGACTCTTGTAAGGTCTGAATAAACCAGACTCATTCCTTGATGACTTTCCATGCTGTCTTTGAATGCTTCTGTGGACTATTGACATATTTTGTTTTTAAAGCTCGGTTACATTTTATTGGATTTGTGTGCCAAACAGCTCTTTATAGTGTTGGAGTTTTAAAGCTGTCGTTCTGTAAACTCCATTGGTGATTAATATCAAACGGGGGCTACAAAGATAGTCAGGGTTTTATCACTCTGCATTATGTATTCATTCACCTGATATTTACTGTGAGAATAGTCTGGCCTCTTATGACTGGTCCTCATTTTGATGTCAAATTACTTACTTTGGTTTGGCTTCTAAAGTGGATGGTGTTATCTATCTATCTATATATCGATATATTTACATTTCAGGGATAAAAACTTTTTATTTGTTGCTAAAGTGCATACGTTAGCAGAAATAGTAACTTTAAATCTACAATTCCAATTTTATTGTGATGTTTTAAAGCTCTTCAGCGGCCAAGTTCTCCCATTCACCCCATGTTTCCATCACATGTAATAACTGAGTGCCCGATTGTGTACTTCAGTGCTGTCTTTTTAACTCTGTAAGCATTTGACACCCGTATTGTTCTAAAGGTTTATTTCTCAGCTGCCCTCCCAACCCCTTCTGAAAATGGGCCCTATCTCTTTGCTGGATAATTCCCGATACTGTTGACTACATTTGCTCTGATGCCTTTCAGGTGTAAAGCACTCAGTGCATCATTGGAGATTCTCTGTTGCATCATCTGGCATGGTTTGGTTATCCACGCTTTCACCTCTCCTTTATTTGTAGTCGGACAGTTATCGGGGCTGAATAAAATGGAAGTGGAAGTGTTTCTTTATATCTTTTTAAGTGTGACCGTTTAATGTGATGCTACAATTTTAGATTTTGTTTTATGGGAGATTATTGGATTACAAGTGCTTTGGCCTTGTGAGAGCAGTAGTTTGTAAGTCTCGATATTATAAAAACTGGTATAATGCATTTTTTCACATTCCAGTGAAGGAGATAATTCCTGCAAAAGTGTAAAGCTATGGTTCTTAACCTTTTCTTAGTGTCCCAAATTATGTGTGATGACATTATCACTGCAACTCTCAATTCATATGTACAACTGGCACAGTAAAGCATGCCTCAGGTGCAATGCAGTATATAATAAATACTTTCTGGAAAAACATCTTTATTGTACTTATGCCAGGGTGAATGAGGGGCCTGGTTTACTATGTGCAGTTACATGGGGTCTTATGAATATTAAGTAACTATTCTCACCACTTGAGACCTGATCCAGAGATCAATACCCACCGGTGAAGAGTGAGCATTATAGATTTTCCTAATGCACAAGTGTATGTGTGTATTTTTTTTTATGTATTTGTTTTGTTGTGGGATTGGGGTTTGTCAAGATCACCTTTCACATGAGAACAGTTCATTTGATAAGTTTGTCCCAAAAGGTCATGACATAAGATTATAGTGTTTTAATTAGTTGGTTAAATAATTTCCCTACAGATCCCTGACATTTTGGTTATGTTTACTTATTATGTTTATAAAATTATATGTAGAAGGAAGAAAACTCTTTTTATTTTGTTCTGTTATATTTTGTATGACAAACAACATAAATGGCAACATATTTGAAAAGTAAGTCCTATAAAAACATTTATTTTAATATTGAATTAACCTGTTCATCAAGCACAACATTTTCCATGGCAATGGCTGCACAAATTTCACCTAAACATACACTAGCAAAAAGTATCACTGTGCAGACTTTTTAATTGTTTATATAATATCATCAATTCGTGCTGCTGTAACGGAATGAAGACAAATACTCTTTACCTATAGGTTATTTTTAGTTTTCATTTGTTTATTTATAAAAATATTTTACTAGGAAAGATCCATTGAGATTTCTCTCGTTTTCTTATCATATCCCTTGGAGGTGTTCTGTAAGTGTAAATATTGTGAACATGTCTTGTTTATTTGTGCTTACTAGTAAATTATAAAATAGTCACAATAAATCAGAAATCGATGTTTATTGCTCGTTTGGTTTACAATAGAGAATTAAAGAACATTCCCATGTAATTACACTTTGAGTTATTTGCCGCAGAAACTAGATCTCGTTTCACTGTTACGAAGTTGCAATGATGCTCTGTGTGATGTCGACCTCAATGCAATCCTACAGCTGGTTGAAGGGGACCAAATCCATTGAAGAGGTGATTTGGTTCCATTTTACCAGCTTTAGCAAAGCATTGCAGCGCCAGAGGAAGCCAGTCAGCCAAAAATCTCAGCTTGTCTTTGAAGATAAGTGTTTTCTCTTGACCGCGGATGCTGCAGAGTGTGTATTTCTGCAGCAGTTGTCAAAACTGAGCACAGAAGCATATTTCAATATATACATTAGGACCAAAAAGACACGTTGTGTAACATTCATACAGAAAACAAGATTGCATCCAGTGGATAAAACACACAGGGAAAACTTAAATATAACAAACTAGACTTCCTCCATAAAAATAAAAGGATTTTTAATAGTGAAATTGGTTTAGAAACATAAAAAACACAACTACTGTGTGCTATGGTATTGGTGTTGGAATTGCAAATAAATTTAAGATTTTTTATTTATTTATTTTTAAACAATCCGTCTATATTGTTTTTAAATTATTGCATAGTCCGTGATTTAAAATGTTGCTTCTATGGGCTCCTGCTTTATAATTTCACTATGAAGGTTAACCCATGCCTGACTAATTAAGGAAGCTCTGCCTTGTCATCCGTAGAAGCTTAGAAAGCGCTTTTAATATTATTGATTATGGATGCACTTTCCATTATTGCACTGTTCGTTTAATTTATAAAATGCATGCATTTGTCTGGAGATAGAGACTTGGTACTGTAAATAATAGTTTACTGCCTGCACAAGATAAACCTCAAATCTGAATAGATTTAATTTACTGCGGTTTCTTTTTTTTTTGTTTTTTTGTTCGTGGTTAAAGCATTTCCTACTATAGCCAACATACATTTGTCTTTTGCTAAGCTTGCAACCCAGGTCCCTTTTTACTGTAAATGTATTATTTACACTATGCATTGCCCCAATAGCAGCACAGCAGGTGCTCTGTGTTTCTGAATCGAGCGATAAAGGCTGCCATTAAACCAAGTTGCTATTTATAAGTTATATGTGAACAGTTCTGCAGATCCAGCTGCTCAAGTGTGCTCTTGGATGGCAATTCACTTTCGTGCATTTGCCATATCAGGGCAAGAAAAGGCCATGGAAAAAAAGCACTGCACCATTTGATAATGTCAGCATCTGTTCCCCATGCCAGTCAGGCATTGGAAATGTTTGAGTTACGACCATGTCAGCACATGCTCAGAGTTCAGCCTGTACTAGGTTTAAAAGGGGGGCTGCTGATCCCGTGATGGAAATGACATTCTAGAGTGACTCAGTATGATTACGGCTAGAGAGCCTGACTTCAAACTGTGTTTGTGTATATATAAATCTTGCTATAAACCTAGATCTATGCAGTTTATAATTATAGATGCAACACTGTAACGTCCATTAAATTTACGCATTTATTAAATTACAGATATGCAGTTTGCTTTTAAAGCATCCCCCAATCAATTCAAACTCTGTTGTGTTTCAATTAAACACTGCCCCTCCCCCCATGACCCAATGCCAGGCAGAATAATTTACAGCAACAATTCTAATACTGAAATGGTTCAAACATTAAACGGAAACAGTCGTAAAAAAAAAAAATGTTTTTGATATAGCTAATGAAATTGGTATCCTAACATATTCTTGGGTGGCAGAAAAGTATGTCAGAATCTCAATAAGATACTACATGTCAAGAGATGAACCTTGTTACTATTAACCCCTTAAAGACCAATGATTTGCTGCGTGGCCTCTGCAATCTTGTCCCCAAATATCTTATGGCAGTATGGAACATCTCGTGAGCCGTCCTGCCGATATTAAATGAGTCGGACATTCCATTTTGCAATACAATGTTTCAAGATGATAGCATAGGCCTTGGTTTGGTGTGCTTAAAGGGTTAGTGTGGTTACTAGTGATGCAATAAATGCTCGTGTACGTATTGCATGCATTATGTGTATCCTAATACTTCAAGGAGAAAAATGCACTGTACTAACAAGGCTTCATCATCTTTATAAATGGGTGGAAATTACAGCTCGGCAAACCTGCTAAATCTAGTGCGTTTTTCCATTATTTTAATGGAAGCACCTGGATTAAACTTGTGTATCTTTAAAGGAGGCAATATGTAATTATACATTTTTACCCATTACAATTTTCCATGCAAATCAGCTCTAGGAATTTGAAAATGCCATATTCCCACCCTTTTAAGGTAAACTTGAGTTTAATTTGTTTCCCTGCAAGCTCAGCTGAATAATTCATTGTCAGATGTACCCATCTGCATTTCATCAAAGGTACATAATGTCCATTTATAGTTTTATAATACTGATGTTTGGTATTCTTAACTGTTTGCTTGCCGGAGGGGCATGTTCAACTGAAAGCCTGACCTTGGGAGAATCAGTGAACAGAACTTTCAGTTCGATCTAACACAATGCAGTGAGACTGTATGTTCTATTAATATATCAATAATTGGACTGCACACATACTGACAAAAACAATAAAACTTAAAAAAAAAAATTGTTTTTAAAAAATCTTACCACTTTTATTGGTAACCACTCTGGGCTTTGTTTGTTAAACGTATCTTTTAAGTGGCAGGTTTATCTGTATCCATATACTATTAAATCAGCAGAATAATGTCTCAGTATTCAGTATGGATATTGTGTTAAATAATTACATGTATATTATAAAATATAATTCTAGCCTATCGATACATATCACAAAAGTCACTTACTAGGTGAGAGCTTGTAGCCAAAAAAAAAAAAGCTTATACTTTCCTTTGTAAATTAGATACAATGCAAAGTCAATCAGGGAAAGTGGTAGGAGAGAGAACACAGTCAAACTAAATACCAGCAGTAAGCAGTGCTGTCTTCGAGCAGTTGTTCTGTGAGCGGTGGTCCACACCTGACAAAAATACATACTTCTTTACATTCCATAGCATTGTTATGTTCATATGGGTACATAAAGAAGTATGTACTCTATGCAGGCACGTTATACACTGTAAGCAAGACGATGCTGCAAAGAAAACTTCATAGTGTCACATATAATTATTATTATTTAAAAAAAAAAAAACAACACATAAACCTTATATTTGCTATTTTAACAGTTTGCCAGACAAGACTGCATTGATGTGAGAGCCCTACGAACGAGAGGCCTGCATCACAATGTAATGGAAGGCTTTCCAATTCTATGAATTGCACTAATCACACTAATTGGGAATTTGAAAGTTTGAGTTTCCCAAAAGATAGATAACAAACAAACAATTAAAAAAATAAAAATAAACAAGTAAAACCATATTGCATATATCAGAGTTGAAAATGATCAATTTTATATTTTAATCCTTTGCGTGCCAGAACCTAGCGTTATGTCAGTGTAAAGCAATCCGTAATTTATCCCTTTGGCACTCAAAGGTTTAAACAGACCAGCAGTAAAAACAAGAATCTGTTTTAACCCCCTTTTATTTCTAATTTCATTATGTGACCCCACCTCACCCCGCTGTGGCGTTTTTCAGCAAACTCGTGCAAATGTATTCATAATTACATCATGTGTGACGGCAATAAAAAATGTTCTCTATTAGCAGGCCAAAGCATCACATGCGAATATGCAGTGTCAATTTATATATAAAAGTTTTATTTAAATATATATATATAGTAGCCTCGTGACTTACCTCCACCTGCTCTCTTATACTAGTCAGCATTCTTTACAACACCCCCTGCTGCCCTTTAAATCGATGACTGCAATTGTTTTGTATTTTGCCATGCTTACCTAGTCTCCTGCTTGCCTCTTGTAATCTCTCCCAGACACTGAAATAACTGGAATGATGTCACACTGCTGGTGAGCCTCTAACTCCATCTGTATTTCATACAATGTGGGCTTTTGAAAGGCAGAGATCATTCTAGCAAGCTCTCGTAGTTAAACGTACTATCGGTCAGGTGTCCCGACAAAAAAGGATACATGAGCCAAAGTAAGATTCCTGCAGCGCCTGACAAAGCTAGTGCATGCAGCTGATAGGGAGCAAATCAGAGAGTAGCTGGTGATATAGCACAGTAATACAAGGAAAAACAGCATTGCAGCATTACTATTACGGCATACACTGTCAGGATTTAAATAGTTAGCAAACTACACAGCCATGCTACAGTACGCTGCTGACAGCCTGCACACACACACACACACACACACCACTTAGCATTAGAAAGCAAAGAACTTGCATAATCATATAACAATTCGCAGGCATTCTTGGAGCAGCAATATTTCTCAAAATGAATGTTAACATATTATTATTTATTATTATTAATATTATTTTGTTAATTGGAGGCAGGGGGAAGGGAAGAAAAACATTGCTCATTAAATACATTAAATGGTTTGCAAATTAAATACAGTTTTATTTAAAATTATGTTTTATTAATCATGCTCTTGCAGATCTGCATGTCTGTACTATAGCTGTTAATAATTAGGCATACAGTGTGGCTGTCTCGTTGGTAACCCTGCCATTGCCACATAGGCCTGCATTGTCTTGTTTTTTTGTCGTCTGGCCTTCCTGGCACGTTAACGGTTAATCAGAAAACATAGCTACTGGCATTTTAGTCTCTCTATTGTTAGTGTCTGAGCTTTTTTTTTTTTTTTTTTTTTAGTGCGTTTTAGTAGAGGCACGTGTGGAAAGTTGTCTGACGCTAGGCATTGTCTCTCTATGCTGCTTCATTACCACATTGCATTGAAGAGGACAGAAGTAGGGGGTGAGCAGTAAGGGCAAACACACAGTGACACTCACCTTCTGTCCTTCACCAGCTTAGCATGCAAGTATTTGTCTGAGCTGAGACATTCGCTGCACCTGCTTGAGTGCTGTTAGCATTCTCTGGGTCCAGCCGTAAGTGCTTCACCATGACCCAGAAAGTTTCTTTAGTGAACCTATTCCATGCTCAGGTTGAGGAGAACAATGTAACACAAATTGTAAAAGCAGTGTTTAGGGAGTAGAAAGTTGGATTAAAAAGCCTTCTTGTGTAACAATGCATTCTTTTGTTACAGGGTTTTCCTTTTGTTGAAGTTTCCAGATTGAACTGTAGGCACACATCTGTGTTTAAGCTACGACTTTTTTCCTCAGAGGTCATTGAAGCTTGCTTGCGAGGTCAAGACTCCCACATGCACACTGTACAGACAGGCAAATCCCCCACTCAAAGGGCACAAGCTAAACTGTTTCAGCTTTATAGGCAGCTAAGCATTTGAAACATGCAATCCCAGGCAAACGTTCCCCCTAGAGCCTCTCTCTTCCCTGACCATATTTAGTCAACCATAGCAAAAAATAGTCTCTCAGCTGTCGATTGTCGATCCAAGAGCTCTGGGAGCTCTTATCATGCTTTCTGCTTATTGATTGTTCATCCTGCCGAGCCCCAACTCCGCTCTGCCATTTGTACAGCTATTTTTAGCACTGCCAAATAAAGCGGTCTCTCATGTTTGCACTTCTATTACCCCTATTTTCACAGAGCGTGCGCTCTTACAACCAAATCCTGATGTGACCGTCCCTATAGTTAGAACAGTGCAGAGAAAGTCTGCGTCTGTACAGATATGAAACAAATAAGTCTCTGCTTCCACAACAAATTGTACAGGCTGATTACTTGATCCGACAGAAGCGAAGAGTGCTTTGAATAGTAATGCATTATATCTGCAATCCTATTGGTCTGCACTGGAGTCCGTCCTGTTCTATTCTTCCCATTGCTTTATGTTTTTTTTTATTATTACTATTATCTCATTTAGCCTTTTTATAGGATTTGATTCTGCAATATTTGGCATGTGTACACTTTGTCAGATTTATGTGGCACTGACCAGCTATATAACTATTTCGTAGATGATGGAAAATGAAGCATTTTCTTATTTAGCTATTTAATCATTAACTTTACCTTTAAAGTAAAATCCACTTTCAAGGTAGCAATTGAGGGGGAGGGTAGAATAACAGTGGAGAAATTGTTCCTTTTTTTTTTTTTTCTCTCCCTTCATTTCAGTGATCACAATATGCTGTGGCAAGTTCTGGTGTCATATTTAACATATAAAATTTAAAGAAATGATGTGCCATTTTCTTGACCTATAGGCCTTAGTCCTAGATCACTTCGTGGTAAGCTTGTTTGGCAGCCGCTTTATCATCATATCCTCAAGAGACCCTCTCTGTGTTACATCACAGTCCATGAGGAATGCAGCTCATCAGACTGAAACAGCTGTCTCTTTAAAAATGTAGCGTAACTTAAGATGAGGACACACAAGTATTTATGTAAAAAGAAAGTCCAATGGCGCATGAAAGAAATTAAACGTGATTGTGTTCATATAATATTTAGAGGGACAGTTCTCAAAACAAACCAGGGCTGTGTAAAGGGGAAAAGTTGTGTTTGTGTGTGAGTATGTAGAGTAAGGGGGGGAATATTGTATTGCAGACTTATGGCAGTTTATTCATACACATAGCATGATGTTGGAGAATTCCATATTGTGTTTGCATAGCTCATAGCTTTTACGCTGGGAAATGTATTTTTATAGACATCTGGAGCAACAAGGTCAGCCATCTCTCCAGTAATTATCAATTGAAACCTTTCTAGATGGATCATGGATTATTTTTGAGGAGTTAACAGAGGATTGCAGCTTGCTAATCGTAATGTCAGACACAGCAGTCAGCACAACAGTGGTTTTCACCATTGAATAACTGATCCACCCCTAATTTTGAGTTAACCTTGTAACCTGTAAAACGCAAGAATATGTGTTGTCAAAATGTGTATTACAAATATATGAACATATTTAACAAGATATTTAAATGGTTACTCTAACCGTTTTGAACATTTATATCATTAAATTGCATTACCCTATTGGACAATCCTAGGTAAGTGTCTCTCCCCACCTCACTTTAAAATCAGAAGGACAAAAAACAAAAAACACGAAAGCTTGAAGTCCAGCACTGAGTGCAGCTCCCTGTGCTGCTCTTCACACCTCTTCTTATGTCACTGTAGGGCTTGCACGGTCCAATCAAATGCTTCTCCTAAAAAAGCATTTGATTGAACCTTTTTTTCTGGCTCAAAGCACGTGCCTGCCCTGAACTAGCAATATGTAAGCTATAGAGGGACGTGGGAGGGAGGGGAGAGCAAGCTTCACCTGCACACTGTCATCGTCAGTTTTTGCACAGCATTGATATTTGTCGCAGCCAAAGTCATGCGTGCTGGTCGTGTAACTAGCCACCGGCACAAAAGTGATTATAACTCTGGATGTCCAGCGTTTCAAGTAGAAATGCTGCACATCCAGCCTCCTTCCACCATGTCCACTTCAAATCACTGAAGTGGTCATGGTGGTTTAAATAACCCTTTAAACAAAGAATTGGAGTGTGTACATAGTGAGACATGTTTTTGGTAAATTGAAAATATACCCCACTATAAATGAACTCATTTTTAACATTTACCTTCTCTGATTTCCTAAACCTCATGTTGATAGACATGGTTATTCATCAAAGTTTGATTTGTTAGGCGTTCAAAGTGAATTTCAAATTTTAGACCTGAGTGGCTGAACTGAAAACAAAACGGATTTGAAATACATTTCTTCTTTTTCTTCGTTTTATATTAAAATGTGAAATTTACTTTGATTTTATTCCAGTTGAAACGTTGGTGAATAACTGAGAGGCTGTGGGTATTGGTATGTGGCGATTCTTTAGGGCCACCTGTTAGTCTTTCTGTTGAACAATCCCCCATTTAGCTCATTGAAGTCATACTCCGATTTCCCCTCCCTCATTAACATTAGCATTGTTAATGAGGGAAATTGTATTTGGTTTTCACATACATACCTACACACATCCACACTTTCCTCCTCAAGGGAAATCAAAAAAGAGCTTTAGTGAATGATTTGTGGTTTGAACTAAATCAGCGTTAATATTTTTGTTATCGGACACACAATTGTTCACTTTCATTTGACCTTGGAAGCATAGAAGGCTGTGTTAACCCTACCAGGCAGGAAACCTGAACCACTGAGGTTACAACTGGTATCGTAGTCAGTGCATCACTTATAAACTGTGGTTTCTAGGATGTGGTATCAGTGTGCATTATTTCTTCAGTATTTTACATGTGGCAACACATTATTTGTGACGTTTTACTGTTTGATGCCAGTCCTACTGGTTTATTTAATAATTAATGTTTTTGGTTTATTTGCGTATGACTGTGGTCTCCTTAAATCAAATGGGTAATTTAGACGTGGGCCTCTTTGCTCAATGTGCCTATAGAGGTATTGGCTGCACCTCGCTGATGAGGCCAAATGAAAGCCAGAAAGATGATCTGAGGTTGTTTTATAACTAATGCATAGGGATCCTGCCGACATTTTGGTTTTGCAATGTGCTGGTGGTGGGATTAGTCTGATATTCAAATGGTATAGGTTTCTTCTTAAAGGCTCAAGTGAGCTGAAACATTAGACTTGAGAGAAGACAAACTAAAGGGCCAGCTGCTTAGTTTTTTTCTTGTTCTCAGTATTCTTCCATTTTTTTTTTTTTGTTTATCTACAGAATTAATTTTTTTTTTTAATTTTTTTTTTTACAGGGTTTATTTTTTTATTTCTTTATTTTTTGTGCAGAGTTGGTAGAAAGATACCATATTTATGACCCATTTGCACAAACAGCTTGTAAAGTAGTGTGAGGTAATTCCTCCTTCGGGGGGGAGGTCAGTCTAAGAACTATAATCACTTGGCACCCTGGACTGAGAATTAGGCAGACAGAACACTTGGTTACGGGTAACATTATGTCCGTTTTGTTCCTGTAGGATGCTCACGTCACACGAACATCATGGAAGATAGCACAGTTGCATGTGTGGCACACAATTTGCCAACAACAAAAACATAGCACACTTTACTAATCCATATACACCCTAACTGTTCTAGGTTTAACATGGCTTCCCCACATCTGAGACATCACAGAAATGTCCTCAACCAGTGCAATGTGAGTGTGTCGTTAGATGTAAACTCAGAACACTGTGACTGCTCTCTATGCTTAGGCTGCTCTAAAATGGGACTAGCCACACAGGGTGTCTGTCAGCCTGCCATGCATGCCTGGTAAACTGGTGCTGTACCTTTTTCCAATGTTTGGTGGACGCTAGTAAGGGAATTGAAATCTTTATAAACTGTTACCAGTTGCAATATGGCTGCTTTCAGTTTATAATACATTGCCAATCATCCTAGGTGGTGATGGGAACTATTCATCAAATAAATCCCTGCTGTACAGGAGTTTATAGTTTAAGATCAGTCCACACAGACCTGAATAACACTCTCCTGATTGGAGCGTCTCCTTCTCAACAAGCAGCTGAGGAATGCTTTGCAGGAACATATTTATTTTATTAGTACATTGTTTATGTAATGCTTTAAACATTGGATATTTTGTCACTAGAGACTACCCCATATAATTGTATAGATAGTCTTAACAAGTGTATTAACGTCGATTTTTATTTATTTATTTTTAATTGTTTTATTTTTGATTTTTTTTTAAAAAGAGTTCTGCATTATTAGTTTACTTTTTTGTTTGCAAGTAATTCCTGGTTAACAGACACACCTGGCAACCTTTGATTCTAACTTGCTAAAGCATGTACCAATCAAAAGTACACAGGCTGTTAAACTGGCATTTGCTGTTTCACAGGGACCAGGAGGTTTAGTTGGTAAACAATTGTCATGAATTAAAGAGCATTCCAAAAATGACACCACATTGGCACTTACTGAAAATGACAAGTCAAAAAAAGTAAAAAAAACAAAAAAACAAAAAACAAACATACATACATTGTGGTTAACTGTTTAGCGGGTAAACACTATGAAATGCTTTTTAATTCTCACTCTTTCTGCATATGGTTTACCAAGTTGCATATAGCAATTAAAATTAGTGTGACATTTTGTTTCTAGTGACATATGAAATTCAAGTGGGTGTGTGATGTTGTTATTGATAGTCTGTAATAAATATATATATATATATATATATATATATATATATATATATATATATATATATATATATATATATATATATATATATATATATATATATATACACATACACATACACGTATCAGATTTGATGCATACATTGGCTTGCTTAACAGAGTTTTGCCCACCAGAAAAGCATATTAAAAGCTGCTGCATGGCCAGTAGTACTTTATTTCTTTTTTTTTTTTTCTTATAAATTTTTGTTTACACCTAATACTTTTAATGCACAGATCGCTTTTGAGCGTGAATAGGTTAAAATATGCCTATTTACATGGCTTATGTTCTCCTCTCGGTGCCCAGTGTCATATGAGAGCTTTGTTCATGCTGGGCTGGTGGTGACCGTATTCTATAAATAGAAAGCACATACAGCACCTATTTTTCATGACACTAACGTGCACAGTCTAGAAGGCTATTACTAGTTATCCCTCTGTGCATCTGTCATTTTCTAGGCTTTCTGCTGGTAGTGTGTCTCATAGAATTGGGTATACAGTTACAAGATTGATAATGTGAACAGATCCTTCCAATGGTGGCCGGAATGTAGTTATTCCAGAGCTATGTCTTTGAAAACCTCTACGTGACTGTCCATAGCTAAATTACCATTCATTTCTGAGTCATCACAATCCTCCCTTTAAGATCTGCATTGTCCTTCATTATTGCTGGAACAAGATATTTGATTTCTGCTTACACCTTAAATTTGCATTGCTTGCTAGCCAATCATCTATGAAATCACATTCTGAATGTGATCTGTGCTAAGACTGCTATTTACTGGAGCTCGCCCAGCAAAGATTATAGATGGCCTCACTGTACTCTATATTATTAAAAGAGGGCTTATTCACAAAATGGGGATTTCTTATTGCCAAATATGCTTTAAAAAAAAAAAAAAAGTGTAGGCCTGTGTCAAGGGAAACTTGGTGATGTTGAAGTATTTAAAGATTTGGTGTGGACGTATACTGCAGTGCTGGTGGACCTTGGGTGCCAATGAGACATCTGCTTTTTTGTCAGCTAGGTAACGGTTTGATAAAACCTGGACTGCACTGGTCTTCTGGCACCATAAGGTAATAGAAAAGGGGATCAGAGAGGCTTGGGACATTTGAGAGTTAAAAAGCCTGGACAACTGTACTTAGTTGGGAAACCAGTGTTGACTGACAGAAATAGAGATTAAAAGAAGTTACTGTACTGTACTAAATAAACCAATCATTATTTTGGGACTGTGGGTTTTCTACTGTCCATTAGGGAGTACTCGCCTCCTTCCCAGTACCAGGACTCCTCTGCAGCAGCCTCTAGCTCCGCCTCCGGTGATGTCAGTATCCTATCGGACATCACCCACTACGATCACCTCCGATCAACTGCGTCTCATAGAAAAGCTAGGGACTGGAGATGTGCTAGCCAAATGCAGCACTCCTACAATCAAATGCCATCAGCAGCATTTGATTCACAGACCAGGCTTTACCCAGTATGCAGGAGGAAGCCCCTCTAGTTTCTTTAGGAAGACAGCCATTAGAGGTGTATTTAACCCTGCAATATAAACATTGCAGTTCTCTTTAAAATAAGCAAAGCAAAAAATCTGTTTTACATTGCAGGGTTAAAGTGACAGGACGTCTTCACCCAGACTATGTCAAGGAGATTAAGTGGTCTGGGTGATTATAGTGTTCCCTTAAGGACCATACTTCTGGAATAAAAGGGAATCATGACATGTCACACATGTCATGTGTCCTTAAGGGATTAAAGTGTAGCGTCAGGAATGCTAATCTGTATTCCTAATGCTATTGTGTCCCAGTGCTTGATTCATTTTTGGTTTCCTTCTTCCACCTCTTGCAACATCAACGAGCTCTTTAGCCGAAGGTCCAATCCAATGTTCCTCATAGAGAAGCATTGGGGACTTATGCACATGCATCGACACAATAAAGGTGTGTAACATTGCAATGTTTAACATTCCAGGGTTAAAACTACAGGTCCCCTGCGCCCAGACCACTCTATTAAGTTGAAGTAGTTTGTGTGCCTTTTAGTGGTCCTTTAATAAGAACACTTTATCTTGAAGTGCCATTGTCACCCTTCCCCCAAGTGTGTATTTCATAAAAATATATGACTTAAATACTCACATTGGCTGTTTTTGAATATTCATAAAATTCAAATGCCGTAAGACAGAGCAGTGACTATTTTGTCATATTATTTGTTTCTACACTTGATAAATGGTGGAGCTATCTTTGTCTGGAGTCTTCAGTAAATTATGGACATGTAAATTATCATTTTGGATATTTATAAGAATGTCCTCAAGAAATCTAGCTTTCTAAATATCTCAGAAATCAAGTTCTAGCATGTATGAATAGCCACAATAAATGGCAAGCTATATGAAAGACATGTGATGTCCGCATCAGATGTTTCTGATTTCTTTCATCCTATGGAAGACTGGCATTAATTTAGTAAATAAATAATCTTGCTTGAGAACTGTAGCGGAGCTCCCTGTACCCCGGCTGGGTACCTCCGCCAAGGACCGCTTCCTAGCTTGAACAGGGGACAAACCGCAGCACTTCCGCCCACAGTCGCCGTGGCTTGACTGGGGTCCTGAATGCGCTACCTCCTAGAGTCAAATGGGGAATTCGGTCTAGACACCCCCAGGCACTGGACGACACTCAGTCCTGGGAGCTCTAGTCCTTACAAGGACTTTCCCCCTTTGAATCCTCCACACTGGAACAGTGATTAAAGGATAGCCCTTTCCCCTCCCAGTAGCCAGGCGACACTGTTCTGGGAGTACAAGCTGGAATACTTTAATGGCAGCCACAACTGGCCTTATATACATGTCCCCATGCAAGGGGCACTCCCCTTTGGACCTGAGAGTAAACCACAGTAAAAACAAATACACAATTACATTGGCTCTCAGGTCCAGGACACTCCCATACAAAATCAGATAATCCCTCCTCTGTGCCTGGGAGATAATTGGATCAGGAATTGTACTAATCTAATCCAATTATCTCCATCACAGAAAAAAAGTACTTTTTACCAAAAGTACCCTAAAAATACATAAACCCCCCCACAAAAGTTACATTCCCTGATAGCCCTGATCTGGGTGACCAACATATCCAAAAATCACCCAGGTCAGTTCAGGGGTTCAGGAATTTCATGGAAATCATTTATTTGACCAACCACATGCATGGTCCCATGCCCAAAACAGTTCCATAGAATCAGAGCTTGTGGTCGGTCTAGTTCGGTAGTTTAAAAAAAACAAAAAACTACTGAATGGAATCCATAGTTCTACCGTGGAGCTTGTTCACCTTATTCAGACGAATGTTATAAAACCGAACACAGGCGATCATGCAAGTCCAGCGGTGTCCGGGAGTTTTAGTATCATGTCGAATCATGTCGAATCAGAATTGGTTCTATCTCTTCCGTTTTGCAGCAACATCCAGCTGCACATAACGGTTCACGGTTTCCTAGCTGCTAAATTATATTCCTGGGTTCAATTGGTGCATATACCAGATCAGTCAATGCTGAGTATCATTTATAGTTGATTTTATGTACTACAGTTATACTATTGTCTGTGGTCTCTGTGACTATCTGTGGTTTATATCTTTATGGTGCATATATTTTTAAGCTTGCCTAGAGTTTATTTTGGAGGAAAATCCCATGTGGAAAGCTAGGTTTCTATATCACTTGAGATAATTTTGCTTTGTACTTCACTTTTTAGATTTTGTACACTATTTATTCTATGTATTAGTTTTTATATACTGATAAATGTTCCAGCATTATATGTACCTTTCTTCTACCAACTGAGTATGCTGTAATGTCGGAGCTTGATTTCATTGTATGAATTAGTCAGTGGATACCATTTGCCATTTTATTGAAGAGTGAAATTTACTGGAGATAATTTTCAGAATGTTCACCCTGGACCTGATATTGTAAACCTTCTCATATTATATTTAACATATTTCCAGTGCCATGCGTGTCCTGCTCTCCAAGCTGCCTCGACCGTGGATTGTAGATGAGAAGAAAGATGATGGATACACCGCCTTGCACTTGGCAGCTCTCAATAATCACGTTGAAGTAGCTGAATTGCTGGTTCACCAGGTAGGACCTCTTTTTATGGAAAATGAAAAATAAAATGAAATGTTGAACTCTGCACCTCTTTCACATCTTGCAGATTGTCATGATTGTTATAATTTCATACTGCCCAAAAAATAAGTATTGGCTAGAATCCTTAGTATGACACAACATTTTCTGTTTACTTGCTAATAGAATGATGGTTGGAATTATATTGTCTGTATATATAAAATTTCACCATGTCATTTAGTACGAAAGTGCAGTTTAAAAAGACATGCTTTTCTTTACTTTAAAGGGCTACTTCAACCAAAAACCAATGTTTTTTGTTAAAATAACCCTTGCTATCCTGGTTCCCTCCCTAAAAAAATTACCGGGAGAGGGAGCTTAAACTCACCACCAATCTTTGTGAGGCCAAGTTGTAAATCAGCCCAATCCTCCTCCTCTGATGTCCCTCTTCCTTGGATGTCAGAGAGGGCACACTGAGAGGAAGAAATGGGCGACACAGTGGGGTGTGCTGCCACGGACGAACATGCCTCACCGAAGAAGGCCGAAACAATCGTCCAGGTTGCTTTATTTCACGTGCAGACAGAGACCTTGACAGTATTTTGGTCCTGGACTGCCCTCGTGGGTAGATCAGTCTGACATGCAAATGGTATAGGTTCTCTTTGTAATAGCACCAATGCACAAACAAATTTTTGAAACCTGAGTAGAACTAACTGATGGGCAGTCTACTGGGTTTCTCTAAGCTTTTCCCATTCTCAGAGTTCTCCTATTCTCTGTTTTTGTTGTAAACATACATCATACCGCATGCCTTTTATTTGTATTTATTATCTTTTCTTCCTTTGCACTGGGTCCAATATCTGAATGCAGCCATTTTGTTTTCCTCTGTCCGTAATGTCTGCAGTTTGCCCCTCTGTGGGATTTTTTTGACTGATGGATTGTGGGTAAATTAGCTTAGCAACTGAAATGAATCTCTGCTTAAGTTCTGCGCATTCCAAAAATGACATCCCCTATAGGAAAAGTAGTTCCTACTTTTTCTTATGGATAAATAAAACACAATGTTGAATTAAAAAAATAAATAAATATATATATATATATATTTTATAAAACCAAGGGGAAATGGTAAGATAGTGCTGACTTTAACAAGAGAATTCAGAAACCATCGAGACAAATTGTTGATATTAAATTGTCTTTCCTTTACAGTAAGCTCAGCTTACACCTTACTGAGTCATTCCTTTATATCAGGCTTGGGCAACACCTTTTGTAATAGTCAAAACATTAGACATTTTATTTTGTTTTCTTCTTCTTCTGCCTAAATGTCATCTCCTTCCAGCTGATTTTTTATTTTAATTATTTAGAATCCCTATGCTTGCAGTGCTATTTGTAAGGCAAATCCTGCTGTTTTGTTTGCACATTTTATTTCAACCCACACAGAAACACATACTTTGTTGCTACATAACAAATATAGTGCTTATTCATAAACACATTTATGAATTCTTAATGGAACCTTTTTAAATCTTAATATCATGTGTGACAATATAGTAATGTGGTTTAAATGTATATAAAGATATTGGTATTTATATTTCTTTCCCCTTTATATAAAATCAAAATGGCCTATTGAGCAGTTATGCCAATTCCTTTGTAATACAGAAAGACACTGTTTTTCACAGTCAAAAAAAGAAAAGAAAAAGTTTAACACAAAGTAAGGTTTTACAAATGACTACAAGTGAATTAATATTGCATGATTAGTGGGATCATAAAATAATTAGAGGTTACAGAATCGTACTGTATTAAATTGTGCTTCAACTCTTCTGTTCAGGGAAGTGCAAACTTGGACATTCAGAATGTAAACCAGCAGACGGCACTTCACTTGGCTGTTGAACGTCAGCATACACAAATTGTCCGGGTAAGAAGGCATGTTAATGGCTATCAGTCTAACATGATGCATTATCATGGATCAGTGGTTAATATAACAAACTGGCTACTCAAACTACTCACAAAAAATACTCTAAGCACCATAACCACTACAGCACAGAATTACCAGGCACCCCTCGATTGTAAGTAGTCAAACAGTTTTAGAATGGTTTGATTTCTTACCTGCTGTCTACCGAGTTCCACTCCCCACCTCCACTTACTCAGAAGCTTTCTGTCTGAGCTGCACCACTGCACTGCAGGGCTTAGCGACAGAGAGCAAACAGAAGTTCCTGCTTAGGTAGCGGTTATGATGCTTGAAGTGGTTTTATAATATGACTTTATTACAAAAATATATTTATATTTACTTATTCAAAATAAATAGTATTTCTTAGAGTAGTATTCAAATTAATATGTTGTATGTGTATTAATAATTATATGTGTATGTATTATAAGCATATTTTTCTATATATCATTATGTTTATGGTATGTACACAAACATTTCTATAATACACATGCATGTTGCATGGGCTTCATACTCCGCAAATGGTTATTCATTGATCACCAAATTGAAGCAAAGGAAAATTCAAAAGACATTATTTAGACCAAAATGGCTGATTAGGAAAAATCTTTAATTTTAACTAAAACCACACCGTGGTTATTTTAGCCAACATTTAGCATTTTAGACCTTTGTATACAAGATTTAGGGAATAATTCATGACCTTCCATTCCTTCTATTTACTCTAGCCCTATAATATATTTAATGAGGCAGGTACTCATAAGACTAAGTTACTCCAAGGACCATGACTACTTTAGTATTTAGAAGTGGTCATGGTGTAAGGACCCTGTATGTGCAGTGTTATAGTATGAAATGCTGGACATATTTAAATAGTTCATGTTGGTGCCATAGTTCTAACTCTGGAAATGGCAGCTTACAATAGCCAGCCCGGAAAAAGCATTGATGGCTAATGTTAATTCTAAATATATTCCATGCACAGAGGTTCAATCATTGGCTGACTGCAAATTAATAAATGAATGTCAGGTTCGGCACCTAAATTCTGCAGCTCTGTAGAAGCCAGATGTCATTCAGCTGGCTTGATCGGAGGCTCAGTGCCCGACGGAACTTGCCACTTACCAAAAACATTCCCATAAATACTTTGCATTCTTTATTGCCCTACCGAACACTGATATATCAAACTAAACAAAATAACTTTTTAATGCAGTTGTGGAACAGTATACAGTCAATTGTTGTTTTTGTTTTTTTTATTAGTGGACATTTCAAGACATGTCAAGGTAATGGGCCTGTAATATATACTCTTGTTACACCCCTATGTAGGCAAGCAAGTTTTCTGTTTTGCAAGAATATGTTTAATCATATATATGCACATATTTTATACAATCCAACTACTATACATTTTCTAAAGAGATGTAGACAATTTGACCACATGATGGAAAACGCAAGCACAAGTTATCTGTTTTTCTCAAAAAATTTTTTAAAGGGACTCTATAGGCACCCAGACCACATCAGCTCATTGAAGTGGTCTAGGTGCACTCTCCCACCATCATTATACCTGCAAAGCTAATTACTGCAGTTTTTTCTAAATGGCAATAATTGGCTTTCTCAAGTAACTCCACCCTTAGTGGCTCTGCACCAGACAGCCACTAAAGGGACTTCCGGGCTGTTAGGCTTCACCAGAATCCCCATAGGAAAGCATTATATAATGCTTTCCTATAGAGAAACCCTAATACGAGTGCAGCCATTGTCGCGCATGCACATTAGATCTCTCCATCCGGCTGACGTCAGCAGGGTAGGAGAGGAAGGGGACGCAGGTAAGTGACAGAAGGGGTGGAGACTATAGGAAGCTATAGTGTCAGTAAAAAACTACTTTGTTTTCTTGGCACTTTAGTTTCCCTTTAAGAAAAAAATATTATATGGTATGCTTTCTTACGTGGCAGAATCATTCCAGTCACATTAATGGCCAAAGCTGCGTGAACATAACCATTTCAGCAGGGTATCGTGATTTGTTATGAACCCTAATATTTTTACTTTGTAATGTAATACACATGCATGTTGCATTTTTACATGTATTCCTGACCCTATAGAGTTAAAACCACCATCTAGCCCCCCTGGGCCCCTCATGCCTCCATAAATATAGTAAAAATCTTACTGTATTCAAGCCTGAAGCTGTAACTCTGCATGCTGTTAGACTCAAAAAAACAAGTAGTCTGCTGACATCATCAGAAGTGGTAGCCTGATCCAATCACAGTGGTTCCCCATACGATTGGCTGAGACTGACAAGGAGGCAGATCAGGGGCAGAGCCAGCATCATTCAAACACAGCCCTGGCCAATCAGCATCTCCTCATAGAGATTAATTGAATCAATGAATCTCTATGAGGAAAGTTCAGTGTCTGCATGCAGAGGGAGGAGACACTGAATGTTTGGATGCATTTTAGGCAGCCATGACCCAGGAAGGACCTCTAACAGCCATCTGAGGAGTGGCCGGTGAAGGTATCACTTAGCTGTAACGATCGTTGAGATCTCCACCCACATGTTCTTCCACTTGTTTTTAGGAAGTGTCATATTCTGCATTCTGGTGTCAGCTGCTGGAGACAAATAACTCTCAATGCTACATTTGTTTTTTCAGCTGCTAGTACGAGCAGAAGCTAAATTGGATATCCAAGATAAAGATGGTGACACTCCTCTACATGAAGCTCTTAGACATCATACATTATCCCAACTGCGCCAGCTCCAGGATATGCAGGACGTTGGGAAAGTAGACACTAATTGGGAGCCGTCAAAGAACACTGTGAGCATTGGAATCTCCATTATATCTACCCTTTGTTTAATACATATATAGCATAGTAAAGTGTATCTTGTTTATTAACAACAAAGCAAATGGCTTGCACAGTTTTAGCACGGTAACATGGTTTTGGAAGCCCACAAACCATTTAAAGTATGTTTTTTAATTGTTGGACTTTTGTAATCCATTTTCTTTTTTTATTAAAGAGAAACGCTGTGTCAAACATACATGTATTATTTGAATGCATATATTTAATTGTTGCAAAAAAAAAAATACATTCCCCAAGCCCTCAAATCTTACTTTTCATTAGCTGTGGAATTGACCTCTTTAGCTAATGATAATCCACCCAAATATTGTCTAGCACTTACTTTGTGCTATACGGTGTCCAGTAAAATGCTTCTTCTGTCTATCATAGAGATAGCCTTGAGGGCAGATTTCAGATCTCCAGTCCAAAGCTTACCAAAGAGCAAGAGATGGGTGGTTTTATTTAGATTTATGGATTCATATTAAATATATGTATACTTATTTTTTATTTTTTTTAATGTGAATCCAAATGACATCTAGATAAAACCACCTATTTCTTTCTCTTTGGGAAGCTTTGGACTGGAGATCTGTCTCCAAGTCTTCTCTTCTCAATGCTATCTCTGTGATTGATAATAGAGTCTGCAAAACTTTTCACGTAATATCACAAAAATCAGCTTTGGTGCTTACCCACACTGTGTGAATATAGGAAGAACGGCCACAGTCCTAAGATTTATATTTATTAAATTTTTTTGTGTTAAGGCCCTACGAGTGCTGTCATTTTTTCTATATAGATATATATGTATGTATATAGATGGATAGAGAACCCATGCATTGTCTGAGTCACACTGACTTCTGCTCTGAATTGCAGTTCAAAGAAACTGAGGCTGTTAACCCCTATAGGTGACTGTAGTGTCCCTTTAAAGGCTCAATATAAGCAGCAAAACCACTACATGTATTTGTTGTTATGGTGCATAGATGCTCTCAATGTAAAACACTGGCATTTTTGGGAAAGGCATTGTATACTTTTTTTCCTAGAACACTCCTCTTGTGACTGTGAGACAGACTGTCCTTAAAAACATAAATTTTCAAACATCTTGACTGTTGGGTTCAGTGCTATTTGATCACAGCAATTTTTTTTTAATGCACCATACTTAATTTGATGTTTTGAAGAACGAAAAAAAAAAAAAAATATATATATATAAATATAGTTTCTCAGCCTGGAAACGGTTTGACCCAGAACCAAGGGATTGGAACTGCAACCTAGGAACACTATAAACACTACAAAGACATCATTTCCTTTCAAGGACCTGCATTCTCCAGATGGAAGGGGTATCTTGGCCAGTGATTAGAAAAAAAGCAAAGAACCAACGACCTATTAAAATATGTGTGGTGTTATCTGAGAATTTAACTAACCGCCCAATGACTATTGTGGTTTATATTTTACAGTTGATTATGGGTCTTGGAACCCAGGGAGCAGAGAAGAAAAGTGCGGCTTCCATAGCCTGCTTCCTTGCTGCAAATGGAGCAGATCTCACTATTCGTAACAAAAAAGGACAGTCTCCACTGGATCTCTGCCCTGACCCCAGCCTTTGCAAAGCATTGTCTAAGTGCCATAAGGAAAAATCAAGGTATATATTATGCATGACTTCAGTGGTATATGTCATCATTATTAAGAATATAGAGCAGAGGTTATTTAAATGTATTCATTCCATATAATGGAATATTGAAAGGATTTTATTTTTACCTAACATTTTGCTCTAAAGACTTATGTAAAAATGTTCTATAGCACATACTTCTACATATAATATTTCATCACATTCAAATTGGATCCTGTTCAGCATCCTGCATATATGATGATCATTTTTAGTACATTGTTTCTCATTAATTTTGAGTTGTATTTTTACATGTAAAAAAAATTAGATTTATTTTAAAATCTAATTTGCAAAATATGTATTCGCAAATAATATTTGGTCTGTGGCCTGAAGGTATAAAATGCTGCTGAGGATCTTAGAAGTGGCGATAAAAGGCCAAGCAATTCTGCACTCTGTACAGATCTGATCTATTGATCCATTTTTATTTTAAGGAGTCGCATGTAAGTGGTAAAGTAACAGCATGCAGCATCCAAAGAGATTAACTTCCGCATCTCTGCTTTCTAAACTGCACGTCCAGCGATATTTTCATTTTTATGCCGTGGTAGTTGTAAACCCAGCACACATGACTTGGGCAGCTCTGCTGTTTAATGCTAATTTTGTGCAAATATTATGTCTTTTGTCATAATTGCAGAAATAATGAGCTGTATCCTGCTAGGATTGCACCTGCAAGGGGAAGCTTACGTTTCCATTTCCACCCTGCCTCCCAATATTTATCTTTCCTCTGTTTTTGTTGTTGTTGTTGTTTTTTTAATATCTTCAAATTTTTTTTTTATTTTTTTTTCTTGCCTTTCCTATTTTACCATGCCAATGACACTGCACATTATTTTTCTACTGCAGAAAAAGAGAATTCATGCCAGGTAACTTAATGTGGCAGTGTCACTAAATTGTCTACCCATCTCTCAGCCTTCAAATGGCTCGGCTAACTCCCTTATTGATATATGGCTAGTCCTGCCATGTCTTCAGTTATGGCACTACCATATTAGCATTTATTAGCTGACAATTGCCAGGAGGACCTTTGTTGACTCCACACACAGAACTGATGACGCAACGCTCCTGGAAGTCAATCTACGCTGGAAGGAGGTGAGTACAAAGTTAATAATCAATGACAAAGGACGTGGAGTTTAAATGACGCTCAATATTTTGTCAAATTGCAGGTTATACATAAGGAAAAGTATTTCCTGTTTATGTATAACCTTTAAAAAATTAATCATAATTTTATTTTTATTTTTAATGACTGCCACCGGTCACATCTGCTTTACATCTTGGACCCCTTTTTTTTTGTAAATATCATTCTTTGTCCACTGTAGGAGTATATGCTAATCACAGTAGATGTGTAACTTCCCTCCCCCAATTTGATTCTATTTCAGTGGTCAAGTGGGATCCCATAGTCCATCAATGATCAACAATGATTCTGAGACTCTGGAAGAGTGCATGGTCTGTTCTGATTTGAAGAGAGATACTCTCTTTGGTCCATGTGGACATGTTGCCACCTGTTCTCTGTGTTCTCCACGCGTGAAAAAATGTCTCATATGTAAAGAGCAAGTACAGTCTAGGACCAAGGTAATTATTCATTATTTTATCTCCAGTATATTTTGGTTTTCCCAATAGTAAATTTGTGATGTAGGTAATTTGCTAAAATATGGCTAGGTTTAAGTTTATTTTGTTTTTTTCTGCTGTGTATTTATATATTCATGAATTGCATGTGTAATTTTTTTTGTTTGTTTAAGCAAGCTATCCAGATTTATTTTTTACTTGTATATTTTTTAGTGTTTTATCATGATAGCATATCTAAGTTACACCCTACAGAAAATATTTGGAGCACAAAAATGCCCTTCCTGACTCCTCCTATCATAATGAAAAGAGCGACAAGCTAGAAAGTGTTCAAATAGTTGTATGATTTTCCAGAAAACAAGTGCTTTGGGTTTATAAAGCTATGGAGTAATGTGCACAGGCCAGATAGACCTTCTGTTGTGTCTACATTCACTCTTTATGAATGAAGTATTGGTGTGACATTTGAACGTGTGTTCGTTAATCCATGGTATCAATCAAATGGAATATACACTGAAGCTCTGTTGTCAGAGTACATGTTTTGTTTCATTGTTGCCTTTGGGTAAAACTTGGTGAGCATGTAATGTTATACACACATTCTCACAAATCCTCAAACATCAGGGATGAGCGATTGACTGGAGTAACAGAGCCAGTTCATGTGTAAAGATGAAAAATAATGCAGTGCAGATTACAGAGGGCATGTCCGTGAGAAGCTAAAAGCTGTTTTTAAATGAATTACATAAATGTGTTACTGATGGTTAATTCGCCATGTGTGTCCATTCACATGTGAGGGATTTAACCCCTTAAGGACCAAACTTCTGGAATAAACGGGAATCATGACATGTCTCACATGTCATGTTTCCTTAAGGGGTTAAAGCATGTTGCGGTAGGCAATCAGTGCTCTTTCTAAATATCCCAAGAATTTGCATTTGTCTACTTGTCCTGTTTACGTTTATAATGAACATTTTTTTTTTTTTTATTCTAAACAAATATTCTCTGTTACAGTATCTTTGATTTTTATTATTTTATTACAATACAGATTGAGGAATGTGTTGTCTGCTCAGACAAGAAAGCCGCTGTTCTTTTTCAGCCGTGTGGCCACATGTGTGCTTGTGAAAGTAAGTCCTATTATTTGCGCTGTCACATTCTTAAGATGCTGCACTTGGTATTTTTGTGAGTGCCAGGCCAGCAATAAGCATAGTAAAATCCGTTACAGAATAATATGATTCTATGATCTGATTAGTCTCTTAACATTTTAATTAACCATTTTAGAAATATGAAAGGGTATATTACATGTTTGTGCATGGGACTGCAAGTAATATAGAATCTGTCTATCTCAGAAATCGGCACACACTTACGTACAATATTTTATTACAAAACCTCATTTACTTTTTTTGCTTGAAACTTTGAGCCATGTTTCCCTGTTTTTGTGTGTCAGCGGGCTTCTGATTAATCACTCCTCGGAGCAAGTGTGATCAATATTTTCATTAAAGGATTTTGCAACTGTTTGCAAATTTTGTTTGGTCCCCCTGGGTGCCGAGCCTCCAAGAATGGCAGCTGAGCTGTATCTGTTTTTTGCTGAGCTGGAGTAGCTAGTTGTCGATACTGCTGTGCATTCATTGGCTGAGAGCTCCATCTGAATTCTCATATCCAATGAATGAACACCTGTTCATAGAATATACACAGAATAAACATGTTTTAGCCTAGATTTGAACAGGCTAATGAAAATTGCTCAAGGTGGCGTTACACCTACGGCAGCAACAATAAATATCTCTCTATATGCAGTGTTTCATATTCAAACGCTGCACATGCAGGGTCCTTGCACAATGGCTGCCACGAAACACTTAAAGATTTTGAATCCTATAATGAACAACATTGTACCAGCTGGTAAAATATTAATATACTTTGTACAATAAGATTCAGACATCTTATTTTGCCGTACTCTATAGATTTGGAGTAGCAGCAATGCTCTGGGTCACCAGATCTGTCTGAAAGGCAATACCAGGTTCTCCACCTGTAAAGCAATGGATAATCACAATAGTCAGCCCCCGTGTAGGGAGAAAAAACACTTGAATTAGTTTTAGAAATAATAAACAAATTTAAAAAATAGTGAGAGTTCAAAGTGAATTTCAAACTTAAAATCAAAATTGGCAAACTGGAGAAATCAGCTATGCTTTGTTAGGATACTCTGGTCACTTAGAATTTTCACTTTTGTAAATACTGCTAATACACTTTTCGTAACATACAGGCACATCCTCTGAGAAAAATAAACTATGAGCAAGTGCCTTAACAACGCTAAACCCATAAGCTTCCAATCTCTTCTGATTTTAATTATATTCATACCGACTGAGGAATTTTTCCTTTCCCACGTTTGGGCTGGCGATCATGATTATCTATTAATATACTTTTCAATGAGTTGCTCATTAGTCTTCTACCTGTGTGAAACATTTTCCTTCCTTATGTGGCTTGCACAATATATAGGTACAAATTCTTTCTAATATTAAGTAATCCTGTTTGTGGGATGACAGGTCCTCTGTTTGTTTTGAAATTCCTGTGATGGGAGTTCACAGAGCCTTGAGCCACACATGCTTTATAGTGTTATTTGTAGGTAACAATGATAGCAATTCTTTGTCTGCACCTGTCTTGAAAATCTATTCCACCAGTTTTATCCATCTTTTTAGTACCAATGCTGCACAAATTTTCACAATAATTTTCTTTTCCTAGTGACTAATTGCATGTTTTATATAGTCTTATTGTGAAAATTTTGGTAAACATTTTGATTTGGTTTGCAGATTGTGCAAGTCTGATGAAGAAATGTGTTCAGTGTCGTGCTGTGGTTGAGCGCAGAGTGCCTTTCGTTATGTGCTGTACTGGAAAGGGTACAGAAGATGTCACAGATGATATTGGTATGTTACATTACTTATGACCTTTAAAGATATAGAAGCCTTCTCCAAGGTCACTGTTTTTATTGTTCATTTCAAACTTTTTTAGGTAAATGTTACTAATAAAATATATATGTATACTATAGCTGAACTCCTTTGTCTGAATCTGTTGTACAAGGTGTTTCAAAAAAAATCTGTATAAGTGGGTTGGTATGGAGCTTATAAAAGCAGGTGTTGAAGAGAATGTCAGACATTGCCTAGAGCTTTACGTGTGTCAGATACCATTAAATTAAAATACATATATATATTTTTTTTAATTAATATTAGGAAAGCTTGTGTTCGTGTCCACAGCATTATTGAAAACATTAGTCCTGAGACTACCCTGCACACACTTTTACATAATCTAACCTATCAGACAGTCAGAATATTATCTTCTCTGCTGCCTGTGTCTATTTTGCCCAAGTTGTGCATGTGGAGTGCTCTCTTTTCACAAACTCACTACAGACCTGCCAATTGCTGTACATAAACGCGGCTAGGAAAACTGAGACACAAGCTGTGTTTAAACTGATAGCAGGCGCGTTATGGCTTCTGTCAGTTTATCAACATCCACTAAGTTGGCAATACTGTCAAATATTGTACATATTTTATGCACTGCATTTAAAATAAAAGTTCTAAAAAAATTAAAAAAAGACCTACAACCATACCTTCCTCTGGGAAGGCTATTCACTTTTGGGAGAAACAAGTCTCTTTGTTAGGGCTCCATTTTGAACTCTTGAGTTTCAAACTGACTGAGTGAGCCAAAAAAAAAGCTATCCTATGCTAAGATTTAAAATAATGTGGTTTAATAGTGCTTTCTGTCCATATTAACTGATTCCTCAAGCTGCTCTTGAATTGTCTTGAAAGTCCTATTTAAACAATTCTTAACCCCAAAGTTCTGTTCATTAGCAGGTGGGAACATTCCAGTTTTACAAAAGGACAAGGACAATACTAATGTCAACGCCGATGTGCAGAAGTTGCAGCAGCAGCTACAGGATATAAAAGAACAGGTAAACATTCATTAAATTATTAATTATGGCCTCTATTTTTTAATACAAATTATTTAATATTTTGATGTTTTGTGATATAGCAATATATTTTTGATATGTGATAATTTGAAGGGGAAAAACACATTTTAAAAATGTATAATAGAATATCAAATCATTTAAAAGGCTTCTTCAAAAAGATTTGAACAAAGCCTATAAAAGGAAAAAAACACAAGCAGTTTAGTAAGTAAAACTGAACTGAAAGCAAAGCTAATTTTAGAGACAATTTTCATTTATTAAAAACAAAAGTCTAGTATTATAAGAAAGCATGTCAACACCATAGTTTTTCATCTCACTCAGATTCAAACAATTATTCACTTTGTTTTATGCCATTATGAATCAATAATTGGTGTAACTATTCTTTTTCTTACAGACTATGTGTCCTGTTTGTTTGGATCGTCTGAAGAATATGATCTTCATGTGCGGCCATGGAACATGTCAGCTTTGTGGAGATCGAATGAGTGAATGCCCCATTTGTCGGAAGGCCATAGAACGAAGAATTTTATTGTACTAGACTCAAACATTGTTTAATATTTTATGTTGCTTTTCTGTATATAGCTTTCCAAACTGTTACTGTAATTGTGGCACATTCTATGACTGTGATTTGAGTAAAACAAAACAGACAAGAATGCCTCGGGCTTACCTTGGAGAAATGTGCCATTTCACATTCTATAAATTCCCTTTTAGAGCTATCACCAAAATAATATTTGTGAGATTATAGAGTGCGTGCAGTTATTTATTTTCAAGCAAAAGTCCACTGCCTTAGTCTTCTGAAATTGCTTGGAAAGTGTTGTTTAGTTGGGGCTTTATTCCTTTCATTATAATATTTTTGTTGATAGCTGAGGAATGGTAGCCAATTGAATGCCTTATTTTGGTGATTTGAACATGTCAAATGTTTAAATTCTGTTTGATTTCTTGTAAAGAAGAAGTGTTCCCTTTAAACCAATCTCTGCAAACAAATTAACCAGGCTCAGATTAAAGAGTTGTTAAGTATTATTACTTAATCTATCTCTGCTCAAGCAGGCCTAATTATAAATCAAGAACTTTTTTTTGCATGCCCTGCGGACTGGAGTTGATTATCATTGCGTTAGCTTCTGGAATCCTTTTAAAAATGAGTAATGGAATTTCTTTTATTCATTTTCAGATACAGTATGTCTTGTTAGGAGAGAGAAAACCTTCATATAACGAAACTGAGATGTTGAGTCCCAAAGAGAGAAAAAAAGAAGCTAACTTGATATTTCATGAGATAACTGCATTCTATAATATTGACAGTGAATGTAAACATGTCAAATCCTGAGCTGGTCCCCAGTGAATTTTCCTTCCTTCCTTTCCTTTTCAACACTACTTTTTTTTGGGGGTGGGGGGGGGGGTGAAGAGGGGGGTTTGATTTACTTGTTGAAATCACCAAGGAAGAAGTTCAAATATTATAAATGGCAACAGAGACGCCACTTGTAAGTTTGTTGATCATCAAGCGTTTTCATTTTGTCATGTATATATCTTCTCTCATGTTAACTTGCATTCTCCCCCCATATCCTCATATCCTACAATGCATTTTTTGCTGAATATGCCAACAATATTCAAAATGAGAAAATACTCTAGTTCAGTGCTATTTTAGTTTACTGTTTGTTTTTGAGTGGGCTTTGTTTTGTTTAGGCTTTCAATATAGTATAATCCATTAGGGATTGAAAATAATACAATGATATGGTTTTAGGCAGGCCTTAGACCATAGTACCATTCTCAGGCTGCATGCAGCTTATACAATATAGCAATGTTTTATTAATTGTTAGAGAAGAGTGGCATTAGTATTTACAAAACAATTTTCTTTCTTGTCCTATACCGCTCCAGTACAAACAACTAGATTATGTTCTCGGTCGGAAAGCTTTGTGTTCTTGCTAACTGCTGTAAAGTTACCTCATAGCAAAGAATTTGTTTGACAATTAATATTTTTATTGTTGTTAAAGAGACATAGTTGTCTATGCTACAAAATAAGTAAATGCTAAATACAATAAATTACTATAGCAACATTTGAGTAAAATAACAAAACAATTAAAATCTGATTATAGTTTGCGTTACTGATACCAGTAAGATTTTTTTTTTTTTCGTTCACTATTATATAGATATCTGTGCCAAACCATCTACAAGCAAATACTTGCTGTGAGGTTTGAGTATTCAGGTCTAATGTACAAATACTGTATTTCTATTTTTTGATAACACTAACATAAACTTTATGCTTTGAATTTTAGTCTTGCATAAGTAAATTGTACTGGAAAAAGCAAGCTTGGGATTTCAAAGCTTCCTCTACAAAAGGAAATCTGCTCACAATGCCTTATACTGCAGGTTATTTAAAATAATTTAATATACCTTAGTTTTTCATTATCTAGATTAAACAGTCAGCTACAAATATGAATGTGATTAGTGATCACATGTGTCTAGTTCCCCAATTATATTCCCTACTAACAGAAACACAATGATTTTTACCTTTCACATTATATATATATTTTAGGCTACATTGACAATGCTAATGCCTTTTAGAATGAAGTGGATATCATATGGTAAAGAATGCTTTTGCTCCTGTACAAAAAAATAAATCATCAAAATATTGTAAAGAAGTAACCGTACATTCATGCTTGCAAAAAGCTGATCTACCAGAATCCTTTTAACCATGCTTTTTTTAAATGCTTGGATCATAAATAATAAAATAAGTAAGCTTAAATGTTACATATATATTGCTTCAGTAAATGTGATTAATGATTAGAATGTAAAGAGAACTATCATTTTCTTAGTCACTCCATAGATGTGAGACACTTCATAGATTGAATCTGCAGGCACTGAGTGTGCACCAACAGGAAGAGATTAAATGGACAAAAAAATAAAGCAGCCTGTTTAATGCAGATTTTACCTTGCAAGGCTGTGACATTCACATGAACAGAGTAGTGGAAACTATGTCTCCTGCAGGACTTAGTTTTCCAACCTTTATGACCACTTCAGTGATTTCAGAGATATTGTTAATTGTGCTGGGGGCTAGTTGCTCTTTTCTGAGCTGGCATTGTTAATTCTGCACATAAAATATATCTGTCGTTAGCGCATACTGCACGTTGAAGAAAGGTGTGAACATTTTCCCTTGCGGTCAGAGCTAGCTCTCCCCTTCCACCCACTCTTCATTCCCTCCCACCTTCCTCCGCTTAACCTGGATTCCAGGTAAGTAAACCCTATTTTTAAATTTTTGCAGGTTTTACTGCAAATTGAGATGTAACCCGTTAATGGATGGACCTTCACTGCACTACATAGCAATACACAGTAACAAGAAAGTGTCCAATGCTTCACAATTGCTGTTTTTTAAAAAGCAAATCATTTATTTCAACTTAAAAGCATACTTCAATTAAAAAAACAAAACAGACTCTCATTAGCTCCATAAAAATTCCACAATCGAGAAAATTCACCTTTCGCATGAAATATACTTTTTCAAGATCAAAACCACCCGTGTGGAAGTCAAAATAAGTTTGTTTTTTTTTGTTTGTTTTTTTAAACAGTGATGTCACCATCTGGGGATTTTACAGAATTTGCAGACATCCGATGGTGACATCACCGCTGGGGGCCAAGGGGGGGAAGCAGGAAAATGTAAAAATGTAATCGCCAGGACCCGACATCAGTGCTGTACAGTCTTGCGTCATAGACAGAGCCAATTCCCTGCAGCCGTCACTGGTGATGGCTGTCGGGATTAGCACTGTAGTTTCGCTCAGAGTCTGAGAAAGTCAAACAGTGGAAATTACTGAGACAAATTAGTTCCTACTTTGTCTCCGTAAATCTCTTGACTGGGTTGAAATTTCAGTGAAATCCCGTCACGGTCAACAAATGAGCATTTCATAAAGATTAAACAGCACCTTGTGGAGCATTGGACACTTTATTTCCTATTGTCAGAACAAGATTGGGTAAACTACAGGAATGCAACAACCGCTGACAATGTTGCTGCTGAAATAAAGGATGAGTTAACTAATGTTCAGAGTTTAAAACACTATTAGTCGGTTGAATAAAACCATTCTGACACTAGATACTTCAATTACTATTCTATGATATTAAGAGCACAGTCTAAATGTATTGTGTGCTACTTCAAATTATTCCTTATTATGTAACAATTTACCATAATGGTGTGTTTTCCTTTCAAAATAACCTCTGCACCCCAAATATATATATATAATAATAATAAATTTGAATAAAATTTAAAATCAGATTTTTGCTGTATGGAAACACAAGAACAAAATTGGCAATTAGGCATGTGAAGATATATTTTAATCCTTTGCATATTTTTTTAGTAACCGTAAAATAGCGCAGTGAGGCATATTATCATCAGTCACAGAATGAGTGATGATGTATTATGTTTGGTATACAAGAGATTTCTTAGTCTGACAAATTACCACGTTTATGTACAAACTAAATGTTAAAATATCAAATTTCTACAGCAGCTAATAAGTGATGTAAATGCAATATATAGCCAATGTTTATAGTCCCTAAGCAGATTCTAGAAATTCTAACATGCAAAAATATGAGCTATTGCAGGCACGCAATTGCATTATTAATATTTAATTTGAATTCTAATGCTTAGAATAAATTATTATACCAGTTCTTAAATTTTGCTTACCTTCGCGTTAATGGTTGCATAACCTGAAATTACAACTGTAACTCATTACTGTAATAATTAAAAACTATTTGTTGCATAAGATGTTTTCTCTCGATATAGTTTAGTGTTTGAACATATTGTTTTTAATTGTGTTACTGCCCCCTACTGGCAGATGCCAGGTACATAGGGCTCCCCTGGGTTTAGAAACTTGCCTTAAAGTATTTGTATTACAGTATAAAAAGTGCTAGGTTCACTAGAGCTTTGTTTTGCCGGTGCTTATTTTTGTTTGTTGTGTTAAGAATTTTTGTTGAAAAAAATACCACATAAACACGTCTCCACATTTTGCGAATATGAAATAATGCTCTCAATAGGCTACATATATACATACACACTTTAATAACGGCTTACAGTGTAATTTTGTGCATATTTCAGAAAGTAAAATAATGGCTAACTGGAAACATTTATAAAATTATATGTTATCAAATACACATTTAAGTCTGTGTGCATGTTTTATTTTAGTTTTGTTTTGCTTTTACTGCCATGTTTATAATTAAAGCAAGTCTTTTATTAGAATTTTCTCCTTACACTTTTTTAATGTTTTTTTTTTTGTTTGTTTTTTACATCAAATTAACTGTTAAGTACCAGAAAAGTATCCACAGAATCTTAGCGTATGTTTTGTGCCGCTCCCTCATAACTGCACTTGAGATTTGCCTGTTCAGAGGTCTCCTCATTCCAATCCCAATCCAATGTTTATCGATATAGTCTTAATTATTGTTATTAAGTTGGGTTTTGATATGTCTAACAGACCGTATATGCCCTTTAAGTTACTCTTTAGTGGAATAATTGAGGGATACTTTTTCTACTGCATTAGATTTTTATTCTAATATATAACACACAGTGCAGTATGTACTGTGTTGTAAAATGCTGGATAGTTTGTAGATCACATATAATGCAATTAGAAAATCGTTTAATACTTTACATCTAATCTATACAAAAATGCAAAATAAAGGATTTATTTGTGTGCAAACTCAAACACATTACACTACCAGCCTTGATCTTTGCTAGTTAACAGTTCTTCATTCTGGCCTATGGAATGCTGCCTGCTTGGCATGTTTAACACAGCACTGCAAGTGTTTAAAGTGTTAGAGCTGATTAGCATGGGTTTCAGGTGCCTACAATAGAGGGATTAGCTTTCTTTTTATTATAAATTTTTTTGCTACTTATTACAAGCCCCTGAAACTTGTGCTATGCTTTCTAATTACATACACAACCGTGTTATGGAGTAGTGCAGGTCAGGAAAGAGGAACAGAAAGGGAGCTAAAATCTGTTAACAATAAATAATCAAGTTGTGTTGTTGCCTGTGTTCCTTAAAATAACTGGGAAAATAAAATCAAGACTGCTATAGCTTAAGTGTCCCATTTAAAGGGGGACACGCTAAGCACCATACCTACTACAGTTTAATGTGCAAAGAGACTCTCCCTGCAGTCGCAGCAATGTAAACGCTTTGTTTGTTCATAAGGACACCACTAGTGGCGCCCCCTTACCTCCCCTCGCTCCCTCCCCCTCTGTGCTTTTCTTTTTTTGGCCACCGATGATCTTGGGCTGTGGCGGAGTGGCTGTAACGGGTATACCAACATGGCATTGGGTAAAATTTAGGCATATCTTACGGTCGCATTCAGGTTTTTGCACAACCCAATAACTGCACATTTTTGAAAGAAACAAACAAAAAAATACTCTATAAAGTGGTTTCAATGTGTAATTAACAATATCCAGATGTCTTGGCACATCCAGAGAATAATGTGTAAACAGATTTAACACCCAGAATTCAAATGAGCACATACAGGTGATACTCAAAAAATTAGAATATCGTGCAAAAGTTCATTTATTTCAGTAATGCAACCTAAATGGGGAAACTAATATATGAGATAGATGCATTACATGCAAAGCAAGATAGTTCAAGCCGTGATTTGTCATAAGTGCGATGATTATGGCTTACAGCTCATGAAAACCCCAAATGCACAATCTCAGTAAATTAGAATATTACATGCATTCAATAAAACAAGGAGTGTACGTAGAACAATATCGGACCTCTGAAAAGTATAAGCATGCATAGGGACTCAGTACTTGGTTTGGGCCCCTTTTGCAGCAATTACTGCCTCATTGCGGCATGGCATGGAAGCGATCAGCCTATGGCACTGCTGAGGTGTTATGGAAGACCAGGATGCTTCAATAGCGGCCTTCAGCTCTTCTGCATTGTTCGGTCTCATGTCTCTCATCGTTCTCTTGGCAATGCCCCATAGATTCTCTATGGGGTTCAGGTCAGGCGAGTTTACTGGCCAATCAAGCACAGTAATCCCACATTGAACCAGGCTTTGGTGCTTTTGGCAGTGTGGGCAGGTGCAAAGTCCTGCTGGAAAATGAAGTCAGCATCCCCATAAAGCTCGTCTGCGGAAGGAAGCATGAAGTGCTCAAAAACCTCCTGGAAGGCGCCTGCGTTGACCCTGGACTTAATGAAGTACAGTGGACCAACACCAGCAGATGACATGGCTCCCCAAATCAACACAGACTGTGGAAACTTCACACTGGACTTCAAGCATCTTGTAGTGTGTGCCTCTCCATTCTTCCTCCAGATTCTGGGTCATTGGTTTCCAAATAAGATGCAAAAGTTGCTCTCATCAGAAAAGAGGACTTTGGACCACTGAGCAACAGACCACGTCTGTTTTTCTTTAGCCCAGGTAAGAAGCTTCTGACGTTTGTTGTTCAGGAGTGGCTTTGCAAGAGGAATACGACATCTGAAGCCCATGTCCAGGATCCGTCTGTGTGTGGTGGCTCTTGATGCACTGACTCCAGCCTTAGTCCACTCCTTGTGAAAGTCCCCAACACTTTTGAATGGCCTTTTCCTGACGATCCTCTCCGGGCTGCGGTCAACCCTGCTGCTTGTGCACCTTTTTCTTCCACACTTTCCCCTTCCACATAACTTTCTATTAATGTGCTTTGATACAGCACTTTGTGAACATCCAACTTCCTTGGCAATTTCCTTTTGAGGCTTTCCCTCCTTATGGAGGGTGTCAATGATGGTTTTCTGCACAACTGTCAGGTCAGCAGTCTTCCCCATGATTGTGATTCCTACTCAACCAGACTGAGAGACCATTTAAAGGCTCAGAAACCCTTTGCAGGTGTTATGGCTTACTTAGCTGATTAGAGTGGGACACTGTGAGCCTAGAATATTGCACCTTTTCACAATATTCTAATTTACTGAGATTGTGGATTTGGGGTTTTCATGAGCTGTAAGCCATAATCATCGCACTTATGACAAATCACGGCTTCAACTATCTTGCTTTCCATGTAATGCGTCTATCTCCTATATTAGTTTCCCCAATTACGTTGCATTACTGAAATAAATGAACGTTTGCACAATATTCTAATTTTTCGAGTATCACTTGTACTGCATGTCTCTGACCCTTGTGTGTAATGACGTTGCTGTAGAGAAAAATAAATTTTACTTACCTCCAGAGCTTTACTCACTCCAGTAAATTCCTCACCATCATACACTTGGATGAGAGATTTACCAACCATCACTTTTCAAGAAGTGTCAGTTCTACTTTAAAGGGGAACTGTAATTTCGTTTTTAATCTGTAAAATGTCTTATTGAATGTGCCTTCCCCGAGACATATAATTCTAAAATTGCTATTTTTCTATAGTATACTAATAAAGGAAAATTTAGAGCTATTTTTTCAAAATGTATCTTAATTTAATAATCACCCTTGCTGCCCTTTGTGTGCCCAATATTAGATTAAACTACTTTTAAAGGTATTGTTTAATCCTTGATGTTTTAGTTTTCTAACATTTTAGCTGAACACTATGTGTTAAATGATAGAGGCACCCTAATGATAGTTACCTTTCTTACATTTAGAAAATAAATTTCCTTTCCATAGCCATCATCGTGTGTGTGTGTATGTATTTTTATTTATTTTTTAACCCATATTTAGTGTGATGTTAATGTAACACAACCTACATGTCCATTAAATCTTTGTGGTTTTTCGATGGATAGATTGTACAGAGGGGGAGGTACGTACATTTGACTGACAATTATTTCCGACTGGGAAGCCAACACAATTAAGCTTTTGAAAAGGATATCTATTTCCTATAGCCCTGAAGTACCTACTCTTACACTGAAGAAAGGTTAAAAGTAACTACTTATGCTGTGGATTCTCTTTATACTAAAAGCATGGTATTGGTTATACTAAAACTCTCCTGTTTTCAACAGTATACTAATTTCTTGATAATCAAACTTTTAAAAAACCTACTTTCCACAAGCATACACAAATATTGTCAATTAACATTTCACTGTAATATTGTTGGACATATGACCATTATTCATCAGCCATAAGTAAAAAAAAAAAATAGCTTCATAAGTTAAACATCTTGCTTTTAGTAGTGACAAGTAGAGATGTCGCGAACCGTTCGTGGCGAACTCCGGTCAGCTGACACATCCTGGCCAATCTCCAGCAGACCCTCCCTCCTAGACCCTCCTACTTCCTGGACAGCATCCATGTTGAAGGCAGCTTCAACATGGATGCTGTCCAGGAGGTGGGAGGGTCTGCTGGAGATTGGCCGGGATGTGTCAGCTGACCGGAGTTCGCCACGAACGGTTTGTGGCGAACCGTTCGCGAGAAGTTCGCGGACGGTTCGCGACATCTCTAGTGACAAGTTATACATTTTTTTGTTTTCTATTTTTTTTTTATTTTATGTAGAAATCTGCATTTTATGTAAATGGTTTTGTTGTGTAGTCCTTTAAGTATGACGACATCCGGAAATAGTTTTGCTGGATGTCGCTTAGTATGATCATTTGGTTATTGTATTACAAGCTTGCTTGTGCTTTAATAAACACTAATGTTTTATGTTCAACAAAGGGTTTTTTTGTTTCTGTTTTTGGTATAACTGGGTATGTGTTGAAGATTGTGTACATCTTGTGATACAGTCAAATAATTCAAGACAATGTGCTGAATCTCAAATGATTTAACACTAGTTGTTTTGTTCCTGTGGGAATTGTGGAGAACTGACTAGGGAATTTCAAAGTTGATCTGGATAACACCTTTTTATTTTATATATGTCTATATATATTTTCCCAAATATGAACTATCCCGAAAGGGTACTCTATGCAACTAAACCACTAAGAGTCTCTGGGAGCTGTCCCCAGTTCTCAATGTCAAATCTTTTAGAAATAGTTTGACATAAATTAGAGATCTCTATGGCACCTTAACATTTCCATATTATCAGTAACTGATTTGTTTTTCTTTATGGTGTTAATTGAGAGTTCTGGGATTAGGAAGACTGCTGCTAATGTCAAATTTTTTCTAAACATTTTGACATTAAACCAGGGGAGGGGTAGGGGGGAGGCAGTATCAGGATTATTTAAACGGCACTGTACACTGGGTTTACAAACAAGCCAAATTAATTCAGTAAGAACATTGTGTTATTGGTACTGTGTAAGTAGCCGTCTTGTGTTCTGATATATTTATCAATTAGGAAACATTTAATATGACTGTTTGTTATTGAATCCCTCATTGCATAGGTGGAACATTTCAGTGATAAACTCAGAGGATTTAATTGCTGTTGTAGATCCCTGGACGTAACTAGCATGAATAAGAGTGAAACCGGGATTAAAATATGTAAACATAAATGCCATAACAATAATTTAAATGAACCCTATAGCATTAGGAATACAAATATGTATTGCTAACGCTATAGTGCCATAGTCACCATTTAGATTGACTGGACCAGTACTGCCAAAGGTTTTTAACCCCTTCAGGACTGGACTGTTTTTGCGATGTTTGTACGTTAAGGACCAGAGCTATTTTAACACTTTTGTGGTGTTTGTGTTTAGCTGTAATTTTCCGCTCTCTCATTTACTGTTCCGATACAAATTATATATTGTTTTTTTCAGGACAAAAAGGGCTTTCTTTACATACTACTATTTTTATCATGTAATATAATTTAATTTAAAAAAAATAATAAAATAAAATAAAATATGGTGAAAAATTAAAAAAAAAACAAGTTTTTTGACTTCTACTTAAAAAATCTTTTACTGATCTACAAAATCGAATTAAACAAACTGCTAAATAGATTTAAAATTTTGTCCTGAGTTTAAAAACACCCCATGTTTATGTGTTTTTTTGCTTTTATTTGCAAGTTATAGGGCTATAAGTACAAGTAGGAAATTGCTGTTTCAAAACGTACATTTTTCAAATGTATCAATAGTGACATTGTAACACTGTTATGTCATAAATCTCCAAAAACACCCCACATGTATATATTTTTCTTAAACTAGATAACCCAGGGTATTCATCTAAGAATATTTTGATACTTTCTATGCAGCCATTTTACCACAAACCTTTGCCAAACTTTGCATAGGTAGTTTATTTTTATTTTTTTCACATACATTGCAATTCAGGTATAAATTCACAGATTCTGTTAGGTATCACTGCCAACCAACACCAACATCTCCCGAGTACAGTGATACCACCCATGTATAGGTGTGTCGGGTTGTTGGAGGGCTAAAAGGCCACATTTGGCAGGTGCGCATATCAGTTTCCCAGATGGAATTTTGACATGTTGTCAACCTGCATGCATGTCTTATTTGAGCCAATGTATTTTACCCCCATCAAACCATATATTTTTTTAAAGTAGACACCCTAGGGTATTTCACATGGTGGTATTTTAACACTTTTCATGTACTGAATTTTACCACCAGGCTTTGTCAAACATTGAGGTAGTAATTTTTTTTTCTGTTTTTCACACACGTACTTTAGGCATGAATTAACAGATCCTGTTATGTGTCACTGCCAAAAAACACCCCAATATGTTCTGCAACATCTCCTGAGTACAGTGATACCCCCCATGTATAGGGTTGCTGGGTTGTTTGGGGGCCAAAAGGCAACACTCAGAACTTGTACATGTCAGTTTTTCAACTTGATATATAGGTATGCTTGGTCTATCTGCAGTTTGACATATTTTTGCACCCCCCAGTTAATGTTACCATCATGAAAGTATATATAGTATATATTTTTATAAAGTAAACATCAAAGGTTATAGAAGATGGGGTGTTTTGACTTCTTTCCCCCAACCATTTTTGCCCCCCAAAAAAACAGAGAAAGTGTAGTGGTAATTTTTAAATTTAGTTTTTTATGCACACGTCATCTGGTTTTGGCCAGCTGCTTATGTGTTACTGCCAGAAAACTTGTTAGACCAAATGTGCAGGTAGCAAATGTACATTTAGCAGCAATCTTTAAACTGACTCCTGCAAATATAATCTTACTGGAGATTTGGGGGAAGGAAGCTGACTAACAAAAAATGGCTGCTTTCCAAAGAAAAAATAAAATAAAAATTCAGGAACACTTCTTACAACTGTTCTGTGTGGTACAGTTTGAAACATGTTCCTACACACAGTCCTGGTCTCGAAGGGCAATCAGGACAGTGAAAAGGGGTGTCAGTCCTTTTCCCGTTTTTAAAACAGACCCGGCAACGTTTCTGGGGGGGAGGGGAGTTTCTAGCAGTTGGTAACTTAAAAATAAAATGCCTGGACTCAGCTTGCACCGTTGTTGGAACTTATTTTCAACTGAAATTGGAGAAAGCTGGTTTTCCCTGGATTATTAAAAAAAAAAAATTAGTTATGGGTTTCTATTTGCATCAGCCACCTTTTTATACCATTTTGCCCGCTAAGGTATAAAACCGCCAGCAATGGATTTAGCACCTATCTTGAAAAAGTCCTCAGCAGTAGGACGAAACGCGTTGATCAGGTGCAAGGGGGACTCTGCTACATATCCCCTGTAGACGGACTTTGAAGAAAACATTGTTTTATCTATGTGCAGCTGTTTCCTTACGGTTTTATTTTCGGACAGCCCACCTGAGTGCACGAGGTGGACGCTGTCTGCCTTGAAGAAACAGATAGTTTGTCGGGACAACCAGCAGCCGTGAAGTTTCTCCGTTTTGGTCCTTAGGAATAAGTACCATTGTTTCATATATTTTTTCACATTGTGAGAGTTCTTATTTAGGGGGGGGTTTGTTTGTTATACCGGGGCAATAAATATTACAGAGTTACACTATATCTGTTTTCTCCGTTTTTGCCTAGGAATTTTCAAGCATCTATTTGAGTCTCCATTCATCTATACAGACATTGGATTTTGCCCCCTCTTTTTTTGATCTTATAAGACTTTTTGTACTATTTAGAGACATATTCCTCAACTTTTATATATTTTTATATCCATATACATCTTTATCTGCATCTTTTCTTCTTTTTATAGTTTTTATATGTAGAGTCCAGATGTTTATTGCAATATTATTTTTACATATATGCACCCTTGTTATTATCTTAAGGGGAGTATCTACTAAGCGCTGACAATATTTTTAGTATTCTGTTATAGGAATTGGGAAAATTCTTTTTTTGTCTAGCAGCTGTCATTTACAGGGTACTTCAAGTACCATTAACTATTATTTTTAGTTTTGATTTTGTATGCGCTCTCTTAATTATTTTATTTACCTTTTTATACCATGCTTTGGTTTTTCATAAAATAAGATATGGCTGCATCAGCTGATCAGCCAAATCAACAACCCCCATGTACTTATTATGCGCCCTGATGCAAACCGGTTTGGACTCTACTCTGCCCTGGACAGAGACATCTGACATGCGTTCGTCATGGATGGTGGTTAGCATGTTGACATCCTTCCTGTCCCTAAATTTTAGTGCAAGCACTTCAGCTTTGCGAAGTGCTTTACAATTGCCTTTTTTAATTTTGCGAGATCATGGAAAGTCTTAGGAATTTTTTCTGTCAGTGCCGCAGGCCAGTGTCTGTAAACCATAAAGTGTTTTAAACAGACGGACACTACTATAAAAATTATCCACATAAAGGTGGTAACCTTTATTAAACAAGGGGTTTAGTAGGTCCCATACAAGTTTCCCACTTGATAAAGATTTGAAATATATTAGGAGTGTCAAAGAAAAGAGACTCCAAACTGATTTTAGAGGAAGCAGTATATAGAGGAATATTTAATAATTAATAAATTCCCAAATTAACACTGAGTAACAATCCATAAAGTATATCCATAAGAATACTGATAAACGTGAGTGCTGCAGAAAACTAAGATGCACGAATGCTTTATTGAGTTGCAGGGAACAAAGCAGCCCTATCCCTAAATATAAACAAAAGTATCTTAATGGATACATCTACAAATAAACTACGAGGGGGGTACACTAGCAGTAGAAATAGAATAAACTGCAGTGTAAAAAAATCAAAGAAGGGTCCACCAAAAAGTATATATGTGTGTATATATATATATATATATATATATATATATATATATATAAATGTTACCTAAATAGTAACTATAGGAATAGGCTAGGGACCCTATTGTATCTATAGGATATAGCTGCAAAAATTGTCAAAAATACCCAATAGCATAAAGCTAAAAAATTGCAAATTCTGGTTAGGCAAATGCACAGTAACTTAGTCTGATCTAAGGTACTGAAACTCATCTGAAAAAGCATAGAGGAGTATATAGACAATTACACAGAAACTTAGTCTGATCTAAGGTGCTGAAACTCATCTGGTAGAGCATAGACGAGAATATAGACAATAACACAGAAAACTTAGTCTGATCTAAGGTGCTAAAAATCATCTAGTGGAACATATAGGAGTATATAGACTGATAGGGAAAGAGAAAGGAACATTTCTATAAAGTCCCTATTACTCCTGAAAATAAACACCTTCGAGGGCGTTCTACTCTATCCCTGACTGGTAGGACAGATAACAGATGGAGTCTAACTGTTAGTCCCCCCCCATATAAAAAAAAAAGAGTGAACGCTAAGCTAGAGCCCGACGCGCGTTTCGGTGCTTCAAATGCACCTTCGTCAGCTTCAAAAGCACCGAAACGCACGTTGGGCTCTAGCTTAGCGTTCACTTTTTTCACTTATGGTGGCACTAGGTTTTTGAACCACTTTATGATTTTTGTTATGTTTTGTTAGCACTGAGAAGTTATCTCTTTTTTTTTTATATATGGAGGGGACTAACAGTTAGACTCCATCTGTTATCTGTCCTACCAGTCAGGGATAGAGTAGAACGCCCTTGAAGGTGTTTATTTTCAGGAGTAATAGGGACTTTATAGAAATTTTCCTTTCTCTTTCCCTATCAGTCTATATACTCCTATATGTTCCACTTGATGATTTTTAGCACCTTAGATCAGACTAAGTTTTCTGTGCAATTGTCAATATACTCCTCTATGCTTTTTCAGATGGGTTTCAGCACCTTAGATCAGACTAAGTTTCTGTGCAATTGTCTATATACTCCTCTATGTTTCACCAGATGAGTTTCAGCACTTTAGATTAGACTAAGTTACTGTGCATTTGCCTAACCAGAATTTGCAGTCTATCCCTTGCAGTAGGCAGAATTTTTTTAGCTTTATGCTATTGGGTATTTTTGACAATTTTTGCAGCTATATCCTATAGATACAATAGGGTCCCTAGCCTATTCCTATAGTTACTATTTAGGTAACATTTATATATATATATATATATATATATATATATATATATATATATATATATATATATATATATATATACTTTTTGGTGGACCCTTCTTTGATTTTTTTACACTGCAGTTTATTCTATTTCTACTGCTAGTGTACCCCCCTCGTAGTTTATTTGTAGATTTATCCATTAAGATACTTTTGTTTATATTTAGGGATAGGGCTGCTTTGTTCCCTGCAACTCAATAAAGCATTCGTGCATCTTAATTTTCTGCAGCACTCACGTTTATCAGTATTCTTATGGATATACTTTATGGATTGTTACTCAGTGTTAATTTGGGAATTTATTAATTATTGATTATTCCTCTATATACTGCTTCCTCTAAAATCAGTTTGGAGTCTCTTTTCTTTGACACTCCTAATATATTTCGAATCTTTATCTTCTATTTTGGGTTAAGCCCTATGTAGGTGGATCTGTAACCACCATTTCTGACCTCTATCTAATCATTTTTTCTAAGTTTCCCACTTGTCCCCAGGGAGTCAGGACAGCCAGGAGGGTCCAGTTGACCATCTTTCCCCTCATATACACGAAAAGCAAACATATATCCACTTTCGCTCTCGCAGTTTGTACAGTTTAATGCCATACCTAGAGCGCTTTGAGGGGATGTATTGTCTGAACCCCAATATCCCTTTGTATTTCATTAGCGATTCATCTATGGATAAATTTTGTTTGGGGGTATAAACATCCGAAAATTTGTCCTGAAAATGGTCTAGCAGTGGGCGTATTTTATGAAGCCTATCGTATTGGGGGTGATCTGTAGGGTGACAGAGGGTATTGTCACTGAAATGTAAAAATCTCAGCAGTAACTCGTATCTGGCTCTAGGCATGGTTTGGGAGAATACTGGATTAGACATTATTGGGTTGGTGCTCCAGTATGAGCAAATCGATGGCTTCTTTATAATCCCCATGAGCATTGTAAGAGACCAGAATTTTTTAAGCTCTGGGACATCTGTGGGATGCCAGTCATGCTCCCTGACTGTATAGCTACCTGGATTGTTATCAATAAATTGGGTAGCATACAAGTTAGTCTGGGAAGCAATCTCCTCCAGATGGTATCCCCTAAAAATAGTTCTACATACTGCATTGGGGAGAAGCCATCCACATTAACATTAATGCCTGCATTGGCACTAAAAGGGGGGACGTTGGGCTTGGCTAACTGTGGAGGTACCCAGTCCTCCTCCACATTCGGCGTAGCAGAGGAAGCACAGCTTCTTTCTTCAGCCGGCTCACACACAGATGACATGTTGGCTTGACTAGACGTGTCAGAAAACTGACCTGGGTCAAAATCTGACGCAGTGTCAGTGGCGTCAGAGTCTGACGCCAAGAAGGCATATGCCTCCTGCAAGTTATACACACACTGCATGTTTTACACACGACTAAAACAAATTACAAACACACACATTTTTTTAATACTTTTTTTTATTTTTTTTATTAAAACAGACTAAACAGCAATCCCTAAACTAACTCCTGTCACAAAAATCCAATGGAGATTTGGGGGAAGGAAACTGACTGACTAAGACTGACCAAGACAGACCAAAACAGACCAAGACATAGATTTTTAAAACAAATTTAACCCTTTAAGGGCAAAAAAAAATTAAACATTACAGACAGTACAAATGCACTGCTGTAACAGATCTGGCAGGGAAGGGGTTAAAATGTGATTTAAAAAAAAAAATTTTTTTAATAAAATACTGATACTTTCTGATGGTCACTGAACACTGCTGCAACAAACTATCAAGATCTCTGTCTCTCTCGCCTCACAAAACACTACAGAGGATAGAGGGGCAGAGATCACTGTCAAAGTGAGTGTTTGTAACACCCACTTTGACAGCAGCCAATTGTGAGCGATCGCGGATCGCTCAGACGCCGCAATTGGCTGTTACTATCTGCCTGGGATGTCTGGCAGATAGTTACAGTGTTATACCGGTGGGAGCAATCTCTGATCGCTTCCCGCAGCCCGTTTTTGCTATCACAGTTCAGGACCGTCAGCGGTCCAAACGCACATTTTACCGAGATCACCAATGTTGACGATCTCAGCCAATCTAATCCTTTTCATTAAAGGACCACTATAGGCACCCAGACCACTACAGCTCAATGAAGTGGTCTGGGTGCCATGTCCCCCTAGTTTAAACCCTGCAGCTGTAAACATAGCAGTTTCAGAGAAACTGCTATTTTTAAACTGCTGGGGTTAATCCAGCCTCTAGTGGCTGTCTCCCTGACAGCCACTAAAGGCAGCTTCCGCGATTCTCAGTGTGAAAATAGCATTGAACTCACGCAGCGTGAGTTCAGATCCCCATAGGTCGCGCATGCGCATTCGTCTCCACTCTGGAGTTGACGTCGACAGGGGGAGGAGAGGTCACCAGCGCCAAGGGAGCCCGGCACTGGATGAAGGTTAGTGGCTGAAGGGGTTTTAACCTCTTCAGCCCAGCGGGAGGACGGGACCTAATAACCCTATAGTGCCAGGAAAATGGGTTTGTTTTCCTGGCACTATAGTGCTCCTTTAAGAGACGTTTTTATTGTGAGGCTAGTGCACATGTGTGGGGAAAATGCCGCTCTGTGCCTGACTGAAATAGCAGGGTTTTACTCAATGTCATGGAAGTGCTGCTAGTGGCAGACATACTGACAGCTATTAGAGGCAGGTTAATCCTGCAATCAAAGCATTGCTCTTCCTGCAGTATGGCAATATTTGAAGCCGCAGTGTTAAAAGGGGGGGAGGCACATGGCACCAGAACCTCTTCATTGAGATTTTTTGTACTGTGAATTAAAATACTAATAACTTACTTTACATTATATCTGTAGTTACACCACTGTGTATATTGTGAAATGTCCAGGATTTTACAAAACTCCACGTAAAGGCATTAAATATTGCTGTTGGGCACCGGGCTATGATTTCTTGATGATAAAGTCCTATATATATATATATATATATATATAAAGAACAGAGTTATGGATTGATTAAAGCAGCAATGCCAGACCTATGGCAAGGGAGACTATACTGGCGCTTAGGCAGATGGTAACCATGAGTGCTGAAAGCTATATTAAAGGTTGTATGATAAAATGTTTATATTATCATCATCATCATCAGGTAACCTCATAGGTAGAAGGATGTTTGTTAGGGAAGCAGGATAGAGACCATGTGTATATTTATAGTATGCTGATATGTAGCTAGAATCCAAGTAATGTTGAGGATATAGGACAGAGGGCTGATATGATATAAATAGAAGAGGATGGATTGATACAGTGAGAAAAGGGGTTGATACTGATTACGATAAAATCAACATAATAAGAGTAGTGCTATTTTGGGTTTTAATTTGCCACCGATGTGTGTCTCTTTTCATTGTACAGTGATGTGGAACATGTTAGTGGATTTTAACCCTATAAGGACCAGTAGTCTATGCTTTCATAACACTCTGTTGTTTAAAGCCTCCAGTACAGCCAACATAGAGCTGGAAGTTCTTTAACCCCTTAAGGACCAAACTTCTGGAATAAAAGGGAATCATGACATGTCATGTGTCCTTAAGGAGTTAAGCGAAGCCAGAGGTGCAGGGCTTAGCTCACTGTCTACAAGCCACCATATATATATATATTTTTTCACCTCTTCCTTTTTATAAGATATGTGAAGGGATATATTAATTCATGTCATTTATTTACATTTTAACATCTTCATATTACAAAATATATAGAAATTTATTAGGGGATGTATGTTATAGATGGGTAAATATAGTTGTTTTTTTATACATATATTTAAAAACAACTATATTTACTTATTTATAACATACATCCCCTAATAGGTTTCTCCATGAGAATTGGCTACTGTCTCCCTTCATGCGTAATGGGTCTTGATTTAATGCATCTCTATGAGGATCAGGGCAGTGTTTGGCCACGCCCCTGGCCTGCCTCCTTGACGATCTTAGCCAATCCCTGTGGGAAAACATTGGATTGGCTGAGATCATCAATTCTAATGATGCCAACCAAAGAGGTGGATCGGGGGAGGGGCCAGCACCGGCAGATCCGTGGAGAGCTGGCAATAAGGTACGTTTTAACTGTTTCTAAGGGGGTGAGGGGGATGGCACTACTTTAATTGAGGGTGCTCTGCTGTCACTCGAGAGGGCACTCTGCTGTCACTACCCCAATGTTGGAAACATTGCATACATCATAGCACGGGATTTAGGCACCAATATGGTATGACTGAACTTGCCATTAAGACTCTTACCCTAACACAAGCTGAATTATAGCAGTTTTTCTCTTACAACTACACTAGTACTTGTGCAACCTCTATAGCATACATATTGCCCCAGTGGTCACACCACAACCACTACTCAGAACAGAGGAGTATTTGGAAAGACTTGCCCATCTCAAGATCCACAATAGACCCAGATCATACCATCACTAGGATGGACATGGCAAATCATGTTTACTGTGTTTTTCTGTTGGACTTAAAGAGTATATTTATTTTCAAAACAAAACTTGTAAATGCCATTTTACAAATTGTGTCATACATTTGGAACCTCAGTATAAGGAATCTAGTTAGCAGGGGTCAGACCATGGGCAAATAGGTGACCATCAGAATGGGTCAGGCCTAAAAATAGTTTTGACAAAATGACAGGGGCTGGAAATTACAACCTTCTAGCAACATTATCACTGCAATAGACTGTATTGTGCTTAAAGTACACCATTAAGGATCCTATTATAAAATGGAATGTCCTAGTGAATTAACAACTGTAGGGCTGTATGGAGCTCTAATACCAAATAATTCATGCCAAAGCTGGATTTAGATTGCCCAAGGCCCTAGACAGGGTACCATATTGGAACACCCTCCTTGTTTCTGTGAGTTTGCACTGTGTGTGTGTGTGGTGGTTGTGTTGTGCGATGAGGAGGCTGAGGGCTGTAGGCTGGTGAACGCTGACTGTGTGTGTGTGGTAGAGTGTTGTGAGTGGTGGATACATTTAGTGTTATGAAAGAGTACTGTGTGTCTGTGAAGGGGAATCTGAGTGGTGTGTGTGTAGTATATTTGTGTGTTTGAGAAATTAGGATGCCCTCATGTTTTCTATTATTTAATAGCCCATGCCTGTTCAGGTGGGGGGGTAGACCTGCCCTGGAAAAAATTCTTTACCAGCCCAATAATGAGTTGTGCCAGCATAATCTGCAGATATAGAGGCAGAAAAGATAACCTACAAAATATTTCTCCAATGTGAAAGAAAGAACTCAAAATAAGCAAAGGAGCAAATTTATTTCAAAGGGACACTATAGGCACCCAGACCACTTTAATTAACTGCAATAGTAACTTTTATGGGTTAACTCCACCCTTAGTAGATTTCTACCACTAGAGGGACTTTGAGGTCGTTAAGCTTCGCCTAATTGACGCTGGATGTTCTCAAGCTATGCATGAGATCAGCCAGTGTCACTCAAAACCCCATCGGAAAGCATTGTCAGGCGAAGGTAAGGTGAATATTTTGCGTTGGGCCAGTCCAGTCCTGGTTACAGGGATTGGCCCTTTCTAGTTTTAAATATTTAGTAGCTGTGCCCCCACCTGTCACATTTCAGATGGTGGTACAGAGAGGGGTCTTTTTACATTTATTATTAATTTCTCATTGTGGCAGTTGGCCAGTCACCACATGGTTAACCCTCATAGCACTGACAATTATTTCACTATTTGCGTGCTGGCTGCTAGCACTGTTAGCAGGTAAATAACTTGCATTTTAGAAATCCAGATTCACAACATTCAGGCCAGATTTCAGTGGACCAGTGGCATCAGTCTGGCTGAAATCCAAACGTAATTCAGGATTTTTTCAAACCTGAATTTTGAGTAACATGAACTGCCCTGTGCATCACAGGGATGTTTTTTGCCCCATTCAGTATTAGGCCATTCGGGCTTTAGGGAATAACCCTGTTAATCCTAAAAGGGATTCTTTAGTGTAAGGAACAGTGGCGGAACTAAATGAGCTGGCAATGATTTCCCAGCTGTGGATCTACTATTTGCCCATCCTTGCAAGCTTGTGTTTAACATGAGCAGTGTTTGTATGTGTGACTGAAAGCATGTTTTGTATGGAGTATATGTGTGTGTGAATGTAGGGGTTTGTTTGTAGTTTTCTGTTGATTGGTTTTATGTACTGTATCCATTTGAAAGGCTGAAGTGGTAGAGGTTAACACAGTAAAGGAGTTTAAGCATGCAGGGGATAGGCATAAGGCTATCCTAACTATAAGATAAGGCCAGGGACTAATGAAAGTATTTAGAAAATTGGGCAGACTAGGTGGGCCGAATGTTTATCTGCCATCACATTCTATGTTTCTAGTGTTTGCCTTTGAATGTAGTGGTGTGTTTGTTTGTATGCAGTGATGACATTTTAATTTGTGTGTAGTGTTGGAGTTTGAATGCTGAGATGTGTGCACATATACACTGCCACACGCACACAGATACACACTAAAAGTCAGTTAACCACCAGGAAGTGCCTCTAGTGGCTGTCTGATTGACAGCCACTAGAGGCAGTCTTTGATCTGCAATGTAATCATCAGGATTAAGGGTGCCAGGGACACTACACCCAGACCACTTCAATAAGCTGGAGGGGTCTGGGTGACTATAGTGCCCCTTTAAGAGGGTAAAAGATTTTAAAATCACAACTTGTTTGACTGACTGCATTTCTAGTTTTGGTCACCAGATGGTGCTAGATATCTCTGCAATTCCCTAAGCTTTGCAGCTTTTTACATAAATAGCGCTATTTCCTAATCAGGTGTATGCACGCATCTGTGACCTTCACATGTCTATATGCTGGGAGGACAGTCCTAATTACATTATTTGCTGACTACACTTCACATCTGTACTCTATCCCTGCCAGGAGTCTTACAGCTATTGATGAGGCCAAAGTCTCTGTTTATCCTTTATTAGGTGATCATTAAGACAAAACTGCTCATTTAGAGAAACATTTTTATTGTTTATTTCTAGCACAGCAGCCATTCAAGAAGAATCTTTATTTTCTATCACTCCTCTCCATGAATTTTTAGCTTTTTATCAGCCCGTCATCTGTCGTATTTTGGTAACTTAGTTTTATATATATATATATAATTATAATAAATTTGTCACTGTCAATAGAAAGTTCTATTCTTGATTTTTATTATGCTTGCTACACAGTATTAAATAAGACTGTTGGGGTGAAATGTTTGGTTTTGTTTCATGGTCAAATGTTTCTTAATCTAATAAATTTGTAGAACTTTCCAAAAGTTCTTTTCAATGCAAATATTTATTCTAATTCTAATCACACACATTTGAGGATTATAAACAAAACTTTGAATGACGGATACTTTTCAAAGAAATTGCACATTTTACGTCAGGATTGACAAACTGGAAAAATAATCTGAGTTGTGTTCCATGTGACAAACCAATAAAAACGTTACACTTTGGAGGACTGCTGAATTTTTCTACATTTTGGGGGAAAACGCTCTAAATCGGCTACTTTTCCATTGTGCCCATGTTGACGCATATTATGCAATTCTTTTGCAGTTCTTGAAATTTATTTTAAAAATGTAATTCCACAATAGTAAATAAGATAGTTTCTGTGTGCATGTATAAGTGTGGTATCACCCCCTAATTACAGGGTCATTAGTTAAAATGGGATTCAAAATTAATTTCTAATCTGAGGCCACATACACCAAATTGGAAATACGCTCCAAGTCTAAGTTGTTTTAAGTTTGGTTATTTTGTCGCAGTATATAAAACTGTTGGTTTTAAAATGTTTTTAATTCTTGAATGAAGACAAAACTAGAAACTGTGTCAAAACTTCCCTCTTCGTTAAACTGCACTGTATAGTACAAAGGCAATAATCTAAAATTGTTGAATAGGTATGGTTTGTATTTCATAACTATATAATTGTAGCTATCGTAATTGTTTTGTGTGTAACAGCATTAATGGAAAGTATGTGTCCATCACTTATATGGAGCCATGTTTCTTTTCCCATAGATCCCAGCTGGTGTGTTGTTGTGGTGAAGAAAATAACAACTAGTGCACTCTTTAAAAGTGCTTATTCAGACAGTGCCATGGACTATATAGGACTCTAGGATGCTGCTTCTAGACTGTCTGAAGGGCCACTTCAGGATCAAAGTAAACAGCCATGTAGGGAAGGGAGCTAAGTCATGTTTCAGGTGCCTGGCAACAAATAGCTGGAAGTATTGGACAATGCTCTACTTCAGGCATTGCACAATGATCCACTTCCATAGTTAATTTGTGTAGACGCTAAAGGTTGAATTGAGCTAAGAAGGTATCAGCAGTGTAATTTTTCCGATGCTACACTCAGACTGTCTTTAGAATCACATGACCTTATAACAAAGCGGGAACTATATACATTCATTACAATAGAACTTTTATTCAATGTGTGTGGCAGCGGACAACCTGCCTTTTTAGTTGTGATGTGAAAGTTGTGACTGTATCTAAATCTATTTTCTTCATATTTGTTTTAATTTTTTTTTTATTAAAGTCTATTATTTTCAGTCTCTGATTCCAGCAATGGATGCATCAATATGTCCTTCTGGCACTGTTTTTTGCTTTACACCTGCATGACCTGTCCAGTTATGCGTAGAACTGTTAAAGCATTAGTCTAGGTACCATAACCACTACAGTATGGTGTTGTGGCTATGGCACTAGCAGTAGTCAAGTTGCTTTTAAATAGTTTGACAGTTTCCTGGGTTCTCCAGAGGCAGCCAGCACGGCCTTCTCTTCTGATTTATCTGAAGGGCAAGTTCCCCATCTGCTTCATATCAATCCAAACACAAGCAGTATTTACAACACTCCTACAGCGGAAGTAGGGACTTCATAAAGTTGGCCTGACTGAAGGCACCTGGGGGATTCAAGTAATTGTCAAATCAAATGGTTTAATTAATTATCATGAGAGGTGCCATGGCACTTCTGAAAACGTTACCACCATGCACTGTAGTAGTTATTGTGTCTAGACTGCCATTTTAAATTAATGTTTAAGTTTCCCACATTAGGAGAGCTCACTGAAACAGAAATGAGTAAAAGCACTTTGCAGCACATGAAGTGTTGACAAGCGTAAGTCTACTAATTTAACATAAAATATAAAAAGGTATAAAATGAAGTATGGTGCTATAAACACCTGGTGTAGGTCACCCCAACCACACAAAATACAGAGTAAAAATATTAGAATAAAAGGTGAGAGCACACCATAAAATTCTTAATATGTGTACAATCCACACACATGCAATATTACCATATAGTTGATAAAACCTAAAATGACAAAGAATTGCAGACCATAGTGAAACAAAATGGTCCCACTCACATGGTGCTGAGCCACTTAATAGTAGGCTCAGACTTTCAGTGCCTTCTGGTATATAAAGCATAGTGGAGATCGAAATGATGGAACGTCAGCCCTGCTTCCAAATTGACCCACAATCTCTTCCCTGGTGGCACATGCCACATTTGGGCTAATTGGTGGTGTCCCAGAACAGGAAAAGAAGTCTAGGTAGCACACTAATTTTAACACAGTTACCTTTTCTGATTCATGAGATGGGTCTATTGTGCCAGTTATCTAGCGCTCGCTTAAGGAATTGTATGGGAGGTAAGTAATTTTCTGTGTATAAGGTAGAATGGGAAAGGTTCACTTTAATATCTAGATAAAGAAAGGAGGAACCAAAACAACAGCCCAAATCAAGCTCTCAATAGTACCATGTCCGCAGCAGACATGGGGAAGGGAGCAGTGCATGATTTTGAGTAATTTATCCTGAATCCAGATATTTCTCCAAATTGTTCTAATAACTGGAAAAGAGGGGGTATTGATTGGATTGGATTTATCACCATTATGAGCACGTCCTCAGCTTCAGCTGTGATTTTGTAACATTTTTGATCTATTGTAAAACTCTGAAAGGATAGAGTTTCTCTAATGAGATGTAATAAAGGCTTCAAGGAAAGGTGGGGCAAAATAGGAGAAAGGGGGCAGACCTGTTTGGTCCCATTGGAAATTTCAAACTGTGTCCTCGGGGAATCCAGAAATCCCAACTGTGCTTCTAGGTTGGAATGTAATGCATGAATTCTCATAATAAATGGAGTGGGAAATCCCCAGGTGTTCCAGGAGACCAAACAAATCTGGCCACTCATTCCTATCCAATACCTTCTCTGCATTTAGTGATAGGAGCAGAGAAGGCATATTGGTGGTCTCTGCCATTCACATCATGTATTTTCCTATCACTGTCTATCGAGAATGCATGGTCCTGGAGAATCAAGCTAGGAAGAGTTGGGCCACTTGTCCTGTTAGTACCTTGGCTATTATGCTCTGTAAATTCATCCTGTAGAGGTCACTAGAGAGCCTTTACGGAATGAACCGTGGCAATCGACTTAGACCACTGTCTAGACAGCGAGCTATAGAGGTGTCTATTCTGTTTGCCCTTTTGTGAAAAAAAAAACTTCTGGACATCTTGATTTGCCAGGCCATATCGTCAAGGTCTTTGTAGTCATGGCTGTCTTGTACTGGACTTCTACTTTTCTTAGGGCTTTCTGAAAGGAGAATAGTGTCTCATACTTTTTCTATTTCTTATGGGAGGTTATCTTAAAAGCCCAATTATGAATGCTTTAGGAGTAGACCACACTGTCGCCATATCTATGCTGGGTTAATTGTTTTCATTAAAGCTGCTTATCAGAGCTTGGGGAATCTAGGCTTGACTTCTGGATCTCTTAAGAATGGCGCTACAACAAAGGGGGTCTCCTGACTAGGCCTTGCAAATATATTGCTATATGTGGTCCAACCAAGTGAAAATATTGATTTCAGTTCTGCTAACACACGGAAACAGTTTATCGCTAAAAATAGGTAAATTCTTTAATATGTACCATTTTGGGCATATTAAAATGAGAAATCTGTTTTTTCAGGGTGCTGCGTTGTCCCCATATCTATGAGACTCAAATAATTTATTCTGCCTGCCACTGCCCAGAAATCGCACCATACCAGGTCTGGAGCTTCTATCTGCTGCTGGACACAGGATAGCATTACAATCCCCGGCCCCCATCAGAAGTTGATCATTCAATAAGGGCCTAACTACCTGCTCGATCTCTCCTCATAACCCTGCATGAGGAATATTAGGGGGCATATATATTGAGTAAGTGTATTCCCTCAATACATTAGAGACAAGACATGGGCCATTTCGGTGAATAAACACCGCAATCGCAACCCAATTGTGCTTGCATATGGAGTTGGAAGCATATAACCCGTCAAAATTCCAATCAGTAAGGGACAAGGACATAGAACAAGATAAATGTGTTTACTGCAGGAAAGCAATGTCTGCCTTAAGTCTTTTTAAACTCTTGTGCTGGCCACTCCATATCCCTCTAGGCCATGCATCACAGCTGGGGAAAATGGTGGGATGGAAAAGAAAAAGAGGATGCGTGACACATGCAACAAAAGAAAGTATACACTCAAACTAGTTCCTGAACTGACAAGATACAACAGGGGTGACCAACCCCCATAGTCTAATTGGGCAAAATTATTTAACAATGCACATAAAGTAATATAGTCATTATTAACCCAGATTTTATTAACTGAATCTCAAAGTGTTGTTAGACTCCTACTGCTAATCCTCAGAGATAAAGTAAAGGGGAAAAGAGGGGATTTGCCAATGGATGGGTCCAGTTGTCTCTTATCTAGATGGACAAAAGAGCATGACTATACTGAGCTCTGTGATGATAAACGCCTCCTTCCCTCCCTCTGTCACAGATAACCATATGTGTAGGTTGGAAGCCTATCTGCATAAACTTAGATAAGCTAACCGCTTCATCAATAAAGCTATTATATGTGTATTGTTGTGAGTAGCCCCTATCCATTTTGGCTCTTATTCTATCCAACCTATGTCCCTCTTGGAAAAAAGGAGTCAGTAAAACCATAATTTACTTGACTCAGGAACTAAAAATAAGCGAAAATCAAACTCTGTTTGTTGAATGTGCAGTAGAACAAACACGTTTGCACTAG